GTGCGGTGCGGGGTCAGGTGGGGTGTGCCCTGACAGGGGGTCACAGGGGCAGCGGCAGATCATGGCAGGGGTCCGGGTGGCAGGCATGCAAAGGGCTGGGGGGTTGGCGGCAGCAGTCTCGCAGGGGGAAGGGGTGGTTTAAACAGGGGGAGGCGGGGTTGTGTCGCTTGGAAGCACTGCCACTGGTTGTCAAGGAGGGTGGCTTCTCATTTCCATTCTGCCCAAGTCCTTGGCATGGGACACAGGCGATAGATGCTCTCATGGAGCTGCACGTTGATCGCTTGTTCGAAGCGGTCTACCAGCCCCATGTCACCTAGCTGCAAGGTGGGGCTGTGGATCTCAAACTCCTGGATGATCTTATCCACGGAGTCAGTACCTTGCCGCAGGGTGGCAAGCTTCTGTCGGGCGGTGGCTTCACGGTTTGGATCTTGGAACTGTCAGGGACAGCTCCAAAAGCGGCAAGGTCCCGGCATGCAGGACTCGGTGGGACAAATAGCGGCTATGTGTAGCAGCAATCCTGTCACAGGGTGAGCATCCCTGACCACTTAGTCTGAAGTGGGAATGTGAGTTATCATTAAAGGGGAGGGCTACACTACTTGCCTGAAGTGGGAATGTGAGAAGAAGGCTACTTCTTCGGTTCCCACTCCAGCTGTTATTATATACATGCGGGGTCGATCACGTGGGGTGCGCCATGTCACCCTTGTGCACAGCCATGGCTCTCCAGGTGTCTCCGTGGGAGATCCCGAGAGGGTCCGTTGCAGGTGCAGGGTGAGCACGGTGGCGATGATGGCGATGTAGGGATGGTAAGATACGGGAGGGGAAATGGGCGTGTGCCCCAGTGATACATTGGACAGTGGGAAAGGTGGTCCATGTAAGAGAGAGAAAGAAAGAAAGAGGAAAGAAGAAAAATGTGGTGTGGAGCGGGGGTCGGGTGGGGCATGTTGGGGTGTGCCCTGACAGGAACATGGCGTTGAGCTCTGCCATAAAGTTGTCCATAGTGATTGTGGGAGATCCCGCCATCAGCAGCGCGATCGTGCACTGTGTCGCCCATGCTCCCACAGCTCCTCCTTTCATGTACAACAAGATGAAGAGGATCTGGGACAGAGTGTTGGGGAACTCTGCCATGCAGACATGGAAATAGATCCCGCATTCCGCCTTGAAGCGGTCGAGGTCCTCGCTTGCGCCAGTGAAGGCAGTGGGTGCAGCGACCTTGGGTGCTTTGGGTTTGGGTGCAGGTGTGGGTGCAGGCATGGGTGTGTGTCAGGGACGTGTCCGGGGTCGAGAGGGCCCAGGGGTAATATCCGGCACTGAGGCCGTCGCGGGGTGTGGAGCGGGCGTGCGTACTGGCGGGCCCGATCTGGGACAGTGGTCCCTGGCCACTCAGACTGAAGTGGAGAATGTGTTATTATTATTAAAGGGGAAAACTATACTACTTACCTGAAGTGGAGAATGTGAGAAGAAGGTTACTTCTTCGGTTCCCACTTCAGGTACATTTATGTACATGCGGCTTGAGTCACATGACAGGTGCCACGTCATCCTCGGAGGCAGCCGCAGGCATCCGGGTGTCCCTGTGGGGGATCCCGAGAGCGTCCGCTACATGCGCGCGTGCTGGGCACAGCGGGAAGCCGTCCGGGGTGTGTGGGCCGGACGGGTCAATAGTACATCGATACAAAGGAAGGTGGTCCGTGTAGATAGAAAGAAATAAACAGGAAGAGGAAGATGAGAAGAACGAAATAAAGAAAGGGGAAAGAAGAGGGAAAAGAAAGGGGAGGAGAGGGAGGAAGGAGGGGGGAGGGGGATAGACAGCGGGGAGCGGGTGTGGTGTGGCCGGGTGGGCCCGGGTCAGGCGGGTGTGCCCTGACAGTGTGGGTGTGGGTGGTGGGTTTTGGATTCTGCTCTCGAGGATCGCTTGCAGTTCCTGGAACCTGGTCAGCAGGTCCTGGTACTGCTCCTCGGTCACCATGCTGGAGGAGGCGGGGGAGACTAGGTTGAAGCCTTCTTCTGCTGTCAGGGACAGTACAGGAGAGGTGGGGGTAGCGGCGTAGTGGCGTAGCCCCCGGCACTAGCGGCCTGGGTGGCAGCAGAGTAATGGGAATGTATGGTGAGTGGCCCTCACTCGGGCTCGCGTCCCTATCCGGCTTCTTAGACTGAAGCAGTAGTGATTGTTATTAGAATGAAAGGTTAAACTAAACTAAGCTAGACTAAGGTACTTGCCTGAAGCAGTAGTGAGAAGAAGGCTACTTCTTCGGTTCTGCTTCGGCTCGGTTTATATACAGGCAGGAACAGGTCATGTGGGGGTGCCACGTCAGCCCGGGCAGAGCCAGGCTGTCACGGGTGGCTCTGCAGGCAATCCCGAGTGTCAGAGGAGAGAAGTACAAGTGAGGATGCACAGTGTATCCGGCAGCGCAGTACCCACACAGAGTACTTGGCGCCAGATGCATCCGTGCTACACAGGTAAGAGGAGAGATCGTCCATATAAAGAAAGAAAGGGAAGAAGAAAGGGAAAGGGGGAGGAGGAGCAAAGAGGAGCAATGGGAGGGTGCAGTGTGGAGCAGTGTGCCCTGACACAAGTATATACAACTTGCCTACTGTGGGTCAGAGATGAGAAGGAAGTTAACTTCTCATCTTCCCACAGTGGCCACAATAGATCGAAAACTTCCGGAGATATCCGGAAGTCACATGAGACCCGAGACCCGGGGCCCAGGGCATCCAGCCGCATGGAGCATCCGGCACAGGGCACGCATGGGAAGTGCAACAGCCGGGTGTGGGCACGGGTGCGGGTGCGAGTGCAGGTGTGGATGCAGGTATGGGCTAGGTCAGGGTGTATGCCCTGACACTGAGACCATGTGTACAAATTCCAACACCCTGGAGTACTGTCAGGGATGGTACAGGAGAGGCAGGAGTGGCGGTGTAGCCCCCAGTGCTAGCGGCCCGGGCAGCGGTGGAGTAGCGGGATTGTATAGCAAATGGCCCTCACTTGGGCTCACGTCCCTGTCTGGCTTCTTAGGCTGAAGCAGTAGTGATTGTTATTAGGATGAAAGACTAAACTAAACTAAAGTAAGACACTTGCCTGAAGCAGTAGTGAGAAGAAGGCTGCTTCTTCGGTTCTGCTTCAGCTCGGTTTATATACAGGCAGGAATGGGTCACGTGGGGGGTGCCATGTCAGCCCGGGTGGAGCCGGGTTATCGTGGATGGCTCCATGGGTGATCCTGAGTGTCAGAGGGGAGAAGTACAAGTGAAGATGCACGGCGTATCCGGCAGTGCAGTATCCACATGTGTTAGAACTGGGCGAGGGCAGACGATTCCGGAGGGGAACCGGAGACTTAGCAAGGAGGGACCTTGGCCTCAGCGACTCAAGCGGAGCGCTGTGCCATTGCTGTTTGTCCATTTGGTCCTTAATTTCATAGGAGGCGAGCAGGAAGTCTCTAGGGGGCATTTCAGGTCGATTTTAGACTAAGGACTAAAACGAGTATGTACAAGCGCCGATATATAATGGAGGGGGCAAAAGCACAAGGAAACAAAGGGGATCCAAATCGGAACAAAGGCGTCCGAACGGGAACAAAGGGATGACAGAAGCGGGGTGGTACCAAAGGTCATAAGGTAGAACCTATGGTACGTCTGAAAGGAGGTAAGGAGGGCGAAGCCCAGAGGGGCAGGAGGATGAGGGGAAGTGGGGATGATGACTAACTGGCTAGAATGGGAAGAAGCAGCAGTCCAAATAGGGATGAGGGGAAAACGCGAGAGATACATTACAAGTGGCGAAAGAGCCGAAGATGATCTGTGGAGCTCAGAGCTTACGGAGCTTATGGAGGTTATGGAGGCAGGGTTGAAAGTCCGAGGAATATTGGCAATGGTGTTTACGTGGTATGAGGTCACCAATGCAATGGACTAAGGCTGAGGTGGAGTCAAAGTCCGAGGTAGGAGCTATGACGGAGTCTCGGAGCGAAGGTACGAGCAGTGTCTGAGTACGAGGTACAGGACAGCAGCGGAAGGTCGTAACTTGGCAGGAGGTCGGCGGAAGAGGACCAGAGGGAAGAGGGAGGAAAGAGGGAAGAGTGGCAGAAAGGAGAGTTGTCAGGTCCGAAGGAGTGTATTGGAGCGGATGGGAGAAGAGTAGGAGGATGACAGAAGGGTGGAGGTGTTGTGAGGAGGGGGCGGAGGAGTGGGAGGAGTAGGAAGAGGGTGGTGAGAGGAGTGGTGTTTGGTCCGAGGTGAGTATCAGAGTGGACAGAGATAGGACAGGAGAGGGACGGAGGAGTGGAGGTGGCATGGGGGGTGAGAGGAGGTGTGGTGTCAGGACCAAAGGTGAATATCGGAACGGACAGCAGTAGGGCAGGACTCTGGAGGTGGTGAAGGAGGAGGTCTGGGAGTCGGGTCGGGATCGGGTATGCACGGATATGACAACATGGAGTACTCGGTGCCGGATGCATCTGTGCTACATGGGTAAGGGGAAATGTTATGGAAATGTGAATTTCCCATTTCTAGCCTCTTATGGGCTCTGTACAGTACAAAGTCACGTGATATGTAAATAATAACAACTGAACCAACAATTATCACCCAAAACACCCGATGTCCATGTTATTGTAAACCCCACTGTTACAACATCTGTTACATTAATTGTAACATCTTCTCAATGTCACGGCCCCCTCCTGCACCCGGACGCTATAGAAATGGGCCAATTAGGCCCCATTTTTATAACAGGAAAGGTCATCCATATAGAGAAAGAAAGGAAAGAAGAGAGGGAAAGAAGGGAGACAAAGGAGAAAGGGAAAGAGGGAGAAGAAGGAAAGAGGAGCAACGGGAGGGTGCGGCGCGGAGCGGAGCGGCATGCCCTGACAAGTACCTGGCCAACTCTGGAGGAAATGCAGAAGTGTGAGCTGTTCCTGGACTGGCCAATCTCCTCCTGATTCTCCCAGTGCTCTCCATACTCCGGAGCACTCAGGAGCATAACAATATTTTGCTGATGATGGCAGAGCAGATGTAGATAACAAACTCATTAGCACATATATAGATACAGACAAAAACCCCCAGATAACACAAACTCCAAGGATCCCAAAACCCAACAGTATAAATCACCAACTCCCCACTATGTACAGGTGGTCTCCTCATGTATTAGGCAGGGTAGCGATAAGATAGATCCACCACCATTCTAGTGAACACCACAGCCTGGAACAAAGTGAATATCCCATTCACTTTGAAATCGACAGATTCCCTCAAAAACGCAGTGAGGGGCCCAAACAATGATTAGTCTGTGCATCATAATACAAGCAATGAAGTGTCACCGAGACAGACTGCTGTCGGCAGCACATACACACACAACTAAATCACAACACGGTCCGAACAGTGAATGGAATAATCAAAACATGCAAGTCAATGAGTCAAAGTACTACTAACACGCATCAAAGTAGATGTGCGTTAATTAGTTTCTCCGCCGTCGACCCCGCGAAGTCATCATCCGTAGGGGAGTGAGAAACGACTGCCTTTGTTCCGGTACCCCAGAGTGTAAGCTTCGTCTTCGCGGAGACCTTGTCATCAACCGCCTTCAGCCCTTTCTTTCCCTCCGTGGAATTTGGGAGCAACCGGCTGCGCCACGCGAGTTTCTTACTTTTCTCGGGTGAGGATGGCCGATTCGACTCGGCTGTCCCCGGTCGTACTGACGTTTTACGCTTGTCAGAACGAGGATCCGATATGTAGATATCAGAAGACGGATCATAGTTGTCGTCCCCAAGTATCTTAAAAGCCTTTCGCGGTAAGCTGCTTTTGCTCATAGGTGGCATATTACCAAGATCAACATTTTCAAACGAATCTTCATGGGGTACCTCAACAATGCTTGTTGCAAGTGTTTGAACGGAGTCCGCTGTGTTCGGCCGAGAAGGCCCGGCGTCGCTCAAGGATCGCCGTCGTGATGACTTGAGTGCCGGTCCGAGGCCGGATGAAGAATCTACGAGGGTGTTAGCACTTTGCTTTCTGGAGATAGGACGTGATGCAGAGGCCTGGGCCAAGGGCAGGGCAGGTGCTGCTGTGATCGACATGGGGGAAATGAGTGATATAGGGATCTGGTCTTTGATCGGGGGTGTAGGAGCAGGGGAATCGCTATCAGGAGAAATTTCTTCCGACGGTGGAGCGTCCTGCAAGGCACGACGGCCGAAGCCCATCTTGGATTGATCCACTGTTCGTTCGGGGGGAGGGGATTTGAGGCGTTGTTGTATGCTGCCAGAACCGAGAGAGTTCATGGATGTTTGTCGGGTGAACACACGACGTGGGTCCAGCAGAGCACCTTTAGCAGGTACCTGTTGGTCCTCACTCGAGGACGCAATTTGAGTTGGCGTTACCGAGCCTTCCCGAATAACGGGAACGTTCGGACCCGGAGACATCGGCACAGCATTCGAGAATGAGCGTCCCCTCGTATCAGAGTCGCTCCTCCCGCGCTGCGTTGGATCCTCTTCAGGTGCCTTCAACAAGCCGGTATTGACTTGAACCACATTCAAGTTCGCCCTTGCGATACCCAAATTGGTACTTGAGTTCTGTCTAGATGTAACCCTTTCGCTCTCCAAATCTCTCGAGTGTTCATGCTCGTTTGACCCTGAGCCCCCATGCCCATTCGTGCGTAGCCCACGAGAAGTGGCGGGCACCCCGTTACGGATAACTGCATCCGACATACCTCTCGCTCGCGCAGCACGATGCTGAAGATCCTCCTGTGAGTCATCACGCGTAGGAGGTCGATCAGATCGGTCATGCCTGCTCAGCCGGCTCGACCGCCCACCGCCTTTCCTGCTTGAACTCATCACCACACGCAACGCTCTAAATATAGGGTTCAGCAACCAGCCAACTTGGCATCAAGACGGGCGAGTTTTTCAGAGCACTTACCGTATCTGGAGATTCTGCGAGTCGCATAGCGTGGCGACCTCGTAGACTCCAACGCTTGTGGCTGGTGACAGGGTTTGGTGCATGATATGTTTGACAAGTTTTGATAAATGTGGTAATTCATATATTGCACTAAGAAGTAGCAAAGCGCTCAACACCAGCGGTGCATGTTGCAACGGAGTGATCATGCTTCCGGTGTAAAAGTACTGCAGGAGAGCCTTCGTGATGGGATACGGTTCAGACAGGCGCAGCATCCTCGGCGTCAACCGAGGGTCAGGTCGGTCTGCCGGGTTTTCAAACATGTCCTCAGGCAAGGGGTCTGGGAGGGGGGTTTCAAACTCAGACGGTGTTTGCGTTGCCATGATTTTCTTGGCCGCCTCTATGTACTTAGTCCGCTGGAGCCTGAACCAAGGCCATCGCTCTTCGAGGAGCTTGCGCGAGCATTTAATCTTCCGCCCATCCTCACAGAGGATCTCGAAGTCCGCAAAAAGCTCCACCTCCAGCGCATCAAGACCCACTATTTGACCTTCGATGGGGCTTTGAAGGGATGGGTAGGTGTACATCCCAAATGCTTCGAGCTCGATGTACACGACGTGATCCCAGTTGAGCAAACGACGATTATAATCCTCAACCAAATTTCCCGCACGATTCCCAAAAATAACATATATGTTAGCGTCTGTCCATAACGCGCCACGGGACCAGGATCCAGTGGTCAGTATTGTGCCAGGATCGATGCGCGACCATGTCATCTCGTCCAAATCGAGCGCCCAGAGAGAAAAAGATTGGTATGACTGGGCCAAGTATGTCCCAGCTATGATGAGATGTTTGCCAATGATCACCCCGGTGGGGAAACGAAGACCTGGCGGGAGGGCTGCACCGCTCATCATATCAGATTTATCCATAATATGAAACGTATCTTCGGAAGGCGTGAAAACTTCAAGTTCGCGCTGCACATCGGTAAACTGACGGAGAAATGCTGGTCAGATCGTGTCGACTGCAATTCATCTAAGGAAAAATATCACATTATAATTGCTGTAAAGATGTATCTCTGCGGGATATTCCAGAGAGGGGACGTCCGAATACGGGACAAAGACAAGTTGATCAGAAATTCCTTGGGCAGGATGAGGGGGCATCATCGTGTCGCCTGGAGCAGTAGCCTTCTTCACGTTAGCGAATACTGACTCATTTCTCCGTGTTGACACCCTTTCGCGAACAGGGTCACGAATTACAGTGCTGGACGCGACAGCGACGCTCCGGTATGTCCCACAATGTCGCGGGTACTCTCTCTGTTCTACCCACCGCTTCTGTGAAAGATCAAAGACATGGATGTCATCCAACCAAGTGTTAGACATGTCTTGTCCACCAATGATGAACAATCTCGAGGCGGTGATAGAGGAGAGGTGTGCATAGCGAGGACGAGGTATTAGAGGGTCAGAAGCGTAAGGGATGACAGACGGCCAGGATGAAAGAGAGAGGGTATCAAGAGTGGTAGGGTTTGTCTCAGCGGCTGGAATCCACCGATGCTCCGCGAGTGAAAATAGTCGAACGTCGTTAAGAACACAGAGTGAGTCGCTGTTCTTTGAGGCGTAGCCCATCCCCCCGAAAATAATCAGAAAGCCGTTCCAACTGTCTGCACTGTGAAAATAACGGGAAGTTGGGGTATGCGCTCCGCCGTCATCGCCTGAGGGGGTGATGTTTTTCCACACTGAGGTTCGCAGATCGAAGAGATATAGGTCAGAAGTCATCCGTCGCACTGAGTGCAGACGACCGCCAAAGAGGTACATCTTGTCGCCCACGACGGTAGTTGAAGCTCCAACAAGAGGTGGTGGTATATCGCCTGTCGTGTTCCGTGCCGAGGTCGTCAGGTCCGAGATAGAGTGCATGGCCATGCTTGACAACACCACCAGAATGCAACAGATGACCAACTGTCCTAGCAGTGAAGAGAAGACACCAGAAAAACGCCTGAGATGCTTTTCAGAAACCAATGAACTGGCGCTTTTGATGGACTTCAACAATATATGAGAGGTGATGGATTCAATTCATGTCATCGGAAAAGGCACTTTCCGCACAATCCCGTGGCCACCGCCCTCGCACCTTTCAGTGTCTTTTCCAGGGCTCATTTTACCGCCTGGACCCTGGTTCTTCCACTTCCTTCATGCGTTCTTCATGTTAACAAGCCACCTCGTGGCGCCCAAACTGCTTGGGCGCTTCTACTTGACGCTGGGCGGCCCCGTTGCTACGGCGTTTTCATCTGTGCTTGCTCTGACCAAAGGATGTGCTTCGTACTAAACGTCATTCACACGCGACAACTGCAATGGCATGAAAACGTTTATATCTATTCTCGCCCTCTCTTGGTATCCTTTTCACGCAAATATTTCAACATTATGGTACACTCGGGCTCAAGCTCACCATACCCATTTTGTGTTGACTCCGAAGTTTTTCAATGTAAGCATATTCGTTCATGATTCATACAGCAGACACGGATGCGATCGGTATTCTCAGTCATGATCGGATCACCTCGAATTCTATGCTTTTCCGTTCTCATCTCTCTGATTCGATGGTCGACATACTATCAAATGCAGTCAGCTCTCCAATAATGTGGGTTGGCGTTTGCTTCATTTACTGCTCACATAGTAAGACAACAAGTATGGCTGGCGACAACCCAATTGCCGACGATCTGGACCTACATCTATTTCTGGGGCGTCCACTGGCATATGGGGAACACAGTTTCTGGATAGCATAAACACCTCTACCTGTGGTGGCACTTCTGGACGTACCGCAGCCAAGCGGTCACTCGAGGAAAAACATTCGCGAAAGACTCGTTGTTGGTCTATTGGTCGCACTAGTGCCTGTCACAGTTTACAGTAAGCTACTAGTGTCTCATCCTCTGTTGTCCAATATGGCTCCCTCGCAATGCATTTGTAATTGTGACACAACTCCAAAGTTTCTCTCCTTACCACTTGAGCGCTGGGCGTGCTTCTGCGCGCCTCTCATCACACTCAACTTCAGAACAACATGGGCTCCGCACTCATCTGGTCTTCTGGAGGCGCGAAGCAGTGTCTGGATGATGTCACGGTCTACATCTGGAAATGGCCACTAATAGTGATGCAGCATTCATTAATAAATTGCTCCTCGCACGATCAGTTCTTCTGACGTTCCTTGGACGTCCTGCTATGCGGAATCTTTTTCAATGACCACGAGTACCAGTCCCCAGGACCATATCCTATTGTCCTGATACGATACCCTCAAAAAATTGTGTCACAGTCCTTCCTCGAGTCCCACATGGCCACCAGTTAGATCTTTCCCCTTCCTCCTGGAAACCTACACACCAACCAGGAGAGTCCATCGCACATCCAAGAATCATTCCTTCTAACGCATGAACACTGTGATTGGTTTCACGCACCTCCGAAGAATACGTGGATTTTTGCCATGTCTCCGAGCAGTGCTGCACGAGTGCGGGGTAATTTGTTGGCTGTTACTCTGTCAATTCACTCCATCTCCCAATGAGCGGAGCCTTGCCACAATAGGTCAAACAACCGAAAGTGATGTGAATCCCTCTTTATAGGGTTGAGCGCCGTGGGTACACCAATGAATGATTCATCTGCGGCGCACGTTGGTTCTAGAAGACTCACCACTTTAGTAGAGGCTGGGATCTTGCCTAGAAGACCTATTCCAACCCCTCAACATCAAAATCATCCTACAGAAGCAGTCTTTTTCTGGTTTCTGGGTCTCGCTACACTGTTCTCTTGTCTGACTAAATTGCTTCGCTACTTCTCACCTATTCTCATTACCGCCGGGAGATTCCGAATGCCGGTCCTCTCCATTTGCCGATCGAAGATTCCCGCTTAGACAAATAGACAAATATATTCGGCCAACTCCGCTTAGACCTACGATACAATTACATATCACGTGGCATTAAGGCTTTGATTCAGATGCTTGCCCAGCTCAGCTTTCTCTGAGCGTCTTACATCTCCTGCTCGCCACCACCAGGAAATGGCTTTACACACCCTGGTTTCTTGTCTAGCATGGGAGGCACGCTAGCTCTGGGGTCAGAAATACACACGTACTGTTGTCCGAGTTGTCCGTTATGTTCGCTCCCTCGCCACTTGCTGCTCGTGATGTTTCCATAGCTGGAGACGACGTAGAGAGGCTGTTTTCAAGCCTTAACAACTTGCGAGCTTAATAGAAGGAGGAAGTTACCTCGGATGCAGATTTTGGCGCGCATGGAAATCACCGAGCGATTAATCGTACCTCTTCGTGATCGCTGCATTGTTGCCGGACTAGGATGAGTGACAGCACCAAGCTGCATATTTGTAAGGAGTAATGATCATACTAGTATGGCAGGATTGGGGTCATTGCGCACAGCCGACTCTCTCCAATTGATGGTCGGGAAAGTTGGATGATAAAGAAGTCAGGCAGAAACGCTAGCGAGTCAGGATTGAAGGTGGTTCGATTGGATACTATGTTGTCAGACCACTTCGGGCCAGTGAACTGTTCGCCTGTTCGTGATGATCAACAACATTACAATGATGTTCCCGCGCTCCCTTGATGGACAGACTTGACGACATCCGAATGGTACGGGTAGTGGGGCAGTTGATCAACCGGTTTTCATGTTATTCATGAATGGATAAGTCGTGAGACAACATCACGCGACTCGATGTTCCCTTTCATGACCACTGAGCCGATAGTCCCAAGAAAACAAATACGTTGTAGACTGGAATATTCTGGTTAACAAATACCGGCAAGGATAGACCAATATCAGAGACACATATTACTTAACACTGTATTTTTGAGGTAAAATATCCGAGCTTGGATATTTCCAGAATCCCCACAGAATCTTGGAAGTATCCGATGCTGGATATTGAAGTATTCCACCCATGACCCCCATCATATTGCTCGGTTATAAGTAACAGGGATATGAGAAAGGGTCCATGGGGATATTACTCATAAACACTCATGGATAACCCCCCGGGATATCGCCTCTATATCAGTAGAGGCTGGGATCCTACCTGGATATCGCTAACATTTATTAATCGCAAAAAAGTTTTTGCAGTACATGATACAACTTTTCCAAGGCTGGGTTTGTGTACACAGTGCTAGCGCACATGTTCGACGGAGCCCTGAGTGTAAGGCATAGTTGCCGCACACAATCGAGTACGCCAGCACAGAGAAGTACTTGTCAAGTGCCACCTAGCAGCCCTGTCTGACTGCTTTTGGAGGCAAACTCCCATCGTAACCAAAAATCGATCGCATCTAAAGATTCCCGTCGCGTGCCGCCAGTCACCTCGTCAAGTCAGAATGAGCTCAGTGGGTAGTGGGTAGTAGTATATGTGTAAATAGATAGGTACAACCCCATCACGCCCTGGAAAGCTATGATACCAGTCATCGAAAACAGTTTTAGTTAAAACCACGCACATACTCTTCCAGTTAGGTAACGATTTGGGGTTAAAAAGAGAGTTGTCAGACGATTGTCAACGTGCTTCTCTGATTTGGCATCTTTCTCAGGGGGGGGGTCCGAAGGCCAGGCCGCTTCGGCCGAACCTCAGCAATTCGGAAGGGAGAAAATGGTGCTTGATGGACGGGCAAAACAGCCCGATCGAGCCAGGAGGCAAGCGCGCGTGCGCGCGCATCAGTGGCGCGAATATTACGATCTGGAAGACACTGCGTATGGTAGTAGGGAGTTGTTTAGAAATGTGATCAGACGCAGTTTTTAACTGATTGGACGGTAGAAGGTACTGGCAATGAACATTTCGGCGGTCTCGGTGCCAAGTGAATGTATAGCAAGCACATGCGCCACAGAGAGTCGAACAGCGGTACAAGGTATTACGAGTCTGACGTTCAAGCACTCGAGAATATAAGCAAAGGAAAAAAAAAAACCACAGAAATGTACCAAAACGGGGAAATAGTTACTACAGACGATAAGATGGCAGAACTATCTGTATCTCGGCGACGTTCAGTTGGATATTCTGAAACGGAAAAAGGGACACTCACATTAGAACCATAGGGTAAAAAAAAAAAAAGAGTCTAGGAGATCACATTCCGGAAAAAAAAACCCTAACTTCAAAGCGGAACAAGACGATATCCCATACCCTGAGCCAAACGAGAAAGCCAAATATAAGCATCCGAGTTCGTCGAGGAGCTCGGACGCGTTTCTGGGAACTCCAGGTAAGTTTCAGCCGGCGTACTGTTCAATGGTGTGTCGCGTGCGCGAGATGGTCCAGCAGAAAGTTCATCGTTGGCAGTGCGGTGCGACGACGTTGCAGTGGTAGGGTCCAAGTTTTTGCTATTATAAGTCGACATTCCCCAGTGAGGAGTGATGTCGAAGGAGGAAGATGCGAAGTTGGGGAAGGCAAATTCACCATAAGGAAGATGATCCGAGTAGGCGAGGGATGAGGCGTCCAGGATGGGCTCTTCCCTACTCCCACCGCGCACGTGTGGAGATAATCCGAGTACAGGCGTTGGGAGGATCATCGTGGAAGTGGAAGAGGTGTTATCAACGAAAGGGAAGGTGCCCAAGTTATTCGAGACGGTAATAGGGAGTGGTTCATCCAGTGAAAGGTTCTCCGCGTTACTCTGCAATGCATGAAAGGGGGTTGGAGAAGTAATGGTGGACGATGCCAGTGCTCCTGGACCGCTTGAAAGCTGAGGGGTGTCACCCCCAGAGTTCGATTGCAAACCTGAGAGAAAATCGCGTGTTTTTGGAAGAGGCGCTACAGAATGACGGAGGAAACGGGTGTTAGATGAAGCGTGCAAGGGGCATGAGCTGTGTAGCACGCCACGCACCTGTCTCAACGCCTTCACGTCTGGTATGTCTAGTAGCAGCCAGTACTCTAACCTCCTGCAGACATTCCTGGGCTCTCACAGACGCCTGTATGTTTCCCAAACTTCATTTGTGAGGTGAATCATCGGCGCACCCGTCAAAATACTTACCCTGACTGCATTGGAGATCTTGATCGGACACGCAACGCACTCGACTCGCATCCACTTGCATGCATCACAGCCTTGGTGATTGGGAAGCCAAACGCATCTCTACAGAGTTCAAAGAAAAAAGAAAAAACCGGTGAGGAAAAGGTCCATCCGCATGGGTCAGAACTGTAGGATGAGAAAAGGGCCGGACTACGTTGGAAGTTGGGTGGTTGAGCTGACGGAGTTGGCCGTTTGAATAACCAGATGCACAAGATCCTCGGATCTACTATGCTGCTCATGTTGACGTCCACCCCGAATGATAATATTGTGCGTCACCCCAGGGCGAGCGAGCCCTGAGAGGACGTTGGATGGGGACGGAGAAGAAACATGCAAGTGGTAAAAGTGTGTTCACAGTGTAAAGCGCGCACCTTTCCTCTCAATCGGCAAACAAAGCATGAAAGTGAAGGCATGGGGCGGAGGAACTCGCTGATGAAGTACAAGGCCAAAGGAATAACGGGCCCCCTCTACTTTTAAATCATCTTTTGACAGTCCAGGACGAATAGATTTGGTGTACGGTAGCCTCGGATCGCTTGGGCGCCTCACTGACTGGCGTTGCAAATTCATGCACAGTGTTTTCCCTGAATAAATGGTTGAGGCAGTGAATGAATTTACTTCAAGCACAGTCGACCTGAAGCACCTCTCCATTGAAACTTTATTTATACTTGTCGCTGATTGCCGCTAAAAAGTGCAAGTTTTATTCATGTCAATTGACATTATCTGGACACCGGCAGTCTGAAGCAAAAGCGACACTTCCCTGCTGGTACCTTGGTGGCGTCCAAAGAGAGCTGTTCACCTTGAAGTTGGTCAAAGTCTTCATCAAGTTTACTATCTCTGATACGGCCTGCCTCAGTACCTAGTACTAACTCTACACCCAGGAATTGGCTTGATGATCGGACGGTGCTTAGAGGCATATACACCCGGCTATTTCTCACAGATGCCAACTAGCTAGTTGGTTACCATTCGTCTGTCATCAAATATTCCGGATCGGGGGGGGGGGGGGGTGCAGCGCCATGACCAATAATCAGTGTCTCTCTTTCTCGAGCGAATCACGGGTCGACAACCCGAAGGCAGTCCCCACGATCGATCAAGTACCGAACCTAGTCGGCAAGTTGCTCGCAATCTGGCTCGGACGGCCTGTGCCCCCCGTTGACATGCCGAGGCGGTAAGCAATCCGAAATTTCAATTTACCTCGGTATGTATTCAATACATTACCGGATGTCAATCCGAATCTTCAATTAAAACGATCAGTATAATTCAGCTCCACATAATTTATTGGGCCCTGATTCATTCTCTCTTGCCATTCATGTACATTGTGATTCAGCAGTGGCCTAGATTAGGCTACGCTGTGACTTAAAAACAATTTGTACACACATACTATAGAAATATATGACATTCACACACTCATTGACGTGTGGCCCCAGTTGCTCTGCTATGTTTCCTTACGGTCCGGAGCCCCGCCACACAAAAAAGGAACCCTTGGGGGAATATGAATATCATGCAACCATACAACAAGCGATGCAGTAACTCCAGAGCCGGAAAGGTGGGCCGAAGTTAGGCAATTTGACTCGTCAGTCCCGGAGCTAAATAAGGAGAAACAACGTATTCAACGAATGTAACATGCCCTAGCACTCCAAGTATATAATCAATAGGTTGCTCTGGGGGTGGGCTTGCCGATGGGGAACGACTTACCGGACTTATCGATGGACGACCTTGGGTGGCACGAAGCGAATCGCCTTGTATGGCCAAATACTAAAATGGTGATGGACTTCTCTGAATCCCCGCGCGCGCTCAGGACTCGCTCATATGCGTTTCACATCACTCGTTGTCAAGGGAAAACCACCCAATGAAAGACGCTGGGACGCGAGCACAGGTAGACCTGAATGACACAGCCGCACAATTCAACCCGATTGGCTCGACTGAATGACCTACTTCTTCGGTTGAGCATGAGCGTTTATTCGGAATTGTTGGGTTGCCGGGTTGGACAATGAGCTCGGATCAAGTAACATGAGAATCATAACACAGACTACACGTCAACGAAGGTAGCAAGGGCTGAGAATGAGGCCCCCGATTCTACGCATGATACGAGAAAGGCTTGGAACAGCATTAGCGATGGGCAAACAATCACACCACATGGAAAACTAAGTCAGAGACAATGATTCTAAACATTCAAATGGGTAGACCGAAAGGAAAGGAATCACCTTATGCGTACGCGGATTCAGGGGCACGGAGGCGGTATCCCAAGCTTCTGAACCAGGCCTCGGAGCCAGTAGACAACATCCTCATTCGACTTCGTGTCCATCATCCGCCCGTTCGAGTAGACGATCAGAAGCTTACAATGCTCGTTGCTGGATCGAGCATAAAAGAGGGCCCCAAGTCTTGAAGATCCGGCAAGCTGATCAGCGATCACGGAACAGTGAAATGCGTCCAACAACATAGTGTTTGAATTCTCGAAATGATAAATCATCTCGAAGTTACTAAGGGCCAAATTGAGATAAGGGCAGCATCATTTCAGTCAGTATAGGGTCAATTGAAGCAGTTCCTCCTCTCAAACGTTGGATAGGAGGGAATAGGGTTTATGTTGGGAGATGCATCGAGGGTTCTTCACCAAAGTTGCCTTCATGCGCGCATGTTCTTATGGGAAATGCGGAGGGAGGCTCATCAATAGCTGACGTGGTGCTAATGTAGTTCGCTGAAAATACCGCAGCAGATGGTGACGCTTCGGGTGGGCTGGATGGGGTTTCCTTCATCAGCTGCGCCCTGACCTAACGAGTCTTCAAAGATCGGCTGTGGATCCCGGATAAACCTGCGAGTCTTTGGAAGACGTGCTATAGAAAAGTGTGAGCGCGCCATCGAACAAAGCCGTAAGAGTTTATTATAGGCTACGCACCGACCCATGTACGCCTAGACTTTTAACTTCATCCAAGCCCCGGCCGATCTCTATGGATTACTTACTCAAAAAAATCTATCGCCGCAATTACGAAAAAGCATACCTTGATTGCACAAGAAACCATCATCGAGCAGGGGATAGCATTCGACTCGCACATCCTGTTACAACGAAACACAGGATCGGGAGTTCGGGGACTCGATACATCCCTAGAACCGAGGCGAGCAACGTAAGTCTCCCTTGTGCTATAAGAAAGTGGGAGTGGGACACAGGATACGAGAGAGGCAAATCATGCAAGCAAGCAATCCATTGGGGCATTTAACAGCTTGGACGATGTCCCACGCCGCAAGTTGAACCACAGCGGAGCAGTCAGATGGCATCCAGCTCGCAGGCGTCGCGCCGCCAGCACAATTCAATGCTGGGCTTTTCCAATGGAAATACGAAAAGCAGGAGTGATCGTGATAAACTCGGATGGGGGGGGGTTGAGTATTCATTGGAATCCTGATGGATACACACCTTTCTTCTCAGCCGACAAATCAAACGGGGTGAAGGCATCATGATGGCTAGAGGAGTGAGAGAGAGGGGGGGGCATATCTTCCCAGAGACTTGAAGCATATGTATCCCCCATGCTCGGGGGTTGACTGGCAATTACTGTCAAACGCGAGATCCGTTGGACGGATGGATGAATGTTTCCATCTCGTCAACGACATTCGGTGTAGGTCATGAATCAATGGTTAGACTATGCTTACGAAGAGGCGTCGTTCCCGCTTGGGCACTCCGCAGACGCCCGCGGCCCTGCAAATAATTCCGCCAATTGAGTTCTGCTTACGTTGCAAATTAGTGCATCGATCGTTTTCCTCTTAATTCACCGAGCACCATCCTCACTCAAAAAAAAGGGCTCGCATCTCGAACTGCACGCCTTCTATCTAGGCACTTCCTCCATCGCCCTCCTACTAAGCTATTGGTATGGCCGGTTCCACATCAAGAGAGGCTGGCCTTTCTCCTTTTTGGGTGCTGCCATGCAGTGCCAGCCTCGATCGGATACCACCATAATCAATGATGGTGTATGTATTGATCCTTCTGTGGTGAATGATGATTACTACAACATATCTTGGACACCCACCTTACTGATCTAAAAGACGACTCACCTCCGTCCTCACATTCAACAGGACCGATTGTTAGAAACCCGCAATGAATGCTAGAGCACGATGTTGTCAGTTGTTAGATATATATCGTGCCCTTCAGTAGCTTCAGCCTTTGCGTTTATATACATCACAGTGCGCGTAATATCGCGCACAATAAGGAATCAGGGTAGCGATAAGAAGCAACACGAAACTTTGAAAGTTTGTGTGACTAGGGCTCGCAACGTCAGCAATAGGGTGCCTTTGGTCTGCCTAGTCCCTGGCTACTCGTGGCCGCATTAGGCTGCCACTTACAACTCCAATGTCTTTGTGAGCTGTACTATCATCCACCGTGAATTCCCGACCACTGAGTCTGTCGTGAGATGTTAGGGGCTCTTACGGCGCCCAGCCGTTATGAATTGTATAGCGTCGGAGCTGGCGACCCCGGGATGCCGTGGTTCGGTTCAACAACGAGCCCGAATGCAATCATCCTTCAACCCTTCAAACTGAGTCAACCTGTTGCGATCTAGGATCTCCGGTTCGAACCGAAAACTCTAACTGACGAATCGGGGCCCGGATGGAAGTTGCAATAACAGACATAATGGCGCGCGCGGGAGTCACTCAGGAGTGCAGGAATAGCTCTCATGGGCTCATGGGCTCGGCAAGGTGTTGGCCTAAGGGTTACGGGGACCAGGTGTGTCGCGGTAGGCAGCTTCCTGACTGAAATAGCAGCGAAGCGCTCTTAGAAGAGTATTGAGGCTTCCGAGTTGCATGCGATAGGCTGGTTTCTCGAGTGGAGATGGGGTTACGCGAGTACTTAGAACAATGAAGAACAGCCGCGATCGAGGACGTCGTGGACTGGAGCCGGGATAGATGTGATGCGGCAAAAAGCACGCTCCCGTTGCATGTCAAAATGACATCACTCGCTCACCCTTTCACCTGTTGCCGTGTTTTTTTTAGTGTGCTGATCACTGTCTGCTTTCAGTGCTTCTCAAATTGCCTCACGGCTCCAACCTTCCAACCACTGGTACTTCCTATCTAGAGAGTGCCGGCTCCTCGTCGCCCGGGTGCAGATGGAAATGACAGGTGCTGGAAGGGAAGTGGCATACAACTCCGAATCAACCCACTTAGTTTGACGGGGTGGCTCCTTCAATTTGAGCGTCTGAAGGGCATGAGCGCTTACTTGCGATTGTCGCATTACTGGGAGAGAACCCGTGAATCTTTCGACAGGTCAACGAAACAAGCGAGAACTGGGAAGGAGATCACTGACTCTACACGTCGCACGAGAAAGGCAAACCGAACACAGAACAGCACAAGTCGGAAGAGCGTTCGAAGTGGGTTGATCGAGAGCGAGGGATCAACTGACACGTACGGTACACGCACAATCCAGAAGAACCACTACAACCCACATCGAGTCAGAAAGCGCCAAGGCAATATCCCAGCCTCCGAGTCATCCCGAAGACCCAGGTGAGAAAGGTAAGTCTCCTTCGTGTTATGAGAAGATGTGCGGTGCTTCATGCGCACAAAATGCCCGCGGCAACAAAGGACGGAGAACTCAAAACAAGAGGTATGGGTGTTCAATTGAAATGGGCCAAGTTGCCTATTGGTGGAGTCCCAAAATCGAACAGCATTTTCCTCGGCGCAGAGCTGCACGAAAGTGCAGCCGGTGCAATGGTAGATGACAGATGCGTTGACCGCCTTGAGAACAAGTGACGGGTCGGGTGTATTAGCAAATAGTATACAAGCACAAGGGTTGAATCCAGATACATGGATCGTGTGTCTGTACTTGAAGATTCAAAGTCGCACGGAGTTTCCAAATCCCGGAGTCACTTCGCGGATAACCATCAATTTTCCATCATCGAATCACACGGAGAAGGGGAAGTCACATACAGTCAAAACCATCAAGTGGGTACTCCGATACAGGAGGACCACCATCGGGAGTGGCCGCACCCCGGGGAATGAGCCAGTATCCCATACTCCAAGCCAGACCTCCGAGCCAACTCATGGTATCCTCATTCCGACTCGTATCATTTTCCAGGGTCTCATAGCAAGGCCCATGCGAAGAGGCATCCGATTGTAAACGGGGCATGGTAGATGGTCCAACAGGTTCATAGCGAACCGCACGGTGCGACATGTCTGGCATCGCAAAATGCCAATTCTCGCTGCAGGATACCATCTCTTGGCTGGAGACCGCTTGTTGGAGAGGGGACGCGGAATTATAGGAGACAGACCCACTAGCAGAAGTGCTAGCCACATAATTGGGAACGTGAGAGGGGTAAAGGAGGGCTTCATCAGCGCTTCCGACGTGTGTAGATAATCCTGGGGTAGACGATAGGTAGAGGACTGCAGGATGTACTTCATTGGTGACTGGCACGTTCCCGAGTTCGTTTGTTGATGGGACTACAGTAGAGGATACCTCATGGGCCGAAACAGCCCCGACTTGGTTTAGCCATCCGTGGGCCGCGGTTGGCAATATCGCAAGTGGCGAAATGATAGTGGATGTTGGGAGGATTCTTGCATCAGGTATAGGGTGACCTGTTGTATCCCAGAGGTTCGATTCTAAATATGAAAGGAAGTCTCGCGTCTTGGGAAGCAGTGCTATTGAACAACGAGAAATGGAATAAGCTGCGGATAGGATGACAACACAGGAAACACAGGGACGCGTCACGTACCTATCTCAGCACACGTGGGATCGCCCGAAGCGAGGACCCTGACCTCCTCTAGACACTCCTGAGCTCTAGCCGATTTCTACAAGGTTGTTCTCAGCCCTTCAGCCATATACGGAGCTTCACTACAACGGCGAACGCGTACCCTGAGCACATTGGGGACCTTTATCGTGCAAGGCATGCATTCAACATGCGTGCGTTGACACGCATCACAGGACTGGCGATCTGAGGGCTGAACACATCCCTAGAGACGATGTTGGGTAAGAACGTCTGTCGTGACGTCATGACTGATGCACCGTGGAGTTTGCCGACAGTGTGGAATGTTTAGCCATGCGAGAATGCGCCTTTAGCGCCTTCGATGCCGAACATTCTCAGTTGTCGTGTGGGTAACTCCAAAGTAAGCAATCACTGCCGGAGCCGACCAGTGAGGAACATTGTCTGGGTGAATGAAGTATGTGCACCTTTCTTTTCAGTCGACAGACAAAACAACGCGGAGGCATAAAATCGAAGAGATTGGACAATTCAGAAGGAGAAATGTGAAGGATGAACTAAGGACCCATCCTTCAAGGCTTAAGCTTAAGTAGGCCTATATATCTCCCAAGGGGATGAAGGACTGTTTCAGAAGTGGTTGGCCGATATTCCCATACCAACCAGCGCTAAAGACATCATTTTACGCGCTCAACATTTCAATTCGGATTATCATATCGAATCAAAATCGGGGGCCGTCTCGAGAACGTCTCTCTAGCCGCCGGAGATGGGGAAGATGCTTCGATCTCCGTGTCATGATCATGTGAACAACGGGGATGGAACTCGCATACAGAAGACTGCATGACATGAAAATTTTCAAGCAGCTTACTGCGTCTGAAGAGTGAAATTTTTTGAGATACTATATCTTTGTGAAATAAGCATTTTCAAGCGCGTCGTGTAAAGTGCAAAGTGCAAATTTCATGTGCATGAAATTGAGATCAAATCTGATTCTCAGCGCTCAGTTCGGTTGCGGTCACAGCTGTGAAAAACAAAGATATGTACATCTTATAGGCATTTATGACGGCAGATGGGCTACAAGTGCACACAGCGCTATGCACATGGATGGGCCCGCCTCAAGTTGCATGCAGGGATGAACTGGACCTCTGTTTGTATGGCAGTTGGGCTGTCATTCGCAAAGTGAGAGGGGATCCTGCCTGTTTAACTGAATGAGAACGCGTCCCATCAGCACTGCACATAATTGTTACAATATTTATGTGCTACAGATAGACATATGGCCGTGATGGTTGGAAACGGTGTCGGCAAAGTATATTGGGATCGGCGGGCGCACTGACCGTGGATTCCACGTTGATCGGGGCAATTGATGTCGAAATCATGCAGCAGCTCATCATTAGGTGATGGCAACCCGAGTACCCCACCTAATTCAGTGGCCCCAAAATATCCCCTTAATTTAGCCATTCATTGATTAGAATGTGTCATGCCTTTGATTCCGCCGCCGGAGTTTGTGCTGTGTCATAGATAGAATCATACTCGGTGTAGCGAAGACGCATCACACAACATATTCATGCGTTAATTGATGTGAGACCCCCTATCTCATGGTTGCTCCGTATCACGCATTCCACACGGCCTGACCTACCGAACTCCACCGTACAGAGAAGAAACCCTCGGGCGCACGAGGAACAATTCGGACAGTAAACGATGATGCAACCATCTGCATCCAACGCAACCGATCCTGTGGAGTAGATGACTAAATTACCTCCACGACATCGACGCAACAGTGACATCTACAGTGCCTTGGAACCGGAAAGCTGGAGGGTTTCCCTCGTAAAGAACCGAATGTAGCGGCCAGAGGGACGTGGGTAAGGGATACTATTCGATGGATAACACAATAGTTTTGGAATGAAGGATCACAATTTATCGCTTTAATGGTCGGGAGAGCTGCATGATCAAGCAGCCGCACAGAATTCGAGGAAGGTGGATTGGAGGCTGTCACAATTACACACCAACTGGAGTGGCCAGTCTACTACGTTGTTTCGATGGTGAACAAAACATAATCGTACACGGGTCAGGAGGTGTGTAATAGAATGTAGGTACGGGGGCGCGTTGACTCAATCGTTTGTGCACCGCACGGCACAGGCAACCAACGGCACGCTACAGATACGCTCGATAGGGATATCTGTGGCCCCGTAAATTGGCCAGTATGCCAGCAAGATCGAGTGCGAACCTAGGAATGACTGGATTCCTTTCAAGTGCAAAAATGATAACCCTTGTCATGACGAAACGGCAGGTTTTGGCACCAAACCCGCTTAGGGACAATCGAGTCAAAGTGAATGAAATCCTGGGTATCCGCTGAGTAAGAATGCGTGTGCACCGGTAAATAATCGTGGACATCCGGTGCATCCTCTTGTAACCTACCGTATTTATCTGATCATCCAATGTCGGCATTCTTGGGCCGCATAGAGCAAATCCCCCTGTACATATATCAAAAAGTGATGGGTTTCTGGATCCCCGAATGGTTCGCTAACATGCATGTCACATTATTCGTTGTCAAGGGAAAGTACCCAATGTAAGACCCAGTAGCAGAGGGGACAAAGGCGTGCAATTCACCCAAACCGATTTGATTAATGGAGAACGTGGGCGCTTAAGTGTTCGGGTTCCCTAGGGACCAAGTATATTAGAGACATACACGAGCTACACATCAACGTAATGAGGTCACCGATTCTACGCATGATACGAGAATAGTTCGGAAGACCATTACTGATAGGCAAGCAGTCACCCCACACGGCAAACTAAGTCGAAAGAACCGCCACTACGCACGTGGATTAAGAGGCACAAGGAAATATCCTAGCCTCTGGGTCAGGCCTCGAAGCCAATAGACAACATCCTCTTCCAACTTCTCGACCATCCGCCTATCCTGTGGACAATCCGGAGGTTCGAATACAGCAATGTTGGGTACCAAATTGCATATGCAAGAAGGGTCAGGTACAGAAAGCTGGTCAGGGATCGCGGGATGATGGAATGCGTCCGACAACATAGGGATTGAATTCTCGAAGTGGGAAGTCATTTCGAAGTTAGGGGCAAATGAAGGGAAGCATGGCATCATGTCAGGTAGAATGGGGCAAATGGAAGCGAATCTTTCACTCGAAGGTTGGAAAGGAGGGAATAGGGTTTGTGTGTGGAGATCCACCAAGGGTTCTTCATCGAAGTTGCCTTCACGCGTGGATGTTCCTACTAGAAATGTATGGGGATGCCTATTAATAGGTGACGTGGTGTTAACATAGTTCGTTGAAAACACTGCTGTAGGCGGTGACGCTTCGGGCAAGTCAGTGGGCTCGGTGGGATTTTCTTCATCAGCTGCACCTTGGCCTGATGAATCTTCAAAGAGTGGCTGCAGGCTTCGAATAAACCTGCGAGCCTTTGGAAGACGTGCTATACAGAGATAGAATGTGTGAGCAAAGCATGAAACGGAGTCCCGAGAGTTTACTATCAACCACGCACCGATCCATGAGCGCCTAGGCTCAGCTAGACTTTTAACCTCAAGCAAACACTCCCGGGCCCTAGCCGATTTCTATGGATTATCCCCTTATCAAGGAAGTCCATCAGCGGAATAGCGAAAAACATACCTTGACTGCGCAGGGAATCCTGATCGAGCAGGGGATACATTCAACCCGCATCCTGCTACAGGAAACACAAGAAGGGGAATCCGGGGACTCGACACATCCCTGGAATAAGGTAAAGTGAGTCTCCCCTTCACGCTATGACTACTTTGAAGAAATCACAAAAATGTGACATGCGAGAGAAGAGAATGGACGGCGAAGTCCGATATCCGTTGCTGAGCTCTCCAATCAAGTAGAGTCATCCTGTGCTGCTACAAGGGAAATGGGCAGAGCAGCGGTGACACAGGGAAGGGAGTTTTGTGGTTGCGGTGGTGAAGTTTTCACTAAAATCCTGATAAACTCACCTTTCGTTTCAATCGACAAATCAAACAGCGTGAAGACATCGTGTTTAGGGCAGATGGCTTGTGGAACATGGGGTGAAGGGACATACTTAACTCAGAAGCTTTAAGCACTTCCATTCTCCGGTGTGTTAAATTTCGTCAACTGGAACAATCACCTGATTACACGAATGTCCGTTGGCGCAATTACTAATCTTACGGTTTGTCTGTGACGTCTAGAATGCGCCACAGCACCACAGAATTAATATTCGGAAAGGACTTGCAAATGGAGAGGTTGTCGAGTCATGGATTGGGTGGCGTGATGTTGGAAGCTGACAAATCGGAGCCGAAATAATAGCCACGAAAGAGGACGCCTGCGGGCTGCGATGGTACGCTCAGGTGCGCAGGAATAGCCGCTTGTGGGCTTGTGGGTGTGGCAAGGGTACCGTCAGGGGGCTACCCCTTGGATCGGCTTAGAATCGCGCGCGGTAAACGGTTTCCTCAAGCGAAGGGGCTCTTAAACAAGCATTAAAGATTCAGACTTGCGCATGATGAGCTAGTTTGTCGAGTGGGGCTGGAGTTCAAGTTGCGCTGGTGGGCTGGTGTAGATGGAACGAAGAATAGAATAGCCGCAGCGAAAAAGCCGGATGCTTTGACTTGGTGGGGCAGGGAGAAATGCAGTGCGGCAAAAAGCACATTGACGCCTCACGCCCCTTTCAAACAATGTCGTGACAATTTTGCGTGCACCTCACGGTTCCAGCCTGGACCCAGTACTTCTACCTTGCGGATGGTCCCTCGCAGCTTTGCTTCACCTTGGACAAAACCAATAGGATCCATACAGGATCCGCCATGCCTTCGCTCGGAATTTGGCGGACTTTGTATCTGCCATCCCAAAGTGTGATCTCACAAAGGCCATATCTATAAGGGACGGGATGGAGGGTGCTGTCTTTCTGTTATTTCAAGTCATACAAAGGAATCTCCAATTAGGAGCGTTTCTCATTCACACTATTCGCAGTGCTGTGTGGGATGAACTTGGAGGTGTGCAACTCGACCCGATTCGTGGCTTTAATCGAACGTCTGAAGGATTTCGGCGCTTACTTACGATTGTCGTCTTGCTGGGTTGGAGGGAATCTTTCGGGTCCCTCGGGAAAAAGTTGTATTAGGAACGAATACGAACTATAGGTCGACGAAACAAGCGAGAAAGGTCACCGATTCTACAGAAATGGCAAAACAAACACAGAAAGCACGAATCGGAAGACCATTTGTCATACGCAGCCAATCACACACCACGGAGCCAACGAAGTTACCACAGCAATTCCGAACATTTGGGGCGCGGGGAATCAACTTAGCGTTGCGGTTCACTCTTGATCCACCACTACCCACATCGAGTTAGAAAGGGACAAGGTGATATCCCAGCCTCTGAGTCAGGCCTCGAAGCCAAAAGACGACGTCCTCATTCAAGTTCGTCTCTGTTCGCCTGTCCTGTAGGCAATCAGGAATTTTGGGTGCGGCAACGACCGATGGTGGAGCAATTACGTGAGAGGGACCAGGTCTAGAAGGCCAGGCGGGCTGATCGGGGATCGCGGCACGATGCAATGTGTCCAACAACAGAGGATTCGAATTGTCAAGGGGAAAAGCCATTTCGGAGTCGGGGACAAATTGAGGGAAGGACGGCATCATGTCAGGCAGGGTAGGGCCGATGGAAGTAGACCCTCCCCCTAGATCATGGTCAGAAAGAGGGAATAGGGTTTGTGCTCGGGGATCCAAGGATTCTTCACTGACGTTGGCTCCACGCACAGGTGACCCAATTGGAAATGTATTGAGCGGCTCGTCAACAGCTGATGCGGAGCTAATGTAGTTCGCTGGGAAGACTGTAGTAGTAGACGGGAAAGCATGGGGCAGGCCAGAGGGCTCGTGGTTCCCAAGTATATGTGGGGTTGTCATCGCCAAGGGATCGGTGGGGTTCCCTTCATCAGTCGCGCTTTGACTCGTCGAATCTCCAAGGATAGGCTGCAGGTCTAGGAGAAGCCTGCGAGTCTTTGGGAGACGTGCTACGTACAAAGGTAGGGAAATATGAGCACGGTATCGAACAATTTCTTGAGTTATTACCACGAACCAATCCGTGTACGCCCAGGCTCAGCTAGCCTTTTAACTTCAAGCAAACACTCCCGGGCCCTAGCCGATCTCTATGGATCATTCTTTTATCAAGAAGTCTATCGACGCGACAGGAACAAGCATGCCTTGACAGCACCGGGAATCGCCATTGGGCAGGCGATGCATTCAACACGCATCCTGCTACACGGGTCGCAAGGTCGGGAACCTGGGGACTCGGTACATCCCTGGGATAAGTCCAAAGAAAGATGGGTGAGAAATGTGTTTGTCACGCTGTGTCACCAAAGGTGTGACATGGACAAATTTGAGTTGCTCTAATGAAGTAGCGACGCCGAAGTCGGACTCCCGGGCGGTGGCAAGATATACATAGATATTCGCAACCAGACATACCTTTCCCCTTAGTCGACAGACAAAACAGCGTGAAGGCATCAAGTCGAAAGTGTTTTGATGCAGGTGACTAGTGAAGTGGGGGACAAAAGATGTTTTGATTTTGGAGGTTTTGTTCCAATAGAGGCTGGTAGTCTGCCTAGGTTTTGAGGGCTTGACACTCGAAAGATGCACGTTTCAGTAATAAACAGATTGGAAAACCAAAATGGCATTCGGAAATTTTATTTCAATTCAAAACATTAGAGTCCAATACAGTAGAATAAACGGTCCCTGCTATTCATTATTTACTGCAAAGGCCCAAATAGTAAAGAAAAGTGCACAAGCGAAGAACCCTGCTGGCCCTGAGCAGTTGCCATCACCGGCTCTGCGGAGTTGTCCGAATGATATTGTAATATTGTAATATTCTACACAACTAAGAGGAGAGTGTGTGTCCCTAATTACATGACACACATGATTTAAGGCATAGTTGCATCCACGGGACTCATCAAATTTCTTCGCAATACAGCGGGTCGTATCGAAGCGCTGCCTTGTGTTTCGTCCATGCATAACCATCCCAAGCACCTCATACGGTTTCTCGTGTTGTTTGTTTGCAATCGATCGCCCACCCGCACAGAAGTTAGGACACATGAAGCTCAAGATGTAACCGACCTGCGACAGCGCCGCTCAGCACGGTGAACAAAGTCACCATGGACAGGTATAGATTGACGGCGGCCTCATTATGTCTCAGACAATTGTACTTACCCTGATTGAAGATCCATTATCGATAGTCTCTGCTCATTCCAATCAAGCCCTGCAGCGCAAGCGCAGACAATGCCGTTCCGTATCACAAATGATAGAATGCAACGTAAGTACGGATGAGATCCAAACTGCCAAATCAGAGTTCTTCGACTTGACTTCCGTGCCTATATCTAGGATGTTTTCGCGCATGATCAAGTGGGCTGCGCTGGGATCAAGAAAATCACCATCTGCAGCAAGGGTCATTTAGCGCAGTTGGATAAAAAACTCAGAAGGTGATGGTCAATACACAATACGCGAGGGAGAGCAGCACCACAGCATAGGAGCGATAAAACAAGGACTGCAGCTTGGAATTCAGCACCCCGTGGCATTTAAAGCTGGTGGGATATTATCGTGACTAGTCAGCGTTCGCCCGTCAACTTCGTGCGTCGATGGGTTCAGCCTTTCGAGTTTGCCAGGAAGTGAACGTTATAACTGGTGTCATATAGTTTCTATGTATGTGTCCACATATCACGAACATGCTCCTGTGATCATGAGCGCGGCGCTCGCGCGCAACCCTCACGCGATCACACCATTGGGAATAATTAATTGCTATCGCATGTATTTACATGCTGCCCCACAGAAAAGCAACGCGTGGGAAGCAACGCCAGGCATTCCATGGTTGGCACGCATCGTGAATGTGGGGGACTAACGGTTACAGCAGGCGCGCAGATAAGGTCGTGCCACCGATATATTGTCGCTAGATGTTTGTCTAGTGATAGGTGTCGGGGGCATAGGCCGATATATTATGGAGGATTCAGGAATGGCATGAACGTTTAGTATTCCCCTTGGCAGAACTACAATATCGTAGGAAAGGTGCTCTGGGCAAATGACAGGTGGCAAGCGTGTTAAGAGCAAGCAATGAGTCCGATGTATTAGCAAAATGCAAGCACAGGGGTTGAAAGCATGTACATTCATTGCGAGTTTGTAGAGGCACTCGGGGATTCGGGATAGCGCAGAATTTATAAAGTCTTAAGTCACTGATGATGTTACAAGAAAGGGTACACAGAATCGCTGCCCACATGAATAATTCATGTCATCATTGAGTCGTGCAGAGAAACAGAAGGCACTTACCCTCAAAACCTTCAAATAAATGTCCCTATACAAGAGCACCACCACCGGGAATAGACTTCTAAGGCAACTCACAGCATCCTCGCAGGGGCATTCCCCAGCGTCTCACCACAAGTTTCGTGTGAGGGGGCCTCTGATTGTGAACGAAGCATAGTACAAGCCCATAGTTAACAGTACTGTACGAGATGTTTGGCGTCAGAAAACCCCAATTTTCGTCCTCTCTTGAATGGGAATCACTTGCTCGAGGAGGGAAGCGGAGCTATGGGACATAGACTCACTGGCGGAAGAGCTAGCAAAAGGATTGGGAACGTGAAAAGGATAGGGGACTGAACCAAAATCCAGGCCCACCGATGTTCCCAACGTATTCGTATGATCCCAAACTAGAAGGCTGTATGATCATTAGCAACTGGCACGTTCCCTAGTCCATTTGTCAGTGGAACTGCGATGGAGGATTCTTCGTTGGCTGAAATAGTTCCCATTTAGTTTACCCATCCGTGCGTTGTGGTCAGCAATACTGCCGTGGGCGAAACGATAGTAAATGGTTGGGGGATTCTCGTGTCACCCACAGGCTGGCCTGTTGTAACTCCGGGGCTCGATTGCAGATATGAAAGGGACTCTCATGTTTTGCGGAGCAGTGCTACTGAACAGAGAGAAATAGACAAGTTGTAGATGGGATGACAACACACAGAAACAAAGACGTACCTATCTCAACACACCTGAAGTCAAGGCCCTGACCTCCTCCAGACACTCCCGAGCTCTGGTCGATTTCTACGAAGTTGTTCTCAGTGCCAGTACTTCACTCATCATCCGAACCTTCGCTACAATGGCGAACGCGTACTTTGACCACATTTGAAATCTTTATCGGGCAGGGGATGCATTCGACATGCATGCGTTGACATGCATTACAAGACTGGCGACCTAAGGGGCAGATACATCCCTTTGAGCAAGAAACTCGTTTGCAGTAGTTATGATTTTTCGGATGATGGAGGCCATAGGGCGTGTGTCGTATATAACGAAACCAACAACCCGTCCGAGGCACGATGCATCCTGACTGGTCTTATGACACACGGAGTTGGCCTTCCCCATGCCAGAGTTTCGCGACAGTGTGGAACATTTAGCTATGCAAGAATGCGCCTTGAGTGTCCTCGATGCTGAACGTTCTCAATCGAGTGAGGCCGTGGCTCCAGAGCGAGTAAACACTGAAACCGGAGGAAGGATAGTTGTCCAGGTGAAGATGAAATAGTATATACTATTCGAGTGATAAACATATTGAAAGAAACGTGCCTTTCCTTAGGTGTTCTGCCAGTGTTGACTGCAATTCAAATTTTTGAATTGAAATCTCTTCGAGGTTGCTGATGCCGCACAAGCGTCAATGGACAAAGATTTTCACAAACAGGAAACCATACCTCAGCTCAGAGTACGTGAACTGACCGCTTGCATATCGAAGCTATCTGGATGCCAAATGTCGCGGACTGGGGTAGCATAGCGGATCTTCGGCTATGAACGGCTCCTCAAGTAGAGTGAACCGGTGCCCGTGCTCACTTTACGGCCGTTGCTAAAATGTTACTAGCCAGTCAAACCAAGCTGTCGGCTCATCGTTGTGGGAGAGAATGGTTCCGTACATTCGCTTAGCTTTCGCTCAATACAAACGTTGAGAACTGGGCTCCGTTCTCGCTTTTTTTTGATCTCACCTTCCCCATATTTCCCCATCGGGCTCGTCAGTCTTCAGTCCTCGCTGCATTTCCCTTTTTTAAACGGCTTGCCTGTGATTTTGGTGCCCTAGGTTCAACACATGCGAGTGACATGCTCCCTTGCTGCTTCATCTTTGGACTTGGCACTCTTACAGAGCTGTTGTGGTGAAACGTGGTCTCGCATGACCAGTCCATATCAGAAACCATAGCAGTTACACGTGCACGATCCTTCCTATCCCAGAGTGGAGGATATAGAAGATCGATATGACAGCTGTGCTACTAGGAAAAAACGGGCGCCTTCCCGCGTTTCGACATCGGCTCCTGTAACCACGTCCTCCGACCGCAGTTGATCACATGCCAGCTGGAGCTTTAGGACACTGTGTGTCCTGGCCAAGCCCCAAAGGCAAAAGGCATACTTATCTCAGAGACTTTAAGGACTTCCATTCTCTGGTGTGATACATTTCGTCAACTGCAACTTACACGAATGTCCGTTGGCGCAATTACTAATCTTACGTTTCGTCTCTGACGTCTAGAATTCGCCACAGCACCCCAGAATTAATATTCGGAGAGGATTTGCAAATTAAGGAGAGGTGTTGAGTCATGAATTGGGTGGTGTGATATCGGAAGCTGACAGATCGGAGTCAAGAGTCAAATGGGAGTTGCAATAACAAATGCGATGGTACGCTCAGGTGTGCAAGAATGGTCGCTTGCGGACTTGTGGGTGCAGCTAAGGGTACCATCAGGCGGATCGGGTTGGAATCGCTCCCGGTAAGCGGTTTCCTCACTAAAAGAGCAGCGAAAAGGCTCTCAAATGAGCATTAAAGGTTCAGACTTGCGTGTGATGAGCTATTTTGTCGAGTGGAGCTGAGATTCAAGTTGCGCCGGCGGGCTGATGTAGATGGAACGAAGAATAGCCGCAGCCGAAAGGCCGGATGCTTTCACTCACTGGGGCAGGGAGAAATACAGTGCGGCAAATAGCACATTAACTCCCTTTCAAATAATGTCGTGACAATTTTGCGTGCACCTCACGGTTCCAGCCTGGACCCAGTGCTTCTTCTATCTCGCGGATGGTTCCTCGTAGCTTTGCTTGGACAAAACCAATAGGATCCGTGCAGGATCCGCAGAATTTGTATCTGCTGTCCCAACTTGTGGTCCCACAAAGGCCATATCTATAAGGGACGGTCTAGAGGATGCTGTCCCCATGCTACTTAAAGTCACGCGATGAACCCCCGATTCGGAGCGTTTCTCGTTCACACTGTTCGCTCGGTGAAAAGGGAAGGAACAAGTGATGGGTGGGACAAAAAACTTGAAGGTGTGCGATTCGCGGCTTTAATTGAGCGTCTGAAGGATATGGGCGGTCGCTTTACGATTGTCATATTGCTATGTTGGAGGGAATCTTTCGGGCTCCTCGAGAAAAGATGTATTAGGAACGAACACGAACTACAGGTCGACAAAACAAGTGAGAAAGGTCACTGATTCTATGTTAGGATATCAGCGTTCATCGACGGTTACCGGGTGGCTACGGACTGGAGGGACGGTTGGGGAGTTGTGAAACTTTGATTGACTTCATGTAATTCGTGTATTTTTCATGTTACAGTCTATGCGTCTAGGTCAAAGGAACAGTTACATGGTTCTCCATATCGTCTACGTATCTATTATTCTACACACCACACGAGAAAGGCAAAACAAAAACAGAAAGCACGGAGCCAATGAAGTTACCACAGCAATTGCGAACATTCGGGGCGAATCGAGGGCGGGGAATCAACTTGGCGTGTGGTTCACTCTTGATCCGCCACTACCCACATCGGGTTAGAAAGGGACAAGGCGATATCCCAACCCCTGAGCCAAGCCTCGAAGCCAAAAGACAACGCCCTCATTCTCTGTCCGCCTGTCCTGTAAGCGATCAAGAATTTCGGGTGCGACGATGGGCGGTAGTGGAGCAACTATGTGAGAGGGACCAAGCCTAGAAGGCCAGGCGGTCTGATCGGGGATCGCGGTATGATGAAATGTACCCAACAACATAGGGTTCGTATCGTTGAGGGGGAAAGCCATTTCGGAGTCGGGGGAAAATTGGGGGAAGGATGGCATCATGTCGGGAAGGATAGGAACAATGGAAGTAGACCCCTCCCCTGAACCGTGGTCAGAAAGAGGGAATAGGGTTTGTGCTCGGAGATCCAGGGATTCTTCATTGAAGTTGACATCACGCACAGATGACCCCATTGGAAATGGATAGGGAGGCTCATCAGCAGTGTTAATGTAGTCCGCTGGGAAAGTTGTAATGGTAGACGGCATAATAGTAGACGGCACGGCATGGGGTAGACCAGAGGGCTCTTGGTTCCCAAGTACATGATGTACAGGAAGTGGGGTTGTGATCGACAAGGCGGCAGTGGGCTGGGCGGGGTTCCCTTCATCAGCGGTGCTTTGGCTCGTCGAATCTTCAAGGATAGGCTGCAGATCTAGAAGGAGCCTGCGAGTCTTTGGGAGACGTGCTACATAAGGAAATATGAGCACGGTATTGAACGAACTCTTAAGGTATTATCGCGAACCAATCCCTGTACGCCCAGGCTCAGCTAGCCTTTTAACTTCAAGCAAACACTCCCGGGCCCTAGCCGATCTCTATGGATCATTCCTTTATCAAGAAGTCTATCAACGCGACAGGGACAAGCGTACCCTGACAACACCAGGAATCGCCATTGGGCAGGCGATGCATTCAACACGCATCCTGCTACATGGGTCGCAAGGTCGGGAATCTGGGGACTCGGTACATCCCTAGGATAAGTCCAAGGAAAGATAGGTGAGAAAGGTTTTTGTCACCAAAAATGCGACATGGATGCAGAGGTCGAGAGCTCAGACATTCGCCCTAGGCAGGTGTGACGCCGTTAGTGTCTTCCGTGTTGGGCTCTAAGTCATTTTTGAGCTGCTCCAAGGGAAATGAGCAGAGCAAGAGTGACGACGTCAAAGTCAGACAGGCTCGCCGGACCCGGTGGTAAGATATACATAGATGTTCGCAACCAGACATACCTTTCCTCTTAGTCGACAGACAAGACAGCGTGAAGGCATCAAGTCGAACTTGAAGTATTTTGGTGCAGATGATTAGCGAAGTGGGGGACAAAAGATGTTTCGACTGTGGAAGATTTGAGGCTTGACGCCTCGAAGCTTTAAACAATCCGTTTATGTTGTGTTGGATGGGCCACCACAATCAATAAGTAGTTGGGAATCCAAGTCATGTCCGTCGAGAATGACGCCAGGGGCTCAATTCTCCGACCCTGTGTTTCCAGCCATGTGTTGGAGCATCAGCGCTGCGCACAGAGATACTTGCAGTGTAGGCCAGTTATTTTGGCATGAGCGCTATATAACGGACCCTGCCCGATGATCGCGAGGGGCCAGTCACTCAGAGCTTATACTGCATCTAGCATCGGGCCGGATCTTGATATCACAGCGGTTTGCAGAAAAGTCGGCCATCTTGAATTTATCGGGTAGGTGATCCTAGTCATTCACCCTCCTAAACGGACCAGGTTCAACGAAATAGGATTTCCTTATACGGGTAAGCGGCTTAGCGCCGAGGTCCAATCGCCCATGCAAGCAACAAGGGGGTGTACAATATTGGCAATTGGTGCCAACCCAGCGCTATTGCTTCTCCTACTCACAGTCTATCATTGACCACTGTTGGCACTTGGCGTGCTTGATTGGGGGACCCAGAGAGTGTGAGGGGCGCGTGGAAATCGGCCGGGTGTGCCAGGGAATGGGTGGTGGGACGTCCGGGCACGGAGGGAGAAGCGGAAAGCGCGTCAAAATTGGCGTTTGCAGGGTGCGGCGGCGCTGGAGGGTGCTGAGGGGCTGGAAGGGGAGTTGGAGCGACCAAATGTGGTGAAACTGGCCGCTTGGGCCCGGATGACTTTGGCCCAAAAATGCACCAGTTCATGAACAAGTCGCGCCTGCACAAGCGGACGCGCGATTGCATGAGGCTGACGCGAAATAGGCGGTTGATGGCGCTGAAATGGGCGGTTTGCGAGGGAAATCGGCTGGGATGGGCCGGGAGCACGTCAGGATGGTGCTAGAAGGCCTCATTTCAAAAAAATATGAGGCGACGGCCTCCTTGATGTGTTTGAAATGTGAATCAAACTTAGCTAGTCGCTCAATCACAAAACCCCAAGCCAGACGTATACCCCAGTGATGCTAGGGTGACTAATTGCTGATGGCGCAAGCGGTGAGGTGGTAAACGGCTGCTCCTATGGCCGAATCATAAGCCCTTCGCCTCTCAATCGTCTCCATTGTTAGTTGCCTCCATTCCAATAATAAAACCAGTGGTGTCGGATTACATTTACTGCATGAGCACTGAGCATCTGACGCCGTCGGTGGTGCTGGCAGTGAGCCCATAGAGGCGACGATATCCTTTGTACCAGACTCAAGATGTTTCCCCATAATGACTGGACAAGACAATCGGACGTTGTGAACGTGTTCAGGCACTTCTATACATTTAGGGGGTATCATCGGGGTTTCCCTCAAATAAGGAAATCCTATTTCGTTGAACCTGATCCGACCAACTTTTTAGGAAGGTGAATGACCAGGATCACTTACCCGATTCAAGATGGCTGATTTTTCTGCAAACTGCTGTTAGGGCGGGGTTTCGGAGTAATTCATGCCCGAACCGCTTATTTTTGTATGCATTGATCGTTAACCTCCATCTTTTGCTGTGGGACTGATCTCGGAACGTCTGTTCACGCATAACCATCCCAAGCCACCTCACATGGCTTCTTGAAATTTGAAGGCATCAAGACTTGTGTCCGTGCTGTTACAATTGCTACCTTATCCACCGGTGAAACACACGGACTCAAAGTGTAATTAACCTATCCTGAATTTGCGACAGCGCCGCTCAGCATGGTGAAAAAGTCACCGGTATAGATTGATGGTGACCTAATGATGTTTTGGACAATTGTACCCAACATCGACCTGATCGATGATCAACTATCGACAGTCTCTGCTCATCCCGATCAAGCGCAATAGCAGACAATGCTGTTTCGGATCACAAATGATAGAATACAATGTAAGTACGGATGCAATCTAGCAGAGTTCTTCGACTTGACATCCATAGGATGCGTCCGCGTTTGGTCAAGTGGGTTGGGATCAAAAAAATGTCATCATCTGCAGCAAGGGCCAATTACTTAGCGCAATTGGATAAAAAGCTCACAAGGTGATGGCCACTACACACTGCTATCAAGACATGATGGAGAGCGATGCCGCAAGATAGGAGCGATGAAATAGTTGGGACCAGGACTGCAGCTTGGAACTCAGCATATCACCCCGCGATCATGGCGCCCGCGCTCAGCCCTCACGCGATTGCTTTAATACACCATTCGGGCATAATTGTTATCCATGGTTAGCGCGCAGACAAGGTCGTGCCAGTGAGAGCGGCCGATGGATATTGCGTGATATGTTCACGTCATGTCACTAAAGTGGACAGGCAGTGTTTGTCTATGCAGTCCGTAGATGTGGCGTACGCATTCAGCACCAAACTGCCTAAATTGGTAAGGTCGGGGGCGGATCAAAGTGCGGGGTGTCGGCAGCGTGGGCTTGGAGAGGCCGATATATTGGGTGTACATCCAGTTCAGTCGTCTAACGATCAAGTGCACGAGTGTATTGCATGAAAACTCTGATGGGAATACACCGGCACCGTCTACGGTTCGAATCACTTCGACACATGCGAGGATTTGGGAATGACATGAATGTTTACCATTTCCCTCAGCAGAGCTGCATCGTAGGCGAAGTGCTCGAGGAAATGACAGGTGACAAGTGTGTTGAGAACAAGTAAATGTATTCGCTATCCTGAATCTTCGAGTGCTTTTACAGACTCGCGATGAATGGACATGCTTTCGACCACTGTGCTTACATGATAGCGTAAAGTCCCAAGCTACTGATGACGTTACAAGAAAGGGTACACAGAATCGCTACCCACATGAATATTCATGTCATCATCGAGTTGCGCAGAGAAATAGAAGGTACTTACCCTCAAAACCCTCAAATGAATGCCCCTATACAAGAGTACTACCGCTGGGAATGGCCGCTCCGCGAGGGATGAGGCAGTATCCCATACTCCAAGCAAGACTTCTAAGGCAACTCACAGCATCCTCGCTCCAACTCGCAGTGGCATTTCCCAGAGTCTCACCACGAGTTTCGTGTGAGGAGGCCTCTGATTGTGAACGAAGCACAGTAGATGACCCCGCAAGCTCATAGTTAACAGTACTGTACGAGATGTTTGGCGTCAGAAAACCCCAATTTCCGCCGCAGGATGTTCTCTCTTGGATGGGAATCACTTGCTCGAGGAGGGAAGTGGAGCTATGGGAGATAGACTCACTAGCGGAAGAGCTAGCTACAGGATTGGGAACGTGAAAAGAATAGGGGACTGAACCAAAATCCAAGAGGGGTGGTTCATCGATGTTCCCGACGTATTCGTACAATCCCAAGCTAGAAGGTGGGTAGAAGGCTGCAGGATCATTAATAACTGGAATATTCCCGAGTCCGTTTGTCTGTGGAACTGCGATGGAGGATCCTTCGTTGGCTGAAACAGTTCCCACCTGGTTTACCCATCCGTGCGTTGTGGTTGGCAATACCACCGCCGGCGAAACGATAGCAAATGGTTGGGGGATTCTCGCGCCACCCGTAGACTGACCCGCCGTATCTCCGGGGCTCGATTGCAGAGATGAAAGGAATTCTCGCGTTTTGGGGAGCAGTGCTATTGAACAGAGAGAAATGAATAAGTTGTATATGGGACGACAACACGCAGAAACAAGGACGTACCTATCTCAACACACCTGGGGTCGCCTGAAGCCAAGGCCCTGACTTCCTCCAGACACTCCCGAGCTCTGATCGATTTCTAAAAAAGTTGTTCTCAGTACTTCGCCCATCATCCGGACCTTCGCTACAATCGCGAACGCGTACTTTGACCACATTTGAAATCTTTATCGGGCAGGGGATGCATTCAACATGCATGCGTTGGCATGCATCACAAGACTGGCGACCTAGGGGCCGGACACATCCCTACAAAGTTATGAAAGTGATGTTGAGCATGAAACTCGTTTGCACTAGTCATGATTTTTCGGATGGTGGGGGCCATAGAGCAAGTGTCGTATATGTGACGAGGCCAACAGCCCGTCGGAGGCACGATGCATCCTGACTGGTGTTATGACGGAGTTGGCCTCCTTTTTCCAGGGATTCGCGACAGTGCGGAACGTATTGAAAGAGACGCACTTTTCCTTTCAGTCCACAGACAAAACAACGCGACGGCATGGAATCGAAGCGATTGAACAATCCAGGGGATGTGCGAGGCTGAAGGGATCCACCCTTGAAGACTAGGTCTATATATCTCCCAAGGGGATGACATCCAACTCGCCGGGAAATTGGAGGCTATCGCAACTGTTCGATTGAGTTGGCAGAGGCCGAACTCGCAGCGGTCCAACGGGAGAATGCACGTTCAACTGCCGGCTGGAGATGAGAAAACCGTCTTGAAAGCATCCGGGGTCTCATCGATGGGGTCTTAAATTGGCTAAGGCTGATAAGCAATGAACTCACGAAGTGGCTAGTCACTGAACCAAGTAAGTTCGATTTACATGAAGGGAGGATGTGTAATACAGAAAGACCCCAGGTCCAAGATCAGGGTCTTACGTAAGCCGGTTGCAACCCGCCTGCGGCGTGTCCTAGGCTTAGGGGGAACAGTACTGTCAACCTGATCCTGTGTGCATAGGGGGGCCTTTCACCATTGTATTAATAAGAAACGAACAAGCCTAGTTAACATTCTCCGACTCGGAGGAGGGTCCCGCCTCGTGTCCTTGCACGGTTGGGACGTTCGTGTCGTTCGATTGCAATGGGATCAAATGGGGATGGCGTAGGGCTTGCCGCACCGGTGGCCGGTTCACTCCAAGCTTCATGATAGGTCCTAGGCACCGTATCATTGATCCTACCACGTCCACGGCCGCATCGGCGCATATGGGGCACGCCAAGGCAGGGGGTTAAGTATTTACCTGCCTCGAGAAGCGGGGATCCGTTGCGGGTTCGGTGTTTCCAGATTCGATCGGCGACATACCGCCGCGTAGTCTAATAATCATCAAGCGCTGTCTTTCCATGCAATAAGCTCCACGGCTCCCAGCTCGTAGAGCCATTCGACCATACCTTGTCTTTTTGAGTCCCCCCGAAATTCCAACTCAAAACTTGCGTTTAGCCTCTCGCAATGGCCAAATGAATTCAACTTTCGCGACTTATTTTTACCTAGGATAAGACTTTCCGTTGAGTAATATACTGAGTCTCCGACTTTGAATGGAACTTGCCTTTAATGTTTATTAGCCATCCATGTCTGATTCGTTCTTGAATCGATTAGGGCATCGTGTGCATCAACTTGTGTAATTGATGCCATCTTTCGAGCCGGTGTCTGTATCCCGATTTTTGCGACATCAATATCGGGTTCGGTTGGCGGGACCCGCTAATTTAACTCGGACGGTGAGTACTGAAGTCGACATGTTAATCGCCAATTCGAACTTCGCCCAATCTTGATCGATACCTTGGCAGATTAGGCGCCAATTTAAGTTCGGGCATGTGTGGGAAAGATCATCACAAGCGCAGATGAGCAATCGATCGGACATCTGCCGATCCATATGGCTCTTGCGGCACTGGAATTAATGCTCTTTCCGCTATGCGTGATGAACTATAAAGTTTCTGTTTCTCGACAGTTGGCGCTACAGTACGGCAACTAAGAGACTGTTGCATTGGGGTCTGTCCCTCCCAACATCGCCTCCGCATGTCAAACTATGGGAGATGGAGTCGTCAACAATTTTCTTGCAGGTCCGAGAACATTTGGCATACCATTATCTCATGCCGAATACATTTCGTTGGGGGTTTCCGGCGTCCATCCCGAATTTGGCACCGCTGCTTATGACTGCGTCGCCACCTCCCAAATCACCTTCCCAGTGCCCACCATTCGCTCTGTCCGCTCCCATTTTTATGGGTCTCAGTCATTTGGCTCATTCAAATGGACGTATCACTACCACCTGTGTACTATCTGTAAATCTAATGGGTTTCTCATGACGCACTCCCCAAGTCACTTCTCTCACCACAACTGTTGTTCCGTTTCGATCATTCAACTCCGATGCAGCTGAAATTTTTGCCCTCTGCAACGCCTCCCCCATTCACTCCGAACCTAGGCTGGAAGAACAATGAATCTGTTGGGTTCAAGCAACACGAGATGTATTATGAACCCCGTGTCAACGGAACAAGAGATCACCGACTCTACACATGGCACGAGAAAGCAAAACAAGCACAGAAAACACGAGCCGGAAGATCTCTAGTAGTAATGCGGGCAGCCACACACCGCGGAGCAAACTGAGTCGTAGCAGCAATTCTGAGCATCTACAAGTTGGTAGATCAAATGCGGAATCAACTTACTCGTACAACAACCACATCAACTCAGATAGGGACAAGGTGATACCCCAGCCTCTGAGCCAGGCCTCGAAGCCAGTAAACAACATCCTCATTCGGGTTCGTCTTCATCCATCCATCCTGTACACGGTCAGGGGTTTCAAGCGCAGCTACGACCGGCACATGATCGGCGATGCGAGAGGGACCGGATCTGGAAGGCCCGGCGAGCTGCTCAGGGATCGCGGCATGGTGGAAGGTGTCCGACGACACAGAGCCCGAATTCTCGAAATGGAGAGTCATTTGGGGACTAGGATTGAATCCGGAGAAGGGCAGCATCATGTCCCGCAGGGAAGCGGGTTCTTCCCCCAAACCTGCGTGGCTCTCTTGCATATGACCCATCGAATCCTCGAGGACCGATTGAAGTTCTAGAAGAAACCTGCGAGACTTTGGAAGATGTGCTACATACGGAGACAGATAAGTACGATCACGGTGTCGAACGGGAGGTCTTGAGGAGGCATACACTTACCGATCCATGCACGCCCAGGCTCAGCTAGCCTTTGAGCCTCACGTAAACACTCTTGTGCCCTGGTCGATCTCTATAAATCATTCCCTTTATCGAGAGTGTCTATCAGCACGATAGGGGAAGGCGTACCTTAACCTCACTGGAAATTGTCATCGAGCATGCAATGCACTCAATCCGCATCCTGTCACATTGACCACAGGATTGCGAATTCGGGGACTCGACGCATCCCTAAAAGCAAAGTGAGTCTCTTTCCTTCGTGTCATGACTATCTTGGAGAAGACAAGACTTTCTGTCACACTATGTCACGAAGATGTGACGGGGAACTGGCAACTCTGCGAATAGACATGAGGTATGCAAGTTGAGAAGCCAGATATTCCCCCTGACATCGCATCGTTATCATTTCCAGGTCGAGCTCTCCAATCGAGTGAAATCATTTCGTACTCCAAGGGAAATGTTCACGAAAGGAGGACCAGGAATAATAATGCCAAGTTTGAATGGGAGTTTGCGGAGGGTGGTTGAATGCTTATTGGGGACACACCTTTCCTCTTAGTCGACAGATAAAACAGCGTGAAGGCATCAAGTCGAAATGATGAGGATGACTGGTGAAGTGTTGGGTGAGGGGACATACCTCAGAGGCTTTATTTAACCGAGCTAGAACGCAGCGTTTCAGTACCTTGAAAGCGAACCTTCCAAACTTTGACCGGGAATAACGTTTCCAAGTTTGGGAGCTGCGGTGGGCACTCGCCGACTGAATTGAAGGCCGAGCTCCCGCCCCGCCTTCATAGCGAAATCTCGACTATGTATTACGATTCAGTTGCAAAGTTCGGCGCCCACGCACACCCTCGCGATCCCCTGAATAAGCTATTAACTGTCAGTGGTCTACAATATATAGAGATTGTGTATGTACATGTTATCCGCCATATAATAAAAGCCTAGACTCAGGCTCCCTACGGTTGGCGTGCACGTCGTGATGGTTATGCATGGGCGGCTAACGGCAAGTCGCGCGAATAAGTATCGGGCGATCGTACCGGTAGATGTGACCTGAACGTTCAATTGAGATGTGCGAAGTTGGTAGGGCCCCAGGCAGAGTGTGAACGCTTATGCTGCTATCCCGAGCAAGGCAGAGCAACGAGGTGGGAAGGAGGAACTGAGCGGCTACCGTATACGAGGGGCACCGTCAGCGGTGACGAGCTCAGAGCTAGGGAGGCTGCGCAGAAGATACAAAATTGGCGATAGTTCCATGTGGGTGAACTGAGGGAGAGTGAGAACTTTTTTACAGTGCTTTTAATTGCACAGTTGTCAAATTAGCCACAGCGAAGGCGGATAGATCGACTTCAGTTCCAGTTTAGCCATCCGTGATTTGAATTGATCAATGGCAATATCTGCAGACTGGACAACATGAGTGGACGAGCACAAGTCTTCAACTTGCTTGGAACATTATCTAAGGGAATGCATCGTCCACAATCCAAATCACGTTTGGTAGGTGCGAGAATTCCAGATCACGAGCCTTGCTCTACATGTACATACTCGAAGATTCAACGTGGTGCAGATCATCCAAGTAACAGAGCCACCCATGATGACACAACCGAACCAATCGGTCACCGGATTGTGCAGAGAAAAGAAAGACACAAACGCTCAAAAACATGAAGTGAAGCTCCTATACAAGAGCACCACTACTAGGAATGGCAGCGCCGCGAGGGATGAGGTAGTATCCCATACTCCAACCCAGTCCCCTCAACCAGTCCACAATATCCTCGCCTCAATTCGCTAGAGTTCCGGCGCGAGCTTCATGTGAAGAGGCATCTAATTGTTGGTAGGTCGCTGTAAAAGGGCCAGCACTTCCATGGTTGGCAGTGTCATTCCAGTTGTCCGGCACCAGAAGATCCCAATTCTCGCTGTAGGATACCGTCTCGTGGTTGGTGGCCATTGGCTGGAGGGAGCCAACATGTAAGAGGGCCGCTTCATCAACGGTTCCGACATGTCCAGATAACCCCAAGATAGATAATGAGGCCCCATCAATGGCCGGCATGTTTCCGAGATCGTTTGCTAGTGGAAGGGCAGCGGACACCTCATAGGCCGAAACAGTATTCATTCTCCCATTCGTGAGTCCCTTTGGCAAGACAGCCGCTGGGGAAAAGATAGTAGTCGCTGCAGGGACTATCAGGTCAGCTACAGGCTGAGTTGCTGTATCGAAGGGGCTTGATTGTAAAGATGAAAGAAACTGTCGCGTCTTGGGGAGCAGTGCTATGCGACGAAGAGAAACGGAATAAGCACTGCATGGGACGAGAACACATAGAAAATAGAACCGCCACATACCTATCTCGACACGCCTAGGATCGCCGGAAGCCAGAGCCTTGACCTCTTCCAGACACTCCCGAGCTCCAGTTGATTTCTATGTGGTTGGTCTCAGCCTTTGTCCACCACACGAACGAGAGCTGCAACGGACTCCAATAGCATTGGGAATCTTGATTGTGCGGGACGGGCACTCAACGCGCAACTGTTGACAGGCAGCACAGGATAAGTGAATTGGGAGCTGGACACGTCCTTAGAAAGTTGTAAAGGTGGAGTTAGACAAGGACCTTGTTTACTCTAATGATCGTTTTTTGGTAGGCAGGATCCCAGCCTCTAGTCTTTTGGATGGCCTAGGGCCATTGACCAGTGCAACCACGGAGTGACCCGACCATGCGAAAATGACGATCCTTCATCAAAGAACGCACCTTCCCTTCATCCTCTTAAGGTGTTCTACATAGTGGCGACATGAATTGATTGGTTTTGTTGTGGAGGTTTTTGAATTGAAACATTGACCCACAACCGTCAATCGACAAACTTTTCCCACGAACAATGGCATATCGAAGCTATCTACCCTGAAACCCGATCTGGATACCAACCTGTAGCCTGGCCTCAGTGGGCTGTAGCATAGCTTCGGTTATGAGCAGCTCCTCAAGTGCAGTGAACCGGCAGTTTTGATGATCCAACAAGAACACGACGACGGCCCCGGCCCGCCAGCACGTCAACTGAAACAGCCAGTATGTCCGTGCTGTGCTCACTTTACGGCCGTTGCTAGAATGTTACTATTAGCCAGTCAAACAAATCTGCCGGCTCATCGCTGCGGGAGAGAACGGTTCCGTACCTTTCGCTCAATACAGGCGTTGATCCGCTTTCACCTTCCCCAATCTCATCTTCCACACACATTTTTCCCGTCAAGCTCGTCAGTCTTCAGTCCCTACCCCTTTCCCCTTTTCAAATGGCTTGCCTGTGATTCTGGTGCCATCTCACAACACCAGGTTCAACACACGCGGGTGATTTGCTCTCTTGCCGCTTCATCTCTGGACTTGGCACTCTTAGAGAGCTGGTGTGGAAACGTGGTCTCGCACAACCGGTTTATATAATTCATAGCAGCTCAAGCTGCTTACACGTGCAGGGTCCTTTATAGAAGGTCAATATGGCAATTATAAGTAGAGTGAGGTGCTGTGCTACTAGGCACAACGGGTGCGTTTCGACATCGGTTCCTGTAACACGCTCCCCGACCGCAGCTGATCGGATGCTAGCTGAAGCCTTAGAATACTGTGTATCCTGGACTAGCCCACGTTGGATGATGAGAATCCACGGGGGGTCGAGGACTGGTTCACAGTGTTGGGCATTGATTTCTGCGGGGGCGCCCACACTATCTGGCGGTTGGGATGAATTGGGTGTATTTGAACCGTATCAATTGGCCACAGAGATATAAAAGTGTGATACCGCGCGGCCATGCCAGAAGCTTGCTAACAGGTGGGCGCTTATCGGTGTATGTAAGTCTCGCAAGTCAGCCTCTTGAGATGTCTGGACGACAAGCGATGATAAATAAATTTCGTACGGGTCGCAAGGTAAAGAGCGTACCAGAGCCTGAGCGCTGCGCGCAAGCGCAGCGCACGCGCGGGGATGAAATACATTATTCAACAGACTCAACACATAAGACACGTCTCTGAAGCATGCATGTGTAGCTCAGGATATCGACTAGGAGGTCGCGAGACTCGCATAGAATTCATGATCGTGTAAGCGCTGTACACGTGGGGCGGCTAAGATAAGTTCGTGAAGGCCGCGCGTCAGCACCTATTATATATAGGTCGCATTGCCTAAATCGGTCTAGCGCGAGTAATCCTATGACAATTAGACAAGAAGCCCTTCTCCAGCCTATATGACGTCCGTGTTCTAATTATAATCTCCGGATCAAACTTTGGACTGCACATCCAAGTCGCGAGGAAAGAATTTTTCAAGGATTTGGCGCCAACCTTGGGACCATATGCGATCAGGAGTTGGACAGATTTCTGAAGAGTTGTCAAGGCAAGAAACTCGTTTATTCTAGTAACAATGTCGGCGATAGGGCATACATTTGCCACCCCGAGGTCTCAAGTTAACAGCCTGTTGAAGGCCACCCGTCACAGTTGATTCGTGAAAGCTGACCGATTAAAACGAGAATCCCAGCAGAACCCCGCGACAGAGCAGGAAATCTAGCCAGGCAAGACTGCATCCTCAATTAGGTGAAGCTGTCGTGCGTCAATCCAAGGTGAGTAAGCATCGAGGCCGAAACATTTCAACCTACGAGGCACCTCCCTGAAGCAACCTGAATGAGGTACTTACCCCCATCTTCGAACTATAGGTACTGGCTCATGTGGTGGACCTATTGCCAAATAAATCCTTCTAATAATAATCTAGATTATGCATATAATGTGACGCACAAAATGGTTTCGGCACCTCTGAATCACACGTTCATGCTATTCCTCCCGACCTGCCACGCCACCGCCCAAACTTTGCCGGAGGGGCTGTGTGACTGAAAAGGCGACCCATGCCCATATTTGACGGGTGGTTGTGCCATTGGAAATCGTCGAGGATAGAATGAGGATGATGGAGTGTATAAGCCGCCACGACTACAAAAGTCGTCACTGTCGAGTGGCGTTCGCTAGTCATGATGACCTCAAGCAGCGTCATGCATAACATTACGAAGTCATAGAGCTGGAGTACTGCCGATGCCGAAGAGCACGACTGAATTGAATCCGGAAGTTCTTACCGAATACAATTGTCGTTGTGGGGCATCACCTTCTCTATCCAAATTGCCTCTCCATCATTCACTCCGGAGAGAAACAATCATCACGCGTAAAATTTCAAGCTGCGCAAAGCGCTTAAAAGATACGATTTCAGACAGAAATATTGCCGATTCGTGATTAGAATGGGTTTCTCATTGCCAGGTATGGTTTTTGGCCGATGTACGTTATCTCGCATGGAGTGAGATGACAGTGCCGGCACTGATCATTTTCTTATCATCCTCCCTTCATTCCGCATCATTCAATTCGTTATTTCCATTATCGCCCGGCCCCCACCCATGTACAAGGCATCTTCGTCTCCCATTTCACGCTCAATTCATTCTAATCATCATCTCCAGGACTTATAAGGTATCAGCGCACTCCAACACAATTCGGTATGTCGGACGCTCACCTAGGCAGGATCCCAGCCACTACTAAAGTAGAACGCTTGCCCATCTGTGAAAATTTGGTAGACACAAACGTTTATATACCAGCCGCCTTTACTCTACGCCACAAATTTCAAGATACGGACTTTCCCTACAAGCACGCACATGGAAGCTAAGTTGCGATGCAGAGGATTCCTTGTGGGGAGTTGGGAATCTAGCGCCAGCAGGACTCGTCCTAGTCCATTTCTATTTTGAACTCAGCAGCACATCTCATGTGCTCAATATCATTGACATCACTTGCATGAATGCTTATCGTTAGGACTGCTGTACTTCGTCTATTCGGTAACAGATGTATCGCCGCATTTATAGAGAATGGGGGACGCTTTGAAGGGGTAGAAGTGGCTAAGGATGAAGTGGCGACGCATAGTATGTAAGTTGGGTGGCGGGCGCCTTGAACTCGTCCCAATGCTTGTGCGCTGCGGGCCTGGACATGATGTTGGACGGCGTTCAATTAGTTGAGGGGTGCTGAGCCAAGGTGTTCGGAGAGTGTTCTTACACCGAAGGGAACATGTCACCAGGGGAGAGGGGTGTGCAAGCTGGCGTTGTTGGACACGCCTGAGCAATCCGGAGCACGTTGAGTTGATACTGAAGTCCGCGGATCTCTCACCGAACCAGGTACTCCAGATTGTCCCTGACCTGCTTGGAGCTAAGTCAGCGGCTGTGTCTGAGCCTAAGTATGCGAAATGCGCCCTCCGTATCTCCCAGCAGCTTCATGTAAGCATCCTGAGCACCAAATATGTTCATAGTTTTGTTCCGATTTACCAGGGTCCGACCCACCGACCTAGTGCGGCCTCGCAGAACACGTCGGATGCATCGAGTTCAACAGAGTCGGCAATATCCTCACCCGCGAGGCACTTCCAATGAAAGATCTCCGTTTGGGGGTTGGTTGCGATCTTGGGTGTCTCAAAGGAATATGATCTTATCAACCATGTCGGCGGCAAGCGGAATCCGCGGGGTCCTCATCGGGTGGCTGGATTCTGGTTTACTTTGCAAGCACTAGCAAGGCGCTAGTAGCGCTCGTGAAAACTCCTGGCTCCAACGTGTGGAAGTTCAGGGTAATCCGATGGACTGCAGAAGAATCAAGGGAATCACTAATCCCTAAAAGAGTCGAGATGAGTAACAGTCAAGGTTTACCAACAAGAGGAGCCCGCCCTGGTCGGGTACAGCTCACTGCACCTAGCGGACGGAGCCGAGCCAGCCCTGCTTCCGAAGCAATGTTGTTCATAGAGACGTACACAATATTGTGAGTGCACGAGGCAACATGTTTAATTGGTTCACTACCAGAACTCAAGAACAACCGCTTTTGGAGAGCAGAGGCAGTGCGATGCTAGTTGACAAGTCGATCGCCTTGAGACCAAGTAAGGAATCGGATGACTAACTAACACAGGTACGAGAGCAAAAAAAAAAAAGACGCGCGAGGTCGCGAGCCTCACAAGCACTCGAGGATCGAACTTATGGCGCGGGACATCCAAACACTGAAGCCATTGGGGATAGAATCGGCTGGCTTTCACCAATAATTCATCGTCACTAAATCATGCAGAGAAAAGAAAAACACTTACGCTCAAACCATTAAATGAAAAGAGCGCCACCATCGGAAATGCTGGCTCTCCGAGGGATGAGGCAGTATCCCATATCCCAAGCCAGATCTCTAAGCAAACTCGCGACGTTGAAGTGTGGATAGAGGGCTGTAGGCCCAACATCTCCATAGTTAACGGCGCTATGCGAGTGTCCGGCACCGGAGGATTCCGATTCTCGTTGTAGGATACCACCCGATGGTTGGGAGTCGCTGAGTGGAAGGCGGGCGCCAAGCTAGGGAAGATGGTCTTACTAATGGAGAAGCTTGTCCCAGGAGTGGGGATATGGGTGGTATAAGGGGAGCCGACATGCAGTAAGGTGCTTCATCAAGAATCCATATGACCCCGACATAGAGGATGGCGCCTCATTGATAACTGGCACGTCTCCGAGATCGTTTGTTGGCAGAACTGCAACAGACATCTCGCAGGCCAAAACAGCATCCATTTGGATTCCCCGTCCGTGAGTTGTGTTTGACAGGTGGCCATTGCGGGGATTCTCGGGTCAGCTACAGGCTGAGTTGCTGCATCTCCGAGGCTCGATTGCTCCGATTTCCAATATGCAATAAACTGTCTTGTGCTATCGAACGAAGAGAAGCGGAACAAGGTATGCATGCAATGTCAACACAACAGAAAATGGGGACCCATCACATACCGGTCTCAACACGCCGAGGACGGATTATGCACGGTCCCATGTTTTATAGTTACGCTCGTGGTATTCAGCACCTTGAACCTCATCCCGAACAAGTTAGGTTTTCGATTGACCAGAACCATAGGTACTGGCCTATGCGGTGAATGAAAAATATGTGATCCGTGGGTGAGTCAACACATTTATTTCGTCACCAAACAGATCCCTTTCATGACTGAAATTAAGAAATGAGACGCACTAAATGACTCTAGATCTAAACCATTCATGCTATTCAGTTTTTTCCAGTTCGCACGAAGCGGACGCTTTACGTGGAGAACCTCGTCGCTACCTTTCCTATCCGTGACGTTATCGTCCGAACTTCGCCTGAGGCTAGCGGCAAGGATATGATCAGAAGTTTGAGGATAGGGTGAACCGCTGGGCCTCATGCTGTTTTCCGCCAAAATTAGACAGTCAGGACCCAATCAATAAAGCATGAAAATAATCTGCTTACATTCATTCATCCCAGGGCCCACCTTCAGAAACAGATCACTTGGTCTTGCAATACGAAAGGTTCTCCAAAGGGTGGCCGGCCACCTTACTGAAAAACCGTTCTACCTGGCCCCTGTCCCGGATCGCGCCCCCATTGGAATTGTCGAGTCTCCGGAGGACAGGGTGGGAGTTATATTACAAAGTCACGGAGGCTGGAGTCCGGGAGTGACGGCTTCATTTAGCATCCTGTGTCTGTGATGGCAGGTGCACGGCCAGGGCTGAATCGAGAGATAGAGGAGATAATTGGCCGTAACTCAATTGCACTTAAGTCGTCATGGTCATTCAAGGTGGCGGATGCCGAAGAGCGCGATTAAATTGAACCGCCTGACGGAAAGCATGAGACTCTTTCACCACAAACCCTTATGCAGAACCCCATCTAACCTGCGAAAGCCATAGAGGGTTCCACCAGAATTCGAAATTGAGGGCGGCCTACTCAGAATCCGCGGACCAGCTTTGCGATCATCCAGCTTTGATCCAGCTCCGATGCCAGGATCCCAGCCTCCGCCACACTCTTCCCTCCTCTTGTAACAATTTAATCACCCCCCACCATTCACTCCGACTCTGAACCGAACCAGAAGAAAAGCAATGAATCTTTCTGGCATCAGGCAACAACGAGGTGTAGAAACAAACATCGCCACACATCTAGCGAGAAGAAGAGATCACCGACTCTACACATAGCATGGGGAAGGCAAAACAACACAGAAAACACGAGTCGGAAGACCACTGGTAATATGCAGACCAATCACACACTACGGAGCAAACTGAGTCATAAAAGCAATTTCCGAACATTCAAAGTGGCGAGGAATCAACTTGCACGTACAGTACATTTCTCAGTCCAGAAGAACTGCCGCTGCCCACATCGACTCAGAGAGGGACAAGGAGATACCCTAACCTCTGGGCCAGGCCTCGAAGCCAGTAGACAACATCCTCATTTGAGTTCGTCTCCAACCACCTATCTTGTTGACGATCAGGAGTTTCAAATGCAGCAACGATTGCCTCTGGATCGACTATGCGAGATCTGGAAGGCCCAGCAAGATCCTCCTGGATCACGTTACTGTCCAACACAAGGTTTGAATTCTCGAAATGGAAAGTCATTTCGGGGTTAGGGTTGAATTGGGAGAAGAGCGGCGTCATATTAAGCGGGGTAGGATCAATGGAAGCGGGCCCATCGGGTAGGGTTTGTGTTTGGAGGCCAGGTAGCACTTCTATCTCCACAGGAAATGCGTGGGGGGGCCCATTAACAGCTGATGCGGCGTCGATATAGTTCGCCGAAACGGCTGTAGTAGGCAGTTCACCATTGGGCAAGTCGGTGGGAGCTTGGCTCTCTAGCATATGAGGTGCTTGAAGCAGAGCCGCCACCGGCAAGGCAGCAGTGGGCTGGGTGGGGCCTCCTTCAGCTACGCTTTGACCCATTGAGTCTTCAAGGATTGATTGCAGGTCTAGAAGGAACTTGCGAGTCTTTGGAAGTTGTGCTACATACAGAGACAGAGAAGGGTGATCACGGTGTTGAACGGGGTCTTGAGTGATCATACACACCGATCCATGCACGCCCAGGTTCTTCCAGCCTTTTAACCTCACGCAAACACTCCCGGGCCCTAGCCGATCTCTGTGAATCATTCCTTTTGTTAAGAGAATCTATCAACCCAATAGCGGAAGACATACCTTCACCTCACTGGATATTGTCATCGGGCAAGCAATGCATTCGATCCGCATCCTGTCACATGGAACCCAAGATTGGGAATTTGGGGGCTCGATGCATCCCTAAAAACCGATGTGAGCAACGAGCTATGACTGCCATAAAAGGAAGTCACAACTCTGTGACAATTAGTGACATAGTAAACAACATAAAACAAATCCACGGTCTGAGCAATGCGATATGTCTATTACCACCTCCTCGACCTCCCCCAACCTCCAGACAGCCGCAGGCTGTCCAGTGAATGTTATCATGGTAGGTTACACAAAAAAAGAAGAGAATGGAAATGGTTGACGGAGGCAATGGAAGTGGTGGAGGCTACGAGCCCAAGCCAGGCATCTCTGACATAGACATGATGGTCCACACCACAAGGTGAGAGCCAAGCCAAGAAGTCAGATATCCCCCTGCAGGCATCATTGCACCATTGTCATTTCCACGCTGGGTTCTCCAATCGAGTGAAGCCTTGTTGTACTCCAAGGAAAATATGCACATGCGCAGCGGACCAGCAAGAGTTTGTGGTAGGTGGTTAAATGGTTAATGGAATCTGGGGGAACACACCTTTCCTTTGAGTCGACAGGTAAGGCAACGTGAAGGCATCAAGTCTCAGGTTAAAATGATGAAGATGATGCTGGAGGGGGGTATTTATGATCAGGAGAGAAGATAATGATATATATGGAGAAGTGTGAGGAAGAAAACCGGAATGGAAATAGCACGTCGGAGCCAAAATTAAGGCTTCTCAACAAAGTCCAATATTCATGATCGACTTTCCTTTCTCAGCCCTCAGCAAAAATATTTATTTATTTTGTCATTTTATTTTACACCCAAACCGGTGATGACATAAGCTAGCTTTACCCAAATGGGTGATGATGTGAGCCTAACCCACTAGGAGGTCGCGAGGCTCGCATAGACGTCATGATCGTATAGGCATTACACATGTGGGTGGCTAAGATAAGTTGTTCGTGAACGCCGGCACATTGCCTAAATCAGTCTAGCACAAGTAATCCTACTACAATCGGACAAGAAGTCCCTCTCCGATATATATGACGTCCGCGTTCTAATCAAACTTTGTGGACTGGACGCGATAGAGAGAATTCTTCATGAGTGACCGTATGCGATTCAGGAGTTGGACACATTCTGAAGAGCTCTAGTAACGATAGGTATTTGCCACCATGAGGTCTCAACGAATACAAACGGCCTGTTGAAGGCCACCCATCATGGTTGATTCGTGAAGTTGACCGATTAAACGGGAATCCCAGCAGAACCCCGCGACAGAGCGGGAGATTTGGCCAGGCAAGATTGCGCCATTAGGGAGCGTCCTCAATTAGGTGAAGCTGTTGTGTGTCACGTAAGCACCAAGGCCAAATAGAGGACCATTTCAACCTACAAGGTGCCTCCCTGAAGTGAGGCTTTACCAAATAAATCCCTTTAATAATAATCTGATTAAATGATGTGATGCACAAAATGATTTTGGCACCTCTTGACCAAACGCTCATGCTATTCAACTTTTTTTGGAGAGGGCGTGGCGGACACTGCCACTACCCCGGACTTGCCACGCCACCACCCCCTGACGCCACAAACCAGAGGATTATGCTTTAACCTGACATCACCCACCCGCCCTTCCTATTTTCCCATCCCAATGACCTCACATGTAAACTCGATGTAGATTACAGTAGGGGTAGCCGCACTGTTGCGTCGTCACGCGACCGCGGGGTAACAAATCAGAGTACAACAACAACAACAACAACACCGCCCAAATTTTGCCTGAGGCTAGCGGCAGGGATAGGGTCAAGAGTTTGAGAGTGGGGCAAACCGCTCAACCTCATGCTGTGTTCTGCTAAAGCAAAATCAAACAGACATGATCAGGACCCATCAATAAAGCACAAAAACAATCCAGTAGTCCCTTGAGATTCACGCGGGTACGCTTCCAACTCTGCACCCACCGCTCTGATGTCGCCCGAACGTACCTGTTCCCTACACCGAAGGGTAAGACGTGGCTGGGGGTGGAGGGTTCGGTAGTGGAGGCGTCAACTTGAGTAGCGTTCACTAGTCATGATGACCTCAAGTATAATATTGCGAAGTCATAGAGCTGGAGTCCTGCCGATGCCGAAGAGCGCGATTGAATTGAATCAGGGCCCCGGCCACTTTAGAACAGCTTTTGCTTCCATTTCGATCATCCGACTCCGAGTGCACTAAATTACTGTAGGATTACGACCACTAGTTCGTCCCATGATGTCCCACGGATTGAATTGAAAATGAAGACATTTGAATTGATTTGGGCCTCCGGCAACTCCCGGAGCACGTGGGAATGAACTACTTGGTCGTATTCCTACAGTACCTCTTCCATCATTCACTCCGGGCTAAACTAATGCGGATCGCGTGGAATTTCAAGCTGCACAAAGCGCTTAGAAATAGCTATTTTATCGGTCTCAGTCATCTGGTCAATTGGAATTGACGTACATCTGTGGCCGATTACTATCCGTGATTATAATTGGTTTCTCATTGACACGCTCCCCAAGTCACTTCGCTCACTACAGCTATGCTTCATCCAACTCCCATGCCGGCGCTGCTACATGCATTATTTTTTCACTGTAAAACTCCCCCTATCTTTCCCACATTTACTCCGAACGTAGGCTAGAAGAGTAGCAGTGAACACCAAGCAAACCAAGCAAACCGAGTCGTAGCAGCAATTCTAAGCATTCAATCAAACACGAGGAATCGACTTACATGCAGCACATTTCTCAGTCCGGGGGAACCGCCACCGCCCGCGTCAACTCAGAGAGGGACAAAGCGATATCCCAACTTCCAAGCTAGGCCTTGAAGCCGATAGGCAGCATGTTCATTTGAGTTCGTCTTCATCCCATATTTAGAAGGCTCAGGAATCGCAGCATGATTGAATGTGTCCAACGACATAGGGTTCGAGATCTGGGAACGGGAAGCCATTTCGGGATTAGGGTTGAATTGAGAGAAGGTCGGCATCATGTCGAATAGTGCAGGGTCAATCGAAGCGGGTCCTTCTTCCGAACCTTGAACAGGAGGGAATAAGGTTTGGGTTCGGAGATCCAGCAATTCTTCATCAAGATTGCTTTCATGCGCGGGTGACGCCATAGGAAACACGTAGGGAGGTCCATTAACAGCTGACGCGCCACAATATAACTTATTGGAAAGGCTGTAGTAGATAGCGAGCCATTCGGGCAAGCCAGTGGGCGTTTGGCTCTCCGGCATATGAGGTACATGAAGTGGAGTTGTCATCGGCAAGGAAGCAGTGGGCTGGGTGGAGTTTCCTTCATCAGCTGCGCTTTTGACCCGTTGGATCAGTTGAAAGCCTGAAAGAAGCCGGCGAGACTTTGGAAGAGGTGCTGCATACAGAGACAGAGAAGTACGATCACGGTGTCGAACGAGGTTTGGAGGCATCAGACATACCGACCCATGCACGCCCAGGCTCACCTATACTTTGAGCCTCACACAAACACGCCCGGACCCTAGCCGATCTCTATGAACTATTCCCTTTATCAAGAGAGTATCAACGCGATAGAGGAAGACGTACCTTGACTTCACTCGAAATTGTCATCGAGCACGCAAGGCATTCAATCCGCATCCTGCTAGATAGACCACAAGATTGGGAATTTAGGGAATCGACGCATCCCTAAGACCAAGGTGCGTAACTGGAGGTGGTCATGTCCAAAAAAAAAACGAATGCGAAAACAATGTTTGTGACTACCGCGAGGGAGGCAGTCGTCTATGCGTTTAACAACATAGACACGATGCTCCGCCACTGCAAGCTGAGAAATTAGATATCCTCCCCGCCTTGAACGGATGTACTCATCCAACGCTTGGGGCTCATGGTGCGCTGCGGGCCTTGGACATGATGGTAAACGGCGTTCAAGGGGTGCTGAGCCAAGGTGTCCGGACAGTGTTCTTACACTGAAGGAGACATGTCACAAGGGGAGAGGGGTGTGCAAGCTGGTGTTGTTGGACACGCCTGAGCAATCCGGAGCACGTTGAGTTGATACTGAAGTCCGCGGATCTCTCATCGAACCAGGCACTCCAGATTGTCCCCGACCTGCTTGGACCTGGGTCAGCGGCTGTGTCTGAGCCTGAGCCTAAGTATGCTAAACGCGTCCTCCGTATCTCCCAGCAGCTTCATGTGAGCATCCTGAACACCAAATATGTTCATAGTTTTTTCCCATTTACCAGGGTTTGACCCACCGTGCGGCCTCGCAGAGCACGTCGGATGCATCGAGTTCAACATCGTTACCTTGGGAATATATCCTCACCTGCGAGGCACTTCCAACGAAAGATCTCCTTTTGGTGGTTGTGAGGGTTGGTTGCGATCTTGGGTGTCTCAAGGGAATATGATCTTATCAGCCATATCGGCGGTAAGCGGGATCGGCGGTGTCTTCGTCGCATTAGCAGCTGAGCAGCTTGGGGGGGCGGGGCTGGGTTCTGGTTTACTTTGCAAGCGCTAGCAAGGCGCTAGTAGCACTTGTGAAAAGTCCTGGCTCTCCGATTGCGCCAACGTGTGAAAGTCCAGGGCCACCCGATGGACTGCAGAAGAATCAAGGGAATCACTAATCCCCAAAAGAGTCGAGATGAGTAACAGTCGAGGTTTACCAACAAGAGGAGCCCTGGTCGGGCACCTGGCGGACGGAGCCGAGCCACCCTTGCTTCCGAAGCAATGTTTGTATAAAATGTGAGTGTACGATAATTAGTTCACTACCAGAACTCAAGAACAACTGCCTTTGGAGAGCAGGCGCGGTGCGATGCTAGCCGATAAGTCGATCGCCTTGAGACCAAGTAATGAATCGGATGACTAACTAATACAGCACGAGAGCCAAAAAGGAAAAAAAAAAAAACAAAAACAAAAAAAAACAAAAAAACAAACAAACAAACAAACAAGATGCACGAGATCGCGAGCCTTACAAGCACTCGAAGATTGAAATTGTAGTGCAGAATATCCAAACACTGAAGCCATTGGCTTCGATGGCACAGGATAGAATCGGCTGGCTTACACCAATAATTCGCTGTCCAAGTCACCAAATCATGCAGAGAAAAGAAAGACACTTACGCTCAAACCATTAAATGAAAAGAGTGTCACCATCGGAAATGCTGGCTCCCCGAGGGATGAGGAAGTATCCCATATCCCAAGCCAGATCTCTAAGCAAACTCGCGGCGTCTCTGTCCCAATTTGTACCATTTCCGGCGGTTTCATCGCGAGTTTCATGCAAAGTGGCGTTGGAGTGTGGATAGAAGGCAGTAGGTCCAACATCTCCATAGTTAACGATGCTATCCGAATTGTTTGGCACCGTAGGATTCCAATTCTCGCTGTAGGATACCACCCCACGGTTGGGAGTCGCTGGGTGGAAGGCGGGCGCTAAGTTAGGGAAGATGGTCCTACCAATGGGGAAGATTGTCCCAGGAGTGGGAATATGGGCGATATAAGGGGAGCTGACATGCAGCAAGGGTGCTTCATCAACAGTTCTAACAGATCCAGATAATCCCGACATAGAGGATGGGGCCGCCTCATTGATAACTGGCACGTCTCTGAGCTCGTTTGTTGGCGGAACGGCAACAGACACCTCGTAGGCCAAAATAGCATTCATTTGGTTTCCACATCCATGAGTCGTGTTTGGCAGGTCAGTCGCGGGGGAATCGACAGTGACCATTGTGGGGATTCTTGGGTCAGCTACAGGCTGAGTTGCTGCATCTCGGAGGCTCGATTGCAAATATGAAAGAAATTGTCGCGTCTTGGGAAGGAGTGCTATCGAAAGAAGAGAAGCGGAACAGGGTATGTATGCAATGACAACACGGCCGAAAGTGGGAACCGTCACATACCGGCCTCAATGCGCCAAGGATCGCTGGAAGCTAAGATCCTGATCTCCTCCAGACACTCCCGAGCTCTGGTCGATGTCTACGGGGATGTTATCCCTTCGTTCGTCATACCACCACGATGACGAAAACACACTCTGATCACATTGGGAATCTTCATTGTACAAGGCATACACTCAATGTGCATGCGTTGGCATGCATCACAGGACTGGAGGTTTTGGGCCTGGACACATCCCTGGAGGGTTGTCAAGAGAAATTAGGCAGGTCTCTGGTAAACGGAGGCCGAAAGCAGGCATAACAATTTGGCCAAGCAGAATACGCCTTTAGCGCCTTCCAAGCCGAGCATCCTCGATCAGGTGAAGCTGTCGCGTGTCCCTTAAGGTGGGTAAGCATCGTGGGATGAAAAGGGGACTGGTGTCCGGGTGAAGATGGAATGTAGAGAATTTATTCACGCTATGCTACATCGAAGAGCGCACCTTTCGTCTCAGCCGACAGACAAAACACCGTGAAGGCATGGAATCGAAATGGTCAGGGAAATCAGGAGAAGTGCAAGGCCGAAGGGGCCCATCCCTCAAATTGAGTCTATATACCTCTGGGAGGATCACGACGAGCAGTGACATCCATTGATGATATTGAGGGTTCCTACTGAATTGGATATCTTGGTGTTTTAACGTTAAATTCCCTTACACAGCAGTTGGTTTGTGGTTGGGGTGTCGTCTCAATTCATCCTAGCCCCTGTTTTCGGGATGGCCCGATCGTCCGCAACCTCGGCGGCATGTGGATAATAATGTCCCGATTCTGATATGTCGCAATCTAATTGCTCCAGGAGCACATTCAATGTTAGCACAATTCTCGTAATCAACTTCGACGCATTTCATATCACAGATGAGGAAGGAAGGGGCCCTTGCGCAAGCAGCATGCCGCCATGCAATTCGTATGATTCAAGTCATGGCACCCCCAAAAACGACAACGCCCCAAAGCAGCAAGACAACACCAAAAGGGAACGCAACTGCAATATCTTCAAGGAGGCTTAATTTATCGACTGGCACTGTGGCAATTCTCGTCGCTGAGGTGAGAATGCAGCATACATCCTTTTTGGCACCTGTCTATAGGGTTTACGCACAATTGCTGAGCCCAATAACCGAAAAATTTCTCTTTTGTATTTTCCTTAGTTCACGTACTCTGAACTGGGGTATGGTTTCTTGCTTGTGGAAAAGGTTTGTTTGTTTACCATGGTGCACGTCGGATTGTTTGGGGCGCATATTATTCCACTGCCTGCTTGTCGCAATGTTCTTTGACATCAGGCTTACATTATGGGAGATCCTGCCGCTCGGCCTTTCCAAAAATGGCACTTAGCGGTCACGGAAAAAAGAAGGCGACTGACTACATCCTGCGGGACTTTTTGGCGATGTTCCCCTCGGTACACTCGGAGAGATGTACTGGTCTGTGCTGTGTATAAGTACGTGCGCACTCCTTCCTATACCAGAGTAGAAGCCCAGTATATCAATCGAAATGCTATGCTTCAATGCAAGATCAGCGCTTATGACTGCGTTTCCCTACTGCAGTTTGCCAAACAACGGCTATAGGTGTGACGTTGGATTGTCATAGCCCACGAGAGGGAAGTGGAAATTGATGCAAGTGTTGGATGGTGATCTCCGAGTCCACGGGAGCGGAAATAGGCACATTGTTTGGCAGCCAGGGTTGTGCTTGGACTGTAAATCGGCCACAGGGAACTTGAAGACGAGGTACCGTGCGGCCATAGCAGAAGGCCGCAACGAGCTGGTTATCTGTGCACCTAATCAGCTTCTTGAGATGTCTAGCGGGCAGGGGACAATACATTGATCCATGGGGTAAAGAGTGTACTATGGGCCTGAGCGCTGCATGCGTGCAGAGAGCAGCGCGCGCGCGCGCGCATGAACGGACCATTCAAGTCTGAGCTGATAAGGCGCTCACATATTGTGTATATGTGGCTCAGCATATCAATGTTACGAGACTCTCATGGACTCCGTGACCATGTTGGCACCCCGCGCGGGCGGCTGGGGTGAGTTGATCAGGTACGTGAGATTGCATCAGGTTGTAAGGCCTAGCAATTTAAATGCCGCGCGTCAGCACTTACATACTATGGCTCCAAGTGTGCCTGATTGCCTAAATTAATCTAGTAAGATGACGTAACCCCGCTGAACAGTCTTACGATAAGTTCAAGGTTCTCGTCTATGAATAAAACGATATGGGCGGTGCTTCTAAGCGAATTTGCGATGGAGAGATGTTCTTGCGGACAGTCCAGAATCTAGCGCGCAAGTTGGACAAGCCAACCTCTGACATCCTGTCAGCCAGGCTGAGGGCGTTTTTATTTTCCAGGGGGCAGCACACCGTGAACCCACGGCATCCGTCGACAAAAATTCCCATCGATTCCACCAAGATGATATAGATGGTACAAGACCCGACCAGGGAACCAGTTTGAGAGGATGTCGGGAGCGTGAGATTCGGAATGGTAAACGAATGCCCCATCACAACCTCAAAACGAGGTTACCAAAGAAAGAGTAGAAATCGGATTGAGATGGGAAGCGAGCGGAGGTCAAGAGGAGCCCAAAAGCAGTGGCGGTAAAGCGAATAGGCCCCAGGAGGGTGTAAGAAAGATACACGTCCACCGCTAAATAGTTACGGAACGGAAACAACCCGGCAAAGTAGAGCACAGAAAAATGGACCTGACAGAAATATTGTTGGCGGAACACCGCTGGATCTAATTCGTATTAGGCGCTATGAGCGCTCATTTGCTATGACCTGTTGCCGAGATAAGGGAAGCAACAAATAAAGTAGTTGCGGTCACAGCAAGCGAAAACAGAGGAATCCATCAAGCGGCGAGGGAAATATATAAAGATCGTATTCAACCAATGGGCAAGACGCCAATACACACCCTGGCTTAATGACCTTTACGCTTAACGAGCATCCTTCAACATCAATAATAGCACTGCCAAACCAATCGTCTCAGGTAGCAAGCCTGGGATCTAATGGACGACGCGAAACTGATGCATCCCGAACTTGCCATGAGCGTACGACTCACGGAATGCGAGCGCAAGGCTATACGGTGCGGCTGAGGGGCACTCCATCACACTGGTTGTGGAATGAGGCAACATGGGTATCGGGGACCGTCCAAGTATGCGCGTTGTGCGCGTCGGATACGGCCATGTTCTGATCGCGTAGTCGCACGCGCAAACCATGACCGGCATCTAGTGTTTCCCTTATCACAGGAATAGTAGCTCGGTGCAGAATTAGCTAATAAGCACTCTGACAGCCTCAGGAACAAGCAATGAGACAAATGTATTAGCAGACACAAGGGAGAAAAATCGTAAGCGGAAACGATGTGCAGCATCACGAGTGTGCATAAGCACCCGAAGATCCAATGAAACGCAGAATCTCCAGCCCCAAAGCCATCAATGATGACACAAGGGAGTACAAAGATATGATCTCCTGGCTTATAGTGAGGGTTTGTCATCGCTGGGCCAACTAAGAACATCCAAAGCGCTTGCATACAGATTACCGTTGAACGAAATACCTGTGCAAGAGGACCATCATCAAAAACTCCCTGAGGGATGAGGCAGTATCCCGTCCTCCAAGCTAGACCTCTAAGCCAACCAATGGTGTCCTCGTTCCAATTCGCAAAATTACCCAGTGTTTCGCAGCGGGTTTCCAGGCATCACAAGGTTGGTTGCAGGACATCATCTCCTAGTTTGCGTTAGCCGCCATTCGCTGGAAGGGTAGTGGCAGGAGAGGTGACTCTGGGATTTGAAGAATGGGAGGGAACCACTTCAGAATTAGTGCTGTCAGGAGAGGAGAAATAGGAAGTAGTCTAAAGCCCTAAGCATTACACGCATTTCTCAATGCGTTCGGGGTTGCTGGATGCTAGCGCCCTGGCCTCTTGTAGAAACTCCTAAGCACTGGCCAACTCCTGTTCCCCAGATCTTTGTCGATGAGACGATCCATCATCGCAATGGCCAAAACGTGGACAACGCAAGCATGATAACGCTCCTCTGGCATGGATCACAGGACCAACAATTTGGAAGCTGAACACATCGAAGAGAATGTCATGTAAGACATTTGTTTTACTCATAATTTCCGAGTGACGACGCGTAGTGCTCCATAGTAAGGTTATAAACGTGGGAGTGAGGTTGACTCGGGCACGGCGGAGCTTGCCGATTACATGAATGGCAGACGCCGACTCATTGCATTGTTTACGACTAGGTTTTTATACTCCAGGGTTGCTCATTGATCAGGCCAGGGGTTTCTTCCCGTCACTCCCTCTTCTACCACCGTGCTAGTATGTCTTACCAGACAGGGGCAGGTAACTTGTGCGCGCGCTTCAGACCTTGCTTCATTCGTGCAGCCATGCGCTCTCCAATTATTCTCCCTTTCTAGCGCAGGAGTTGCCTTATGTCGCGCTTTTCCCCGATCCCATTAACAGCACCTATGTCTGCGCTTCCCTAGCCGCTGCTGACTGAATACCAGCCCGAGCTGAGCTGTGTATTTTAGATTTGCTGTAAGGGACCAGTGTTGCATTGAATAGTCACAATGCATGGGAACGAGCGCTAACAATCGATGCATCCTGTTGGACGTTAGTTTCTATGGGCAGCAATTGCCTGCGGAACATGCTACGGGTCAGCGCCGAAGAGTTACTCAGACAGCTAACGGTCTATGGAGGAGAGACCACTATGAGGGTGAGATGCATGAGCGCTACCCCTGCTTCTTCATGAATAGATCACTCAAGTCAACTCATAAGTCCTTTCAAAATCGTAGTACACACCAGCCCGTAGAACGTCAACAACGGACCATTGACTCGTTGACCCTAATGGGGCTGCTTCTCAAACGTGTTGTACGAACAAAACTGCATGAGGCAGACCCCTTGTTTCTGAGGCTGAAGGCTCTGAGGGTCGCCAGTGTGGGAAATTGGGTGCCGCGCATCAGCACTTGTTATATACTCAAGTGTGAATGATCGGGACGCCCCCATGACACCTTCTGGTGATACCCCTGGACAGCCTTACAATCCGACAAGAAACTCCGAGACTAGATAGCTGGAATACAGTGCCACGCGCGTGTGCGAAGTGCGGAACTGCTGGTATCGAAGTGCGAAAAACAAACCTCGGGGGTTTTTCGCCGGTAACTCACTACATTGATACGGAGGCTATATTTCACCATACGGCGCGTACTTGTGCGATGCTGAGGCAGTCAGGTTGGGCTACGAGCGGGTCGATGCTGTGCGTCGGCGTAAGCGTGTGAGTTGTTGGGGCGTCGGACGGCATCATGACTTGCTACTCAACAGCATGTGCAAAGTAATTAAAGCGACGACAGAGATGTTCCTCATGAAAAACCTCCAATGAGACACAACCCAGAGAAAGTGAATGTTGGGGGAGGGTTTGCTTTGACATCCGTGGGAATCCCAGAATGACATAGACGGTCGCCTCTAAAAGCATCGCGTCACAGGTGAATATCAAGCCAGGTAATAACGACATCGAGAACAAGTAATGAGGTGGGATATATTCACAAATACAGTACCTCAGGATAACAAAAAGAACAGCCACACAAGATATACAGGAACTCGAAGATACGTACAAATGTCAAGCAAATACCAGAGGCATCAAATGACGGCACAGATGGCGATACACAAACTATATCTTTATGATCATTCGATGAGTCCCGCTAAATCAAGATAGACAAAGCCGCAGAACAAAAACCATCAGACCCAGGGGGTGGTGCGAAAGGGCAGCTCAGAGAGGGACAAGGCGGTATCCCATACTTCGAGCCAAGCCTCTAAGCCAAATAACAGCATCCGAGCTTGAGTTTGAATACTCTTCCAGGAGCCCCTGGTTGGCTTCGGCCATAAATGTATTTGATCGCGGGCAGGGAGGTAAATGAGAAGGTCCAGGAAGGTCATAGTCAGCGTGTGAGGTGCCCAGTGTTGTGGGGGTCCGTTGTTCGCTGTGGAATGGTATTCCTGGGTTAGGAGTCACTTGTGGTGACGAGGATGCGGAGGGGCGGAAGGCAGAGTCAGTGATAGTGAAGGAGCTAGTGCCGAGACTGGGAACATGTGGTGGATGCGCGAGAGGCCCAACACTCAAGATGGACCATTCGCTGATGCCGTTACTAGCATACCCAAGCGAGGGGAGAAGAGCTGAATGGATATCATGAGTGGCCGGGGAATCTTGGACGGACCGAACCCTAAAGGAAGATGTATCGTTGGGCAGAGGGCCCTCTCCTCCACTCGGCCACCCATCGGAGCTATTTGGTGGGTTTAGCGACGAGGCAATGGTGGATGGTGCAAGGGTTGCTGGATCACGACATATGGCACTCCCAAATACCAACTGCAAATCTGAGAGGAACTGACGAGTTACTGGAAGAAGCGCTGTGGAATCGGGAGGGAAAATCGGAATTACAGTATGATATCAGACGAGGTATGAAAGCTGCAGGAATGAACGACATACTGATCCCAGTACGTCCAGCTAGTGTTCTAACCTCCTGCAGGCACTCCTGAGCTCTGGACGACCCCTACGAGGCTTTTAGGCCTTCGTACATGAGATGAGCCACGAAACCTACTTTTACCATGCTGGGAACCCTGATCGGACAGGACATACATTCGATTCGCATCCCTTCACATGCATCGCAGCCTTGACGATTTGGAGATTGAACACACCCCTAGAGGGATAAACAGTGTCAGTAAGGTTGAAAAAGGTCATTCGAACAATTAGAAGATAAGGCCCCTGGGCTCGTCCCGGAATACCACCCACAACAAGAAAATTCAGAATTTGTGTGCGGGTAGGTGAAGTCGTCGCATCCCCGGAAAGATTATATCACAGAGTATAGATCATGCAAATCTGGAAAATTTAGATGCCGCAGGACACACCTTTCCCCTCAGTCTGCAAACAAAACAGTGTGGCGGCATCGAAGAAGGAAGGGATGCGTGATTGGGGTAAGTTGATAAACTACAAGGCTGGAGAACCGCAGGCTCACCCACCTTAAATCAGTATGTGGTAAGAACCTTTCCAACATTTCGTGATTGCTATCGCAGGATCCCTGAATCAACATACGTTTGCCGCCGCGGGATCAGCACGTCAGTGTTCAATCACCGTATTCGGTTATTGCCACAATCAACCACATTGACATTAGGTTCTCATCAAAGCAGGGTTGTATTCGTCGAATGCACATCATCAGATTTACGTTCAGAGCTTATTACATAGTTCACACTGTATGCCTGATCTGCAGTCCGTAGTGATGTAGGCATACCGAAGCTAACCACTTTGTGCTATCTATCTGTTGAACGCCGCTTGAAAAATGTAAAGGTTATGTCGTCGCGGGAGAGATTTAATGACAATTACATTTACTTTATATGTTTCGCGTAAAGCTGCGACACAACTAATACAAAGATGTCAATGTTTTTATAGATGGAAGAGGCAGCTCTCAACAAGAGCAAGTTCAAAAAAATCTTCTCGTTATACGGAGCCAGCACTCACTAGCGAAGTCGCTGAACCAGGAGGAAGGGGAAACGAACGCCATTGGATCGCCATGGTTGCTGTTGATATTCCAATACCTGGAGCCCCGCGGCCTATCTTTTAATCTGTGGGCGAGTTCCTTCCCTATTCGGATCCAGTTCATGGATCTTTTCGAATTGAATGCCGCCGCAACCAGGCTACTGGGCAGGAGTCCGCCTTTAACGCTTTGCGCGTTTTCAACCTTCGTGAGCAATATATAGTTACAGAAGGGCCTTGTATATACGATCTCAGGGGTAGGACCAGGTGAAGGTGTTTGAGGAAACACTACATGATCCTGCGTTGAGGCATCTAGGAAGTGACAATTGATTTCTCCCGAAAGTGCCACGCTATGGCACCACATACCGCTGGACATCTCTGCTTCCTCGGTGTATGCCTCGTCGTCGCTATCCTCAGAGGGCACGTCCCTCCATAGGCCACAGCTTGAATTTCCCATACACCCTACTCCGTTCATTCAATGAGACCCGCATCTAACGCAAAACGATGCGATAGAACTGAAGCGGAGCGATTGGTATGTAGTTCTTACATAAGCTAACCACGAGCGGTGTATCTTGTTGGGGACTTGGACCATGCACATGCTGGGCTTATAAAATATCAATATCTTACAAGAGTTTTCACACATCCCAGCACACACATTAGCAAGGCTAGCGATATGTCGGGTAATCGATGGAGACTACATAACTGGCAGCCAGCTATGGGTAGGTGAATCGACGTTGACTTCCAGTGGACTCATTGTGGATCGGGGTGAGTTTTTTAAGATTACATGTTAGCACGCGGTAAATGACATTCAGTCCAGACTGATAAATATTGCCTGCTACGACAATTCCACTTCTTTGCCGATGCGCGGATAGGTCGAACCTGATCCTTCCTTGCAATAAAAGAGTTGCATATCAGTTCGCCATAACTCCACTTAATCGTGTACCAACACACTTGAAAATTCTTCTTGTGTTCTTCAAGTCCTCTGTGCATGCTCTCGGCGACCATCTCATTAGTTCCACCTAGGTGATAAACAGACGATGCTCTAGTCCAAATTGTCTGCCTCAAGCAGGGTCGATGGCTCTCGCCTTGCATGGGTAGAAGTTCGCCCTTGGAGCTGAAGTGAGCCTTCAACATGCATCATAATAGGTTTGCATTAAACGTCGGAGTTTGGCTATCTCGCATTAGTTCCCCATCTCGTCACTTACCCAATGAACGAGACAACTCAAATGAAGCAACTTTGTAGTGTGGCATATCGAATCGCAGCTGGCCAAGCTTGATCTTGCGGATTATGAATGGTCCCATGTTTTATAGCTGCACTCATGGTATTCAGCACCTCGCCCTGAAGCAGCCCGAATGAGTTAGGTTTCCGATTGACCAAAAGTATAGGTACTGGCTCATGTGGTGGATGGAGAATATGTGATCTAAATCCCTTTGTGGGTGAGTCTACATATTTATTTCGTCACCGAACAGATCCCTTTGATAACTGAAATTAAACAATATGACGCACTAGATCTAAAACGTTCATGCTATTCTAGTTCGCACGAAGCGGACGCTTTATGTGGAGACCCTCGTCGCTACCTTTCCTATCCGTGACATTATCGTCCGAACTTCGCCCGAGGCTAGCGACAAGGATATGGTCAGGAGTTTGGGAATAGGGTGAACCGCTGGGCCTCATGCTGTTTTCCGCCAAAATTAGACAGTCAGGACCCAATCGATAAAGCATGAAAATAATCCGCTTACATTCATTCGTCCCAAGGAAGATAACTTGCCTGCTTCAGAGTACCACGGTCATACATCAACTTGAAAACGATCTTATCTCCGCGCTCTCCAGTTCTCCTGTTGACCTCCTTGACGCTAAACTCGCTTCCTAGTAATCTGAAAGTGAATTTAGTTGGACAGAATCTTTAAGGAACATACTCGTCACTAGGAACACACACTTCTTTCTCAGGCTGTTCAATATCGGGAATCCCGTGTGGATGGTTTTGGCAGGGAATAACACCCGTATAGAATGTTCGGGCATAGCGCACACAGAAATGACGGAGAGCGGGATAACACCTAGGCTTGCCATAAGCGGGGGTGACATCCTAAGAGTATCAACAAGAAACCTATCAGGTTGGACACACATTTAACCCACGAGACCCATAACAGCGAGCCCTACCCACCTTCGGAAACAGATCACTTTGTCTTGCAATACGAAAGCGTTGCCGCAGCTTGCTCAACATTCTCTGAAGTAATGGCTTCAGCCCCTCCTTCCCGTTTGGTTGTGTCCCCCTTCAGCAGTATCGACACCAGCAGCTGCCACGAAGGTCTGGATGGCTACCTTACTGAAAAGCCATTCCGCAACCCCGCCTCTCCTGTCGCGCTTGAGGCGGAGGAGCTGCGCCATTGAAAATATCGAGTCTCTGCCGTCCGTAGGACAGGGACGGGAGTGACGACCGCGACTTTGTCTATGATGATGGCAGGGTAAGTGGCAGGGCTGGAACGAGAGACAATTGGCTACTGCAATTACACTTAATGTTGTCATGGTTGAGTAAGGTTCGCAGCTCATGATTCGATGCCGCGATTAAATTCAATTGGGTGTACGGGTGCGCCTGTAGATGTGACCTGGACGTTCAATTGGGGAAGTTGCCTAAATGCAGGATCCCAGGCAAAGAATAAACGTTCAATATGCTGCAAGACGGAGCAACGAGATGGAGATGACTGCACAGGAGGAACTGAAGGGCTATCATATACGAGGTGGGTGTATATGTATATGCATGCATCCCCAGCGGTGATGAACTCAGAGAGGCTGCGCAAAAGATACAAGGTTGGCGATCGCTCCATGTGGCGAACCGAGGAAAAGTGGAAAGGAAGTGAGAGGCCACAACTAGCCACAACGAAGGCGGATAAATCGATTTCAGATAGGTGTAGTTCCATCCGTGATTGGAATTGATCAAGAACAAAAGCTGAGTCAATACAATAGCCAGCCCGGGACCCGATCTGCAGACTGGACAACGTGAGTGGACAAGCACAAATGCTTGGAACATCATTCGATCTAAATTCAAATCAAGATGCGAGGATTCCAGACCACGGGCCTCACTCTACATGTACATATCAACGTGGTGCAGAATATCCGAGTAACGGAGCCACTCATGATGACACAACCGAACCAATCAGTCTACGTCAACAATTTATCGTCACTGAATTGTGCAGAGAAAAGAAAGACACTAACGTTCAAAAACATGAAGTGAAGCTCCTAAACAAGAGCACCACCGGGAATGGCAGCGCCGCGAGGGATGAGGTAGTATCCCATACTCCAAGCCAGTCCCTTCAGCCAGCCCACAGTATCCTCGCCCCAATTCGCTCCATTTCCTAGAGTCCCGGCACGAGTTTCATTTGAAGAGGCATGGTAGGTCGCTGTAGAAGGTCCTGCACTTCCACGGTTGGCAGTGTCATTCCAGTTGTCCGGCATCGGAAGATCCCAATTCCCGCCGTAGGGTACCGTCTCGTGGTTGGTGGTCGTTGGCTGAAGGGAACTAACGTGTAAGAGGGTCGCTTCATCAATGGTTCCGACATATCCAGATAACCCCAAGGTGGATAATGAGGCCTCATCAATGACCGGCATGTTCCCGAGATCGTTTGCTGGTGGGAGTGCAGCAGACACCTCATAGGCCAAAACAGTATCCACTCGGTTCCCCCATTCGTGAGTTCCGTTTGGCAAGACAGCCGCTGGGGAAAAGATAGTAGTCGTTGCGGGGACTATCGGGTCAGCTACAGGCTGAGTTGCGGCACCCAGGGGGCCTGATTGCAAATATGAAAGAAACTGTCGCGTCTTGGGGAGCAGTGCTATGGAACGAAGAGAAACGGAATAAGCTCTGCATGGGACGAGAACACTCAGAGAATAGAACCGTACGTACCTATCCCAACACGCCCAGGATCGCCGGAAGCCAGAGCCTTGACCTCCTCCAGACACTCCCGAGCCCCAGTTAATTTCTATGGGGTTAGTCTCAGCCTCCGTCCATTGCTGCATTGGCGAAAACGCACTCTAACAGCATTGGGAATCTTGATTGTGCAGGACAGGCACTCAACGCGCAACTGTTGACATGCAGTACAGGATAACTGATTTGGGAGCTGGACACATCCCTGGAAAGTGGTGAAGGTGAAGTTAGAGAAGGAACTTGTTTACTCTGATGATCGACTTTGGAAGGTCAAACAGTGCAACCACGGAGTTACCCGATCATGCGAAAAAATGGCCCAAGAACGCACCTTTCCTTTCAGTCGACAGACAAAACAACGCGAAGGCATGGAAGTGTTTTATTTTCTCGGAGGGGGGGGTTGAGAAGTGTGAAGCCCAAGTGATTCCTCTTAAGTGTTCTACGTATCTTCCCAACCCAGTCCCAATCCTCAACAGAGTTCAATTCAAATTTTTGAATTGATTAGTCAACGGAGATTTGTCCTCGTCAAACAGCCATGTTACAGGGTAATCACAAACAACCCGAAACGGGGAGCTTGTACGGGGAGCTTGTATGATTGAGAGATGGCAACATTCGGCCAACACCGCTGGTGGTTTGCGAATGATATTGTAATACTAGAAAGGTTGCTTCGCAACCGTGACCTTGCTTGTGCAAAATTATATGGCCGATATGAGTTGAAAGAGTGGTGAAAGTTATGTATTGGATCATATAATATTCCCACCTTACTTTTGGCGCTTCACAGGCGACAAAGATGAACCGGAGAATAGGCACTTCAATGGTGAGCAACCGTCTGTGCAGCTGCTAACAAGAGGGGCTTATGTTTTAAGTGTTGACTAAGTACCAGCGATCTGGGAAGCGGTACATGAGGGGAAAAAAGGCACCAGTATACATCTAGAATGCCTCAGTACGTGAATGATGCGTGGGGAGGGACTAGGGCGTGTTTCTAGGAATGCGCATGCATGAATTCCGCATGAGTACGGCCTAATCAACATAGGCGCGCATTTTGAGAGTTGCGCGCATGTGGGTTGCATGTGGGAAAGGTGCCTAGGGTGTAAAAACGCATCTGGTTGACTCTTCTACCTCCCTGCCCCTGTCGAATCTAAACTCTCCATAATTTCCAAGCACCAAATCACTAACGAAAGCCACACGCAGTGTGTGAATCCAGAAAGCAAGACCCAATTTACTTGCATCTTTCCACGCCAGAATATCAGCATCTTCCGCACTCCAAGATTTGGCAACTCTCCGTTCTCGTGACAGCCCGAATGTTGGGCATCAAGTCAGACAAATTCTCGAGAATCACAAATGTTGCAATAATGGAAGTTGCCATCAGGGATATCCGGTACAACTTCAACACACAGAGCAGAAGGCGTCTGAGTAAACATTCTTCTGAGTTGATCCAGGGTGGAGCTTCCCCTGAGAACCCCCAATTCCACGCGCGTTCCCCTCGATATCTAGTTCAGTAGGGGTTGTTCATGTCGTCGATAAGGCTCCAGATCGACTGGAGGGAGTGGACCAAATGGGGTTATGTAACTATATGGCAGAATTCCTACGAATTGTGACCATGCAAGTGACCTTGGAAGCAAGGTAATTGTAATATTGACCGTCGTCCGACAAGGTGTCTAACATCGTCAATTCCAACCCTGGTCCTTGCACGGTTGCGTCTAGTACTGTGATGGGAAGGTGGAGTTCAAGTTTTTGAATTGCAATCCAGCTTGGCGTCAATAGACAAACTTGTCCCGACACCATGGGGTGCTTGCATATCGAAACCATCTGCCCTGAAACCCGATTGGGTGTCAAGTGTCGACTGGGAAGGGCGCGCATTAGTAACCCGCAGCCTGGCCTGTAGCGTAGCGGATCTTCGGCCCTGGGCGGGCTCCTCAAGCACAGTGAACCGGGGGTTTTTGTGATCCAATAAGATACAGGATGATGATCCCCAGCACGTCAACTGAAGCAACCAGCATGTGGGTGCCGCGCTCACTTTACGGCCGTTGCTAAAAATGGCACTCTTAGCCAGTCAAACCAATCTACCGGTTCATCACTGTGGGAGAGAACGATTCCGTACATTCGCATAGCTTTCGCTCAATACAAACGTTGAGAACTGGGCTCCGCTCTCGCTTTTCCCAATCTCATCTTCCCATCGAGCTCGTCAGTCTTCGGTTTCCGCCGCGTTGCCTTTTTCAAATGGCTTACAACCCCCAGGTTCAACACATGTGGGTGGCATGCTCCCTTGGTACTGTTAGAGAGTTGTTGTGGAAGCGTGGTCTCGCATAACCGGGAATATGACAATTATAAGTAGAGTGGAGTGAGGTGCTGTGCTACTATGCAAAAACGGGTGCCCTCTCGCGTTTCGACATCGGCTCCTGTAACCACGTTCCCCGACCGTAGTTGATCGGATGCTAGCTGGAGCTTTAGAATACTGTATATCCTGGACTAGCCCCAAAGGCCATTTGTTACCTTGGATGATGAGAACCTACGGGGGTTGGGGACTGGTGCACTGCGTTGGATATTGATTTCCACGGGAGCGCCCACACTATCAGTATCTGGCGGTTGGGATGAATAGGGGCGTGCTTGAATTGGCCACAGAGATATGAAAGTGCAATACCGCGCGGCCATGTCAGAAGGCCGCTAACGGACGGGCGCTTACTTGTGTATGTAAGTCTCGCAAGCTGGCCTCTTGAGATGTCTGGACGGCAAGCGATGATAAGTAGATTTCGTATGGGTCGCCAGGTAAAGAGCGTACCAGAGCCTGAGCGCTGCGCAGCGCGCGCGCGGGGATGAAATACATCACTCAACCTCAACTCATAAGACGCTCGTATAGGATCGATGTGCAGCTCAGGACATCCACTAGGAGGCCGCGAGACTCGCATAAGTAGACGTCATGATCAGGTAGGCGGTGTACACGTAGGCGGCTAAGATAAGTTGATGCTGCGCGTTAGCACCTATTATATATAGATCGCATTGCCTAAATCAGTCTAACGCTACTGATCCTATGACAATCAGATAGAAGCCCCTCTCCGGCATATATGACATCCGAGTTCTAATCCATGAATCAAACTTTGTGGACCCGTCGCGATTATGGATACTCTAGAATCTAGCGCCAGCCTTGTGACCGTATGCGATTCAGGAGTTGGACAGACTTCTGAAGAGTTGTCAAGGTAAAGATAGGCAAGGAACTCGATACTAGTAACAATACAATAGAGGTGATAAGGCAGGCATTCGCCACCACGAGGTCTTAATGAAGGCTAACAGCCTGTTGAAGGCCACCCGTCACGGTTGGATCATGAAGTTGACCAATTAATCGAGAATCTCCCACGACAGACCAGGAAATTTAGCCAGGGAGGACTGCGCCCCCAGCGTCTTTCATGCCGAGCATGCTACTCTGAGACGAATATGCACCGAGGCCGAATGGAGAACCGTTGTAGGCAGGACAAGTGGCGGGACCATGTGGAAACCATTTCAGCCCAAAAGAGGTACATACTCCCATTAGGTCTTCGATTAACCAGAACTATAGGCACTGGCCTATGTGGTGAATACAAAATGAATTCTCCTGTAACGGACATCCATTTCCGTTCGTTACCAAACAGATCCCTTCAATAATAATGTGGATTAAATAATGTGACATACAAAATGATTTCAGGCTGCGAGTCGCCAGAAAGGGACGCTTCGAGCGGCGGGCCACGCCAACCGCTCAACCTCATACTGTGTTCCATTAGACAGTCAGGACCAAGGACTCCATCAATAAAGCACAAAACCAATCCACTGATTTGCCCTAGTTCCTTCTTGCTGCAAGCCCAGGTACGCTTCCAACTCTGAACCTACCGCTCTGGGGCTCTTTCGCCCGAATGTACGTGCTCCCTTCGCCGAAGATCTAAGATGGTGGCTGGCGGTGGAGGGTTCGGTAGTGGAGGCGTCAATGCCTTGTGCCAGCTAAGAATGGCCATGTCTTAAAACCCCAACCCTGGCAACACACATAGCGCGACCGTTAGCACATACGCGGTGCTCGGGTATCCGGAAGGAACGACAGACGTACTCTATGTGCGTCGTCATTTTAAGATTGACCCGGTCCTGTATGTTCTTGCTGTGAAACAAAAAGGAATCAATTTGAGGGATGCCTCCTAATAATGGCAGCTGATTGAACGTGCCACTAGAGTAGAGCGATCTTCCGATCTACCATCATCTACTTGGTGTGGTATGTTCCGAAAATAGGCTGGTCACTTCCAAATCAGTGTTCGGGAGAAAACTTAACCGCATCGCCGGAATAGGTTCGGGAAGGGACGGTGACATTATTATCCCTTCGATCAAAGGCGCCACGGTCATACATTGGCAGCTTGAAAACGATCTTATCCCCATGCTCTTCAGCTCACTGGATGGGCCCCTTTACAGCACCGGTTAAGATCTTGGACGCTAAACTAGCTTCCCAGTAATCTGAAGTTGAACAGAATTCTAAAAGCAAGTCAAGGACCGTACTCGTCACTAGGAACAATACTTTCTTAGCTTGTTCAATCAAGTTTTCCATCAATGTCGGGAATTCCGCAATGATGCGAGTATGGAATGGTCGAGAACGGAATAACACCCATGCTTGCCATAAGCGCATCCTAAGCGTATCAACATAAAGCTACGCAGGTTGGACGCTCATTTAGACCGCGAGACTTATAACAGCGAGCCGAACCCACCGAATAGATCACTTGGGCTTTTGAATGCCGGAAGGCTGTTGCACTTTGCTTGATACCCCTAGAGAAATGATCGCTTCGACCCCTCCTTTCTGGTTGGTTGTTTCCTCCCTTCCAGCAATATATATGGACACGATTGGCTTCCAGGAATGTCTGGATATCTGGCTGTGTAACTGAAAAGGCGATTTGTATGGCTCTTGTCTTTCATCTCCGAGGTGGTTGTGCCATCGGAAATCGTCGAAGATAGGATGAGGATGATGGAGAGAGAAGGGAGCGGATAAACCGAAGTCGTCACTGTCGAGTGGCGTTCATTAGTCATGATGACCAAGCAGCGTCATATTACAAAGTCATAGTCCTCCCGATGCCGAAGAGTGTGATTGAATTGAATCTGGAATCAAGGGCGGCTTCGACCGACTTCTCCTTAATTATCGTCCATGTGGGTCACAGAGCAAGCTTGTGCTTCCATTTCGATCATCGGACTCCGAGCCGAGCTGGAAGAGAAACAATTGATGGACCTTTTTCACTGCGGATCGCGTAAGCGCTTAAAAGATACACTCAAAGCGTCTCAGTGGTCAATTGAAATGGACGTATCACTGTACCATCTGTGGCAGAGTACTATCCGTGAGTATGATGATTTTCTCATTTACACGCTCGCTAGGTCACTTCTCTCCCATGTTACATTACTTTTCCCCCTGTAACACCTCCCTATCTTTCCCACATTCACTCCAAACCTAGGCTAGAAGAGAAGCAGTGAATCCGTTTGGCCACTTGGGCAACAAGAGATGTATTGGAAACAAACGTACATGAACCGTGTCAACGGAACAAGCAAGAGGTCACCGACTCTACACATGGCACGAGAAACGGAAAACAAAAACACGAGTCGGAAGACCACCAGTACTATACACGCAATCACACACCACCGAGCAAAGCAGAAATTCTGAGCGTGAGGAATCACTTGCATGAAACACGTCTTTCGGTCCGGCGGATCCGCCACCGCCCGCGTCAACTCAGAGAGGGACAAGGTGATATCCCAGCTCCCGAGCCAAGCCTCGAAGCCAATAGACAACATCCTCATTTGAGTTCGTCTTCATCCACCTATCCTGTACGCGATCAGGAGTTTCGATCGCAGCAACGATCGGCACTGGTCCAACGATGCGAGAAGGGGTAGATCTGGAAGGCCCAGCATGATGGAATGGGTCCAACGACGTAGGGTTCGAGATCTGGGAACGGGAAGCCATTTCGGGATCAGGGTTGAATTGAGAGAAGGGAAGCATCATGTCGAACAGTGTAGGGTCAATCGAAGCGGGTCCTTCTCCCGAACCTTGGACAGGATGGAATAAGGTTTGGGTTTGGAGATCCGGCAATTCTTCATCGAGGTTGGGATCATGTGCGGATGACGTCATGGGAAACGCGTAGAGAGGCCCATTAACAGCTGACGCGGCACCAATATAATTCGCTGGAAAGGCTGTAGTAGATAGCGAACCATCGGGCAAGCCAGTGGGCGTTTGGCTCTCCGGCATATGAGGCGCATGAACTGGAGTTCCCATCGGCAAGGAAGCAGTGGACTGGGTGGAGTTTCCTTCATCAGCTGCGCTTTGACCCGTTGGATCTTCAAGGATCAATTGCAGGTCCGAAAGAAGCCGGCGAGACTTTGGAAGAGGTGCTACATACAGAGACAGAGAAGTACGATTACGGTGTTTAGAGGCATCAGACATACCGATCCATGCACGCCCAGGCTCAGCCATACTTTGAGCCTCACACAAGCACTCCCGGGCTCTAGCCGATCTCTATGAATTATTCCTTTTATCAAGAGAGTATCAGCGCGATAGAGGAAGACATACCTTGACCTCACTGGAAATTGTCATCGAGCACGCAAGGCACTCGATCCGCATCCTACTACATAGACCACAAGGTTGGGAATTGAGGGAATCGACACATCCCTACAAGTTCAACCGAGGTAAGCTAAGTTGACGAGGTCATGTGCCAGAATAAAAAATTCGAAAATGAACAATTCAATGTTTGTGTCACATGTGACAACAAATCGCGGAGGAAGCCGTGCGTCGCTGAAGAACCAGTCGTCTATGCATTCGCTGCAAGCTGAGAGTCCTCCCCTCCCCGGGCATCGAATCATTAAGTGTTTTCCATGCTGGACTTTCCAATCAAGTGAAGCTAGGTACTCCTTCGCAACTCCTTCGGAGTCCTTCACGAACTTATCGGATTTCACGGCAGTGACAATGCCAAAGTTTGAAGGGAGATTGGGGAATTGGGTATTGAAATTGAGACACACCTTTCCTTTTAGTCGACAGATAAAACAACGTGAAGGCATCAAGGCAAAAATGATGAGGATGAGTGGTGAGTAATGGGAGATGGAGGGTATGTACCTTGCACGCTTTAAATTTATGGATGGAGAATGTGGGTTGCTGAGTGGCTGTGACAGATCGGAATCTTTTTCGCTAACCATCCGCTGGCTTTGGCGCCCAGTGAACCTACAAAACCCCTCTGAGATGAGCGCAAAAAATCACGTGTTTGATGAATTTACACAAATATGAAAATGATGATAATTTTTTTGAATCCGCCAATTACAATGAAGGAAATGAATAGGATGCAAGCGTGAAGACGCACGGGCAGGGGCCCGGGCGCCTTCATAACTGTGGGGCATTTAACGGAAGGGAACAGAAAGTTGTATGCAGTAAGAAAAAAATAGTGGATGAAGGGGGGCGAGGGAATTGTGAGGCCAGTTTAACTGTACATATATATGGTTTGGTTGAGGCCCCTAGCGATGGTGGTTTGGCTTAGCGGCCGGTGCCGGATTATGTTCAATCCCGTGTCTGGATGGGTCTTGGTTTGAGTCCTGTATGGTGTTTCTTTTTTTTCTCCCTTAGAAAACTTTTAAGATGAAAAACTTCAATTCCAAGGGGTGATCAATGTCATGAAAAATGTACATTGGGCGGCTTTTGACTTCGTGATCAACCCCGGATCCGTGGCTGAAATTAACACTTTATATATTACTTTTAGGACCGGATCCATGTGAGTCTACTTGGTCTAGTGGATTATAGCGCTGTTTATGAGCCTGTCTCCCCCCTGCTTGTGCAGGTTCGATTCATTCTTGGTGGATTTTTTTTTGCCACAGTTATTGCACGAGGATGACTTCAATGTATATATAACACTGATAAGCAATGCTACACTAACTGCACTAAACAAACCCTATTCCGAGCACGTTCTACAATACACAAGCGCTGTAATGGTAATTAATAATTTTAGTTTGGTAATTGGGTTGGGTTGGGGAATAACAGGGAGGGGACGATGAGGCCGCACGCAATGAATATTTATTACATAATAACGTCACATGTAGGCAATGGTCGTTGGCTGGTTTCTAAATCAATTCCCATCATTTTTTGTTTGGCCATGATCACGTGTATATTTCCTTTTGCGCTCATCTCAAAGGGGTTTTGTAGGTTTTCTGCCGGCGCCCCAAGGTGGTCAATTCGGAGTCAAAATCTCCGGGTCGCTATTCAATGCAATTTCTCATGTCCAAACCTCACCCTCTCTTCCCTGGCGTAGGAGTTGAGCTCCTCACCAAGCAGTGCCCTGGGTTCTACTAAATACCTCGATTCCCATGGTATTGCAGCTAGTGCTGCGCACAATACCCGCGATCAACGAGTTAAGGTTTGCAAGGCCTTCCTTCCTCATTTTTTAGCGCGGTGTTGTGTCTTCAGGCTGTGATTCGGATTGGATGTAACCCCTCTGGGCATCGGATCGGATGTAGGTGGCAGCATCGTGAGTTTTGTATCCTTGTCCTTATAACTTTTTCTCAGAGGTACTTGGTGAACTTATTTTCGCTTTCATTTCCGAGGAACTCTTTGTTTTCAGAGTGCCGGCAGCCCACTGTGGACTGTACGGTATGAAGCGTTCCGTAGCTCGTATGCTGCATACGAGGCTTATGGGCGATGGACAACATTATCGGAGTTGTTGGCCCACTGACTCGATCGGCGTGTGACCTAGCACTTTTTGCCTGAGCCATGTTAGACGCAGAGGCATGAGCTGCGGAACATCAGGTGCTTGAGATTCCGTGGGAACCCGACGTTGTTGAGGGAATGACTTCTCCCAGACGTCTCTCAATTGCAATCCTTGCAGACAACGGGGTTGTCCGACCCCATCCTCCATTGTTAAGAGCTTTGGAAAAGTTCAGAAAGGTGGGTTTTCCTGGTCCATATCAGCGAGTCTGTTACTGATGTGGAATAGGCTCTTGTGGCCGCTGCCCATGAATAAAATCCAGGCAAACAATTTGCTCATCGCTGTGGGAGAACGGTTCCGTACATTCGCATAGCTTTCGCTCAATACAAGTGTTGGGAACCGGGCTCCGCTCTCACTTTCCCCATCGAGCTCGTCGCCTCCAGCCCCCCGCTGCGTTTCCCTTTTGCTCCTCTATATGAGAATCCACAGCAGCTCAGACTGCTTACATGTGCACGATCCTTCCTATCCCAGGTGGAGGAGGTAGAAGATCAATATGACACTTATAAGTAGAGTGAGGTACTCGTGCTACTAGGCAAGAACGGTACCCTCCCGCGTTTCGACATCAGCTCCCATAACACTGTTCCCCAACTGCAGTCGATTGGATGCTAGCTGGAGACTTAGAATACTGTATATCCTGGCCTAGCCCCGAAGGCCATTTGTTGCGTTGGATGATGAGAATCTACGGGGGCCTGGGACTGGGACTGCGTTGGGCACTGATTTCCACGGGAGCGCCCACACTTTCTGGCGGTTGGGATGAATAAGGGTGTGCTTGAACTGTATTAATTAGCCACAGAGATATGAAAATGTAATACCGTGCGGCCATTGCCAGAAGGCCACTAACGGAATGGGCGCTTACTCGTGGATGTAAGTCGCGCAAGTCAGCCTCTTGAGATGTCTGGATGGCAAGCGATGATATGAAGATTTCGTATGGGTCGCAAGGTAAAGAGCGTACCAGAGCCTGAGCGCTGCGCTTGCGCGCAGCGCACGCGCGGGGATGAAATACACTATTCAACAGGCTCAACTCATAAGATGCTCGTATTATAGGATACGCGTGTAGCTCAGGATATCCACTAGGTCGCTAGACCTCATGATCGGTAGGCGGTGTACACGTGGGCGGCTAAGATAAGTTGATGCCGCGCGTCAGCACCTATTATGTATAGGTTCAAGTCTGCACTTTGCCTAAATCGGTCTAGCACGAGAAATTCTACTACAATCAGACAAGCAGTCCCTCTCCGGTGTATATGAGGTCCGTGTTCTAATCTATGAATCAGACTGCACAAGTCGCGATGGAGAGAATTCCTCGTGGATACTCTAGAATCTAGCGCCAGCCAACCTTGCAACCGTGTGCGATTCAGGAATTGGAGGGATTTCTGAGGAGTTGTCAAGGCAAAGTTAGGCAAGGAACCCGTTTATACTAGTAACGATAGAAGTGATAGGGCAGGCATTCCCCACCGCGAGGTCTTAATGAAGGCTAACAGCCTGTTGAAGGCCACCCGTCACGGTTGATTCGTGAAGTTGACCGATTAAATGAGAAACCCAGCAGAGCCCTACGACAGAGCTAGAAATTTAGCCGGGAAGGACTGCGCCCTTAGCGTCTATCATGCCGAGCGCCCTCAGCCGAATAAGCATGGAGGCCGAATGGAGGGCCGTTGACGAGTGGAAGAACCCTATGGGAACCATTTCAGCCTATGAGGTACATACCTCCATTAGGCCTTCGATGAATCAGAACTACGGTACTGGCCCATGGGGTGAACCCAAAATATGTGATCTAAATTCTCCTGTAATGGACCTACAACGGGATTGAGCCAGAATATCGCTGGTCTCCACGTTCTCTTATACTGGATTACCTTCCATCTCTGAGAGGACCGTGTAACCTTTAAGCAGCGCCCATATTTGACGAGGTCGTTGCGCTATTGGAAATCATCGAAGATAAGATGGGGATGATGGAGCCTGAGAGAGGACGGAGTGATAAATCGCCACGACTACAACTTATCTAATCAAGTCGTCACTAGTGTCGAGTGGTGTTCACTAGTTATGATGACCTCAATCAGCATGGCGTCGTTTATACGAAGTCATAGAGCTGCCGATGCCGAAGAGCGTGAATCCGGAATGGACCGACTTTCCTTACCTAATATAGTCCGTGTGGGGCCAGACTCGTACCCAGTCGGAGGAGCTCCGTGGACGCGCAAAATAATAGCTCTTTACGCAATGTTCTCACGTTCTGGATTCAATACAAAAGATCACATGATACGGAGTTAAGCACATAGCCGATCACCTACTCCGGAAATTTGGACGCGACACTTCGGGCAAAATGTAGTATGGCTGTGCTCCGGCACTGTCCGGCATCTGTCTTCCCACGGCAAACAAGCTCGCTTTAAGGCTCTAATCATCACACCCCTCCCCAAGCCATCACAGAAAAAATCCAAAACAAATGTAGTAGTTACCCCCACCCAAAATTAACCCAGCCCAGCCCAACCCAACCCGATTCATTTGCTTCTTGCTCATATGTGCTAAAATTATGTTGGAATCTTGTATTGCGCGCTCAAAATAATGTTCTTTTTCACCTCATCGGCCAATTTCTTGGGGTGAGGATACTGTAGTGATCAACACCAGAGCAGGATTGGACTATTATTAGGTAGTTCTACCATGTTTTTCCCTTGACTGGGCTCAATAATGACAAAGTGCTGAGCGCGCAATACAAGATTCCAACATAATTTTAGCACATATGAGCAAGAAGCAAATGAATCGGGTTGGGTTGGGCTGGGCTGGGTTAATTTTGGGTGGGGGTAACTACTACATTTGTTTTGGATTTTTTCTGTGATGGCTTGGGGAGGGGTGTGATGATTAGAGCCTTAAAGCGAGCTTGTTTGCCGTGGGAAGACAGATGCCGGACAGTGCCGGAGCACAGCCATACTACATTTTGCCCGAAGTGTCGCGTCCAAATTTCCGGAGTAGGTGATCGGCTATGTGCTTAACTCCGTATCATGTGATCTTTTGTATTGAATCCAGAACGTGAGAACATTGCGTAAAGAGCTATTATTTTGCGCGTCCACGGAGCTCCTCCGACTGGGTACGAGTCTGGTGTGGGGCCACTTCAGAGCAGCTTTTGCTTTCATTTCGATCGAGCACACCTTCTCTAAATTACCTCTTCCACCATTCACCCCGGGTCAAGCTAGGAGGGAAATAATTAATGGCTCTTTCACTGCGGATCGCGTAAAATCTCAAACCGCACAAGCGCTTAAAGGATCCAATTTCAGACCGAAGTAATGGACGTATCACTGTGGCTGACTGCTATCCGTGATTATAATCGGTTTCTCATCTACGTGCTCCCCAAGTCACTTCTCTCACCACAGCTGTGCTTCCGGGATTCCATTTCGATCATCCAACTCCCATACCGCTGCTACATTATCTGTAAAACCTCCCTGTCTGTCCCAGATTTGCTCCGAACCTGGGCTAGAAGAGAAGCAGTGAATCCGTCGGCTACTTAATTGGGTCCAGGTAACACGAGATGTATTGGAACCAAACGTACAAGGACCGTAGGTCAACGGAACAAGCGAGAGATCACCGACTCGACACATGACACAAGAAAGGTAAAACAAACACGGAAAACACGAGTCGGAAGACCACCAGGACTATACACGCAATCACACACCACCAAGCAAACCGAGTCGTAGCAGCAATTCTGAACATTCAATCAAACGCGAGGATCAACTTACATGTGCAGCACATTTCTCGGTCCGGGGGAACTACCACCGCCCGCGTCAACTCAGAGAGGGACAAGGCGATATCCCAGCTTCCAAGCTAGGCCTTGAAGCCAATAGGCAACATCTTCATTTGAGTTCGTCTTCATCCACCTATCCTGTACACGATCAGGAGTTTCGAGCGCACCAACGATCGGTACTGGATTGACGATGTCAGAGGGGGATCTGGAAGGCCCAGCATGATGGGATGTGTCCAACGACATAGGGTTCAAGATCTGGGAATGGGAAGCCATCTCGGGATTAGGACTGAATTGAGATAAGGGCAGCATCATGTTGAATAGTGTAGGGTCAATCGAAGCGGATCCTTTTCCCGAACCTTGGAAAGGTGGGAATAAGGTTTGGGTTCGGAGATCCAGCAATTCTTCATCGAGATTGCTTTCATGCGCGGGTGACGCCATGGGAAACGCGTAGGGGGGTCCATTAACAGCTGACGCGGCACCAATATAATTCGTTGGAAAGGCTGTAGTAGATAGCGAACCATCGGGCAAGCCAGTACTGGTGGGCGTTTGGCTCTCCGGCATATGAGGCGCATGAACTGGAGTTGCCATCGGCACGGAAGCAGTAGGCTGGGTGGGGTTTCCTTCGTCAGCTGCGCTCTGACCCGTTGAATCTTCAAGGATCGATTGCAGGTCTGAAAGAAACCGGCGAGACTTTGGAAGGTGTGCTACATACGGAGACAGAGAAGTACGATCACGGTGTCGGACGGGGTTCGGAAGCATCAGACATACCGATCCATGCACGCCCAGGCTCAGCCATCCTTTTAGCCTCACACAAACACTCCCGGCCCCTAGCCGATCTCTAAGAATCATTCTTTTTATCAAGAGAGTATCAGCGTGATGGGGAAAGACATACCCTGACCTCACTGGAAATCGTCATCGAGCAGGCAAGGCATTCAATCCGCATCCTGCTACATGGACCACAAGATTGGGAATATAGTGAATCGACGCATCCCTTAAACTGAGGTGAGTAACTACACGCTGGAGGAGGTCATGTGCAAGAAACAAAAATTCGAAAATGAAAATTCAATGTTTGTGTCACACTATGTCACAGGAATGTGACGATTTTGTAGTAGATTTCCATCAATTTCGGGGTCGAGAAGGTCATGGAGGCAGTCGTCTATGCATTTCAACAACATAGACACGATGCTCCGTCACTCCAAGCTGAGAAGCTAGATATCCTCCCCCCCAGGCATCGAATTATCAAGTGTTCCAAGCTGAACTTTCCGATCGAGTGAAGCCATTTCGTGCTCTCCAAGGAGAATGGCGAGGGTACGCAGAGCATGCAAAGTTTGAAAGGAGAGTGGGGAATTGGGTATTGGAATCTGGAGGGACACACCTTTCCTTTTAGTCGACAAATCAAACAACGTGGAGGCATCAAGGCAAAAAAAAAAACAAATGACGAGGATGAGTGGTGAGTAATCGGAGATGGAGGGTTGGCTTTAAATCTATGGATGGAGAGGGATGTTTGTTTTGAATTGGTTGCACGGAGCAAGCGGACTGTGTGGAAGATTAAATCCGGAATCTTGATTAGGAAGTCAGAAGTCGAGAACAAGAGGATAAGAAAAAATCAAATGACAGAATGTGAATGTGGATGGCGTGAATGTCTGCTGCTGATGCTGAATGCGTGAATGTATGAATGTCTGATGAGATGAATGTCTGGATGTATGATGAATGAATCGGGCGCAAAATCACCTTGAACAACCACTATGTGGGCCTTTATAGGGGGGACCTCAGGACGTTTGCATGGGGCCTAAAAGGCCTTTTTCACTATAAACGTCCTAGGACATCCTGGCCATTCAGTTTCAGTCATTTCATCCTCAGATGTCCTAATTCAGTTTGATTCAATGGTTGCAAATTGTCCCGGAATGCCATACTCGTCCATCCCATGGTCTGTGCACATGCTGACCACTGTCTAGAGGGATGTCAAGACTGTTTCCCACGGTCTGAACACACTTTACATAGTTGAATAGCCCTTTTGAATAGCTTCCAGAATATATATTTTGAGACTGAATTGGCCAATAAATTATTGAGAAAAACGCAAAATACTTTTTTGGACGCGAGTCTTTTGATGGTGGCTGTCCAACTTAATGTCTGTGCACAATGCTGGTCACTGTCTGAAGGGGTGTCAGCACTGTTTCCCACGGCCCCAACACACTTTACACAGATAGATAGCCCCTTTGAATAGCTTCCAGAATATACATTTTGAGACTGAATTGACCAATAAATCATCGAGAAAAACGCAAAATACTTTTTTGGACGCGAGTCCACCTCATGTCTGTGCACAGTGCTGGCCACTGTCCGGAGGGATGTCCAGACTGTTTCCCACGGTGTCAACACACTTTGCGTAGTTGGATAGCCCCTTCAAATAGCTTCCAATTTGAGACTAAATTGACAAGCAAGTTATTGAGAAAAATGCAAAATACTTTTTTGGACACGAGTTTTTGGGATATCAGTGACCCGGAAATTTCGATGACTTCGATGACTGTCACTGAAATTTAGTGGCCCAGCACTATCCCAAAGACTCGCATCCAAAAAAGTATTTTGCATTTTTCTCAATAACTTGCTTAGTCTCAAATTATATATTCTGGAAGCTATTTGAAGGGGCTATCCAACTACGCAAAGTGTGTTGACACCGTGGGAAACAGTCTGGACACTCCTCCGGACAGTGGCCAGCACTGTGCACAGACATGAGGTGGACAGCCACGCGTCCAAAAAAGTATTTTGCGTTTTTCTCGATGTTTTATTGGTCAATTCAGTCTCAAAATATATATTCTGGAAGCTATTCAAAGGGGCTATCCATCTAAAGTGCATTGAGACCGTGGGAAACAGTGCTGACACCCCTTCAGACAGTGGCCAGCATTGTGCACAGACAGTTGAGCAGCCCGAGGATTGTCATGGGAAATCAGATTCAATTGCGGCATTATGTTTTGAATGTCTACCCTGAATAATACAAATTTGATTGAATTATAGAATCATCCCAGGACATCTAGGATGTCCTAGGACATCCTGGGGACGTCCTGGTGAATGGATCAGGCCTTTTCTTTCTTCACCAGGATGTCCAGGACATCCACTAGTAAATACCCCCTATTAGGCCCATTTGAAGGCCAAACGGCCCCCCCCCCCTATAGGCCGTCATTAGATGGCTGACTAGGCTGATATTTATCCACCTTCGATCACGCGTGGCGCTTGCTCGCAATACGCAGTCCTTACCTGATGACTTGGATAGAAGTCGAATGTTATCACTTACTGTCCAAACCAAACCCCAGTGGCTGACCGCTATGACTTAGATGCGAGCGTCGACTCGTCAGCCGCCCTCCGCCATTGCTCCGCCATGACTGCAGTGCGTTCGCCGTAGTCGATTTCTATACGTTAATCAACGCATGTGAGCACTCAGGAATGACATGATTATTCTTCGGTAAAAAGCTACGTCAGCAACAGTACTTCGGTACAATTGGGTGTTCGACCGCACTACATGCTGTGTTCACAATGGAAGCGCCATCTTGCATTCGCGCGAATTCTGCATCGAGACCAAATAGTGAATTACATGGATTAGCGAACGCAAGCACGAGTCATGAGATCACAAATCTTTTTGTACAAGGACTTGAAGATTCAACAATATTCAAACACTGAAGCCGCTAATGGCGCAAGCAATGACGCACATAGGATAGGGTGATCCACATCAATAGTTTATCGTCACTAGATCATGAAGAGAAACAGCTATTCGAGGGCACCATGAGTGGAAACGGCAGCGCTGCGAGGGACGAGGTAGTAACCCATACTCCACGCCAGTCCTCTAAGCCAGTCCGCAGCATCTTCGCTCCAATTCGATGGATTACACATAGTTTCGGCGCGAGTTTCATGTGAAAGGCCCGTATTTACTTGGGTGTAAGGCGCTGTCGAAGGTCCAGCACCTCCACAGCTGACAGCGTCATGCGAGTTGTCCAGTATCGGAAGACTCCAATCCTCGCTGTAGGCTACCGTCTCATTGAGGGTCATTGGCTGGAAGGCGGGTGGCAAGTTATGGAAAATGGTCTCATTAAGGGGGAGGCTTGCTTCGGGACTGGTAATGGTATGAGGGAGTGATCCAACATGCAAGGGGGCCGCTTCGTCATCAGTTCTGACATGTCCAGACGAGCCCAAGGTAGAATATGGGGCCTCATTAATGGTCGGCACGTTTCCGAGAGCGTCTAGTGGCGGAATTGCAGTGGACATCTTGTAGGCTGAACCAGTATCCACTCCGTTCCCCCATTCATGAGTCCTGTTTGGCGGGACAGTCGTTGGGGAAAAGATGGTGTTCGTTGCGAAGATTATCGGGTCAGCTACAGGCTGAGTTGCTGTATCCTGGAGGTTCGATTGTAGATATGAAAGAAACTGTCGCGTCTTGGGGAGTAGTGCTATCGAAAGAAAAGAATCAGAATGAGTTCTACGACAGACAGGGAATAGGGACCCATTATGTACCTATCTCAACATGCCCAGGACCGCCAGAAGCCAAAGCCTTGGCCTCCTCCAGACACTCCCTAGCCTCGGTGGATTTCTATAGGGATGATCTTAGCCTTCATCCATCACACAGACCACAACTCACTCTAACCGCATTGGGAACCTTTATCAAACAAGGCATGCACTCAACACGCAAGTGTTGACATGCGGTGCAGAGTAAGTGATTCGGAAGCTGGACACATCTCTGAAAAGTTGTGAAGGCGAAGTTAGCCAAGGAACTCGTTTGCTCTTAATTGTTTGGCCCATGCAAGAACGCGCCTTTGGCGCCCCCAATCAGGCAAAGCCATCGCGTGTTGAGCAAGCACCGAGGCTAAGTGATGAAGGACTATTGTCCATGCGAAGTTGAACTGCAAAGATGCTTCACCGGAGAACGCACCTTCCCTTTCAGCCGACAGAGAAAACAATGCGAGGGCATGCAATCGAAGTGGATTGGGGGGATTGGGGGACTGTGAGGCCAAGAGGATCCATCTTTTACATGTTGCACTCGGGTCGTGAACTCTCTCTCCCAAATACGGCAAAATGCAAATATTTGTTCCCACGGCTCTGTTGGGCCGCTGATAAGTAATACAAGACTGTTACGGACCGAATGAATGCATCCATCCGTTTCGGGCTCAGGTTTGGATCCGGATCCGAGATACACGCCATCTATACCCCAGCACCTATTACTCATCACGGAATCAATGTAACTAGGTGTCGTAGTCAGGGGGGGTTCTGATACCTTCTTAGATATCAAATCACGTTTTCAGAGCATGCTCCGAATGCTCTCGGAATCCCTTGTATATATATAGACAACTTCATACAGTCCCAACCTTCTTGGATATCAAATCACGTTGTCAGATGCTCTGCATGCTCTCGGAATCCCTTGTATATATATAGACACTTCATACAGTCCAGATGCGAAATCACGTTTTGTGGACAGATAATGAATTGATTTCCTAAGTTGGCAACCCTTCGACCTCCCACACTTCTCGCGACCTCAACATCGCGTCTGTGCGCACAACCGCACAACTGCACAACCTCAACTCTTGCAGTCTCAAGTGTCATCACCGACTTCGACTTCCCCTTATATACATACTGTATACACTGCACGCACATCGCACATTCAATGCACTAATAAATTGTACAGCGTCTAACGGCCCCATCACGTGTTTTTTTTTTCAACCATCGTACCACTCTTGCCAATGCCATCGACACCCACAATGCCAAAATCAAAGGGCAAAGCTAGGCGTGTCAACACAAATTTCGTAAATGACACTTTGAATACGACCAAATCTGGCCTCATTGCGCGAAAGACAGCCTGGAGGCGGTTCCAAGATGCCCAGTCATCAATCCTCAAAGGTGATGTAGGTTGTAGATAATGAACGCTGTTGGAGGAACAACCTCGAAGCATGTATTTACTATTGTTTAGTGGTAATACCTTCCTAATTAAGAGTCCACTATATTCTCGTCCAGCCGCCCTCAACTTGGTTCTCTCTATAGGTTATGAGCCCAGGCGGCTCGCCTGGACAAGCTTAGGTATCAAGGAAGTCCGCCCGACTCTCGCGGCAGTTGGTAAAAGTGCAGTTGACCACCTTCATAAGTCCTCAGCAGAGGCAGGGGCAATCCCCCGTATCTTAAGTCCCATGCGGCATTTGTTAAGTCCTGTACACCAGGCATCCTTTTAAGTCCTACACGGCATTGTTTTGGGGCACTAAAGTCCAGCCCAGCGCCCACTGTTAAGGCCGGTGCGCGGCATCCTTCAAGTTTGTCTTTGGGCACGGAAGTCCAGCCTGGCGCCCACTATTAAGGCCAGTGTGTGGCAATTATTCAAGTTTGTTTGGGCTCGAAAGTCCAACCCGGCGCCCACTGTTAAGGCCGGTGTGTGGCATTCAAGTTTTGTGTTGGGCCCGCAAGTCCAGTCTGGCGCCCATCTTTAAGGTCGGACTTGGCACCCCTTCGAAGTCCTGGAAGGCAGTAATTGGCACCCCCCCTTCTCTCCTTGCTCTAAGTCTTCAGACAGGCATGCAACACTCTTATTTCCCTTCCCTTCCTTGCCACGTCACCATTTTTTCATTTTCCCACGGTCCAATCACGCGCGCTCAAAGGCAGCAACCCAATCCCACCTTGCACCTGGCACCAGCAGGCCATTGGGGCCACTCCCTTACTGCCTTACCATGGAACACTGTGGATTCAGAGGGTGATCCCCCCCTTTCAAATATCGTATTAATTCTCATGCACACTTTGGACAAGTTGGACACCCGGGATTGCTGAGAAGGCTCACCCCACCGACTGCCTGGCATGGCATCCACTCAGATTTGGAAGACAACCAATCACCATTGATTATTGGACTAGCACCCTTGATCACGCATCCATTGGATTTCACCTTTCCACATTCCCTTCACCACTCCATTCCCATTCAATTTTATTCCATTCTTTTTCAGTCAATTTCTTCACACCGGTTTCATTATATCATGGATTCATGTTAGATGGTTACATGTTCTTTCGTTTGAGAGGGTGTGTTGGAGGAACAACCTCGAAGCATGTATTTACTATTGTTTAGTGGTAATACCTTCCTAATTAAGAGTCCACTATATTCTCGTCCAGCCACCCTCAACTTGGTTCTCTCTATAAATGCAAGGTCATAACCACCCCCTTAGATGCTTCTCCAGCTGTTTCATCACTGATAGATGAGATCAGAAACGACGTTGACCTTACTGGGAATGACGCCTGGAATGTTGGTCTCGATGAGACCGCAACTGACTATTCCTCCCTAGACATGACTTATGAGGATCTTGCAGACGTAGTAGCACTGCTCCAACCAAAGCAGTAGGCACCATTTTTTTCATCCCATTACTCCACCTGAGCACCAGCTATTTCAACCTCCCTTTTTGTAGACGAAGCAGAGGAATTTCATGGCGCAATCGAATCAATGCATCACAGGCACACTGGGCAGCATTAATACCCAGTCTGTCCGACATTTATCTCAAGTTCAAGACCAGCAATCCTCAATGTACGCTGCTTCATTCCCGCGAACCACCTGAAGGTTCAGATTTCGTTTATATCTATGCTGTCGACATCTTTGGTATGGATTTCTTTTTGTTTCGACATGGGATACTCATTCTCCAAAGACAGCCGCTCATACGAATACATGCCTCGGGATCCGGGTGAGGCCTCACCGACATTTGCCCTTCTTCGTGCTGGCTACATCCCAGCCACTCCCATCAATCCAACCGTAGCGATTTCGATACGCTCACTCGAACTTCTCCACTGTCTGATGCGCACGTCACCGAGCTTCAGTATTCAGTCATTTACCCGACTGTTGGCCAATTTACATTGTGTGAGTGTACAAATGATAGAATAGTACTTTTCGTGGGGCTGATAGTACCCTTCCCCAGGTCGTATATCAGCCATACCTTCGTACACAGGTCTCGCTTGCTTTTGAGGCATATTATGCTATCATTACGAGAGTGAACGCCTTTGTAAAGCGTGTCATGGCGCACGATACGCCAGATTATCGCCTCAAGAACTCATGCCCTGCATGCCATTACAAGGTACGTCACATCCTCCCCACTGACAACTCGCTGACGTGTCCCATGGTAGCTTCATGATGAGCCCAAGCGCCCCATCGAGTTAATTGTTACTGGCGATGGAAACACTTCCCTTTCACGCCTTCCACACCAATATGAATCTGACTGTCGGACTTTTTTTAGTGATTACTTTTTACCTCGATCAGAGGTAGATGCATTTCAAAATACCAAGAAACAATCTCAGCTTGACTCAACAGTATAGTAATCGTCCGCTTTTTGAGTAATCATGAAATCACATCAGCTGTGATATAGACAGGACCAAGCGACCCACTCCCCGAATCGTGCATTGGATGGAAGAACTCTCGGCCAATGGCTCAAACAACAAAGGCTGGATCCCTCGGCGTTATGGATGAAACGGGCATATTTTTAATTATTTGCCGCCATGGCATTGTCCAGTTTGTCATGGATATGGTCAAAAGCGGGGAATTGTAAGTTACTTTCATTCTCGATTCTTGCTTTCTTTCTGCACCTATGTACTCTGGCTTTAAGAGCAAAGTACCCAGTGGCAGCAGCAAACAAACTAATAAGTACGTTTGGCCATAACATCCTCTTTGCTTACGATGTTGGATGCACCTTCTCCGTCATGCTCGCCCGCTCTGCTATTGGCGATGTGGCACATCAGGCCAATTTCTTGTGCTGTACCGGCTCCTTTCACGGTGTTGCCCACAGTAGGCTGTGTCAGCTCGATCACCTCATAGGTCTCAAAGAAGGGGCGGGCATTGAAGATGGGGAAAGCAATGAACAGGCATTCTCCTCCAGTAATGGCGTTGCAGCGGTAACCCGGCACGCGTCTGTGCATTACCGTCACTTCCGGATTCACCTTCATTTTGAGAAGTGGGACCAGGATAAGTATGAGCGCTTGGGTGAGGATTGGCACCACTCACATTAACTAGTTCTGACCCGGAGATAGGCAACTTCCTATTAGGGAACCATACCTCTGCGTGGATGCAGATCCGCGAATCCATGGGTGTCTTAGAAGCAATGAAACACATGCACCCATCATTCGATTTCGACCGGGACTGTCCACTATTTCTGCGAGAAGAGAAGGAGTACATTGCATCGCTGAGGTCTGAGCCGAAGGCTGAGCAAGCCAAAATCGAGTACCTTGAAGCACTGGAGCGATTAGAGAATGCTGAGTGAGTCGCTGCCCACATAACGTGCATTCCACCTACAAATCTAAGTAGGTTGGAGCTTCGGCCTCTGTTATCAATGCTATCTGCATCACCAACCTCGGAACTCGCCTACCAGGCTTCGCGTGCTCAACGCAAAGTGGAGGATGCACGCTGCATTGTCTCTGCACTGGAGGCAACGTCGTCTCTCACCTTGCCCTGGCTTGCAAACTCTCCTCAGCGCCAGGAAGCCATCCAGTTGCGTAATGAGAGAAAGTATCATCGCCTTCTTGATGATCTGGAACACCGTGCTATCTCTCGTCAGTTTGAGTTGGAGAAAATGGGTCTTCCAAAGACCGGTGAGTACCTCATTATAGTTTTCAGATATTACATCAATTTTTCCATTCATAGACTACAAAACCCGTCAACGTATATCACAGTTGATCGGAAAATGGAGCAGGACGCTTCATTCCACCCTTGAGAAGTACAATACCGCTGCCGCAGCAATGATACCTCCGAAGCCATCCCTCACTTGGGATGACATAACCCATCCCGACTTCCCAAGCACAGTTGAACTATTACGGGGTCGTGATGATATTCGGAGTTGTGAATGGTCGCAGGAGCATTTCCGTGCAGCAACCCGTGCCTGGGCAAGCCTCCAACGTGCAAAAGAAGAACTTGTTACCATCGGAGTTGAAACCCGCAGGATACTGACCTCTATGAGGGATGAGGAGCTACAGCTCAAGGTAACTATCGAGGCTATGGCTGCTAGCAACCCAACCCTTGCGTCATATATCTCGATGGCTTTCAAGTGGCATGTGGAAGCAAATGCCCACCTCCGCAAGAAATTATCGCGCCTCGAGTCCCATCCATATTATCGTTCCCCACGTGGAACTGGTACTTCTGCTCGCTCTGAGTGGGTGCCTCCAAGCAACTCCGACGATAATCAACAACTCAGCGTTGAACCCAATTTGCCTTCTGGGAATGAGACAGCTGACAGGGGAAACGGTGGCAATGTGGATGATGGGCTATCTGAGGAAGAAGGCGAAGAGCAGTCACAATATGCCATTGATAAGCTTGTCGATCTGTTAAACAGCACTGTAATTACATAGTCCCCCACCCATTTTTACGTTGTTGCCTTCGTACATGTCCACTCTACATTCAAAATGAAACGAGTGGCAGCAGTGAAGTTCCGTCAGGATGGTGCTCGGCAGAGGGCAATTTGTCCCAACCAAGCTAGAGATCTGTCTGGGTTACTGGTGGATAGGATCACACAAGCTCATATTTCTACATCATTGCAGGCACAACACTAATGATAATAAGCCCAAATCCATTGGAAGTAAAGCTGTTAATATACAATAAGCCAAGTCGCCCGACTGTCATAAGCCGTGGCAGTGCACCAAGTTGCAACTTGGATTCGTTCAACACAATCCATCAGCAGCCAGCCACGCCTTTTCCAGGCTATTGATCCACATTCCTAGTATGGGTGACAGTAAGTAGCCTCCAGATTCCTTGTTTTTTGGGGGCTAACTAGAGTAAACAGCATCGATAAACCCACCTTGGCATGCCATGAGGCCGAGGGCGGAAACTGCGTTCAAGCGACACCTACACTTGTTCGCTTTTAGGAATGGCTGGGATAGTGATGAGGTGAAGGTTCTGGAGGACTCTGGTGTCAGCGACACATTTTTGGAGTCATTTTGGTGGGTGTCAGGGCACGCCCGCCTGACCCGGCCCCACCTAACCCAGTGCCCCACCATCCACTCCTCCCGACCTCCCCCCTCTTCCCCTTTTCTCCCTTCCCTTCCTTCCTCTCCTTCTTTTCTATTCTCTCTCCTCTTTATTCCTTTCTTATCACATGGACGACTTCCTTTGTATCAATGTACCATTGACCTGGCTGCAGCGTAACGCGCCCGAACCCGGACACACCGGACGACCCCCCGCACACCGGACGCTCCTAGGACCTCTTACGGAGGTACCCAGACGGAGGTGGCTGTGTGCTCGGATGACGTGGCGCTTCCCACGTGGCCTTCAACCACATGTATATAAACACAGCCTAAGTGGGAACTGAGAAGCAACCTTCTTCTCACATTTCCCACTTTAGGCAAGTAGCTTACACTTCCCTTGATAATGACAATAACACATTTCCCACTTTAGTCTTAGTGGCCAGGGACCCTTGTCTGCTTCGGGCCCGCTGCTACGCGGGCCCGCGTCATACCTACCGGACCCTCAGCCTCGGGCGATACACCCGGGCGCTCTCGACCCCGGGTCGGTCCCTGACAGCGGGCCCAAAAAGCCAACTGTGAGTCGTGCGATATTGAAGTACGTTGTTTCAACCTGGCCACCTAACTAATTCCAGTGAGGGACCTCATCAAGGGGGATAATTGTCAGGGCACACCCGCCTGACCCGGTTCCACCCGGGCCCACCTGGGCCCACCTCACCCGCTCCCCGCTACCCATCCTTCCTCCCTCTTCCCCTTTCCTCCCTCTTCCCTCTTTTCTCTTCCTCCTTTATTTCACTCTCCCTTTCTGTTTATTCTTTCTATTTACACGGACCACCTTCCCTTGTATCATTGTACTGTTGACCTGTCCGGCTCGGACACCCCAGGCGACCTCCCGCTACGCCCAGCACGCGCGGACGCCCTCGGGATCCCCTGCGGGGATACCCGGATGGCTGCGGCCCTCTCCGCAGATGACGTGGCACCCGTCACGTGACCCAAGCCGCATGTACATAAATGTACCTGAAGTGGGAACTGAAGAAGTAACCTTCTTCTCACGTTTTCCACTTCAGGTAAGTAGTGTAGTTCTTCCTTTTAATAACAATTCACGTTTTCCACTTCAGTCTAAGTGGCCAGGGACTATAGTCCCAGATCGGGCCCGTCAGTACGCGCGCCCGCTTCGTCCCCCGAGAGGGTCCCTCTGCCGGGCGCTACAGCCGGGCCCCCTCCACCCCGGACGCGTCCCTGACAGCAGAAGAAGGTTTCAACCTCGTCTCCCCCGCCTCCCCTATCTCCCCTGCCTCCCCAGCCATGGTGTCAGAAGAGCAGTATGAGGAGCTGCTAGCTCGCTTCCAAGAGCTCCAAGCCATTGTGGAGAACCAGGCCCGCAACCATCCCCCACCCCCACCTGCTCCAGCACCCGCTCCTGCGCCAGCCCCTGCACCCGCTCCCGCGCCCAGACCCAAACCACCCAAGGTCGCCCCCCCCACTCCCTTCTCAGGAGCCAGCGAGGACCTGGACCGCTTCAAGGCCGAGTGCGGGATTTACTTCCACGTTCGCGCGGCTGAATTCCCCACCGCCCTCTCCCAAATTCTTTTCGTGCTGTCCTACATGAAAGGAGGACCTGCAGGGGCATGGGCAATGCAACGCACGATCACGTTGCTGACGGCCGGATCCCCCTCCCTCACCATGGACGAGTTCAACACTGAACTCGACGCCATGTTCCAGGACCCGAACCGGGAGGCCACGGCCAGACAGAAGCTGGCAGCCATCCGACAGGGGAGCGACTCTGTGGACAAGGTCATCCAAGAGTTCGAGATACTGGGGCCTGCCTCGAGGCTGGGCGATGTGGGACTGGTTGACCGTTTCGAGCAGGCCATTAACTCCCGCCTCCAGGAGAGCATATACCGGCTCCGCCCCATGCCCACTACTTGGGCAGAGTGGAAACGCGAGGCCACCCTCCTAGACAACCAGTGGCGACGCTTCCAAGCCACCCAACCGCATGCGTTTCCACCTAAACCCCTGCTCCCGTCAACCCGACCCCTGCCGACCGTGACCCCACCTCACGCACGACCCACACCCACGCCCCCTCGACTCGCACCCACTCCTCCACCTCCTACCCCAGCAGCCCACCCCACAACGGGAGCGGGCCCACAGCCAATGGATCTCGACCGCTCGAGAACTGACCAGAGGCGGTGCTACAACTGTAACACCCCGGGGCACATCCAGCGAGACTGCCCACACCCCAAGGTCCGCCGGGCACGACGCCTCCACCCTGAAGACCTTCGGGCGCTGATGGAAGGGCTGAAAAGGCAGTTGACTGAAGGACCAGAGGCAGAGGAAGCAGAGCCGGAAACAGAGACTCAGGGGGATTTTCAGGAAGGCGACCGGTGAGGGATGCGTCCCGGCCGCCCGTAGAGGATAGCTCGTGTAAATACCGCAGTGTGCGTAAGGCAGCGCCAATGCCAAAACTTCACCGAGTTATCGCAAAGAAAAAGAGGAAAACCGCATCCTCAACCTGTGAGAGTAGAAGGACCACAGAGGGAATGCCCGAAGTGGCAGTATCCCCGCCCGCTATCTACGTTCTTTCCAAGCAATCCCCCCGGTCCCTTAACCTCACAGTCAAACTGACCACCCTAACCTCACTCACATCAGTGTCTGTATCGGCCCTCCTGGACTCAGGAGCCACCGGGAACTTCGTGAGCCCCGAGTTCGTCCGGAAGCACAAGCTTGAGACAACCCCACTCCCGCAACCTATCCCCGTCCGTAACGTCGACGGGACCCCGAACGAGAATGGAGCCATAACTGAGGAGCTGGAAGCCCTCCTGACGTTCGGGCGGCACACAGAGCGAGCCCGCTTTGCGGTCGCAAACCTCGGGCGGCAATCCCTCATCATTGGTCACTCGTGGCTGCTACACCACAACCCAGAGGTGGACTGGGCACGGCAGAAGGTCGTCATGTCTCGCTGCCCGTCCTCCTGCAGACAGCCACAAGCACGAGAGGACCAAGACCCTGCCCTAGAGCCGGGGGACAGGATCTACGCTGCAATCATCCCCCCAGGCTGGGGACACGACCTAAGAGCCACCACGACCCCCTCTCAGCGGATGGCCCAGGAGGCCCGCGACCCGGGCGCAGAACCTGCGTTGTTTGAGACGCTAGTGCCAGAGCACTACCAAGACTTCCGGGACGTGTTCTCGAAGGAAGCTTTCGACCAGCTTCCCCCCCGGAAGCCCTGGGACCATGCCATAGACCTGGCACCAGACGCCAAGCTGCCCAGGGGAAAGACCTTCCCCCTCTCGCGGCCGGAACAGAAAGAGCTGGACGAGTTCCTGTGCGAGAACTTGCAGAACGGGCGCATACGACCGTCCAAGTCCCCAATGGGGGCACCAGTCTTCTTTGTCAAAAAGAAAGACGGGTCACTACGCCTAGTACAGGACTACCGGAAGCTGAACGAGATTACCATAAAGAACTCGTACCCACTCCCGCTGATCTCAGACGTCCTTGCCCGCCTCCGGAGCGCTAAGTACTTCTCCGCCCTGGACCTACGCTGGGGGTTCAACAACGTCCGGATCAAGGATGGAGACGAGTGGAAGGCAGCGTTCGCAACCAACCGAGGGTTGTTCGAGCCCATGGTAATGTTCTTCGGGCTGTGTAACTCCCCCGCGACCTTCCAAACGATGATGAACGATATCCTCAGGGACTTCATCGACCGGGAGGTCGTCATTTGCTACATGGACGATATCCTCATCTTCACAGCTACCCTAGAGGAGCACCGGAAGGTCGTCCGGGAGGTCCTGGAAACGCTACGGAAGAGGAGGCTATTCCTGAAGCCGGAGAAGTGCAAATTCGAGCGGACCCAGATCGAGTACCTCGGCCTCATCATCTCGGAGGGTAGCGTTGCGATGGACCCCGTAAAGGTCCGTGGAGTCCTTGACTGGCCCACCCCAACCAAGGTGAAGGAGGTGCAGTCCTTCCTGGGGTTCGTAAATTTCTACCGCCGGTTCATCAAGGACTTCTCTGAAAAGGCACGCCCGCTCCACAAGCTGACCCGGAAGACCCAGGCTTGGAACTGGGGCACGGACGAAGACAATGCCTTCCACGCCCTTAAGGAAGCCGTCACCACTGCCCCAGTCCTCTCCTTCCCCACTGACTCGGGCCATTTCAGGCTCGAGTGTGACGCCTCCAACTTCGCAACCGGTGCAGTCCTCTCCCAGCTCCAACCCGATGGGGAGTTCCACCCGGTGGCGTTCATGTCCAAGAGCTTCACGGATGTGGAGCGTAACTACGAGGTGTACGACAAGGAGATGCTCACGATCGTCCGGGCTCTTGAAGAGTGGCAACACTTCCTAGAAGGTGCAGAGGAGAAAGTCGAGGTCTATACCGACCACCGTAACCTGGGGTACTTCCGGATGGCCCAGAGGCTGAATCGACGCCAGGCTAGGTGGTCCCTCTTCCTCTCTCGCTTCCACTTTACCCTTGTCCACCGTCCCGGGAAGCTCATGGGAAAACCGGACGCACTCTCCCGTCGTGCTGACCACCCGAAAGGGAAGGACGACAACGAAGGGCTAACCCTCCTCCAACCAGCCTGGTTTGAGGCTCATGCAACAGAGGGAATCTCGGTAGAAGGAGAGGAGGTAGGAATTCTAGAGCGGATATGCAAAGCAAAGGACCACGACGAGAAGGTGGTAAAGGCAATGCGAGAGGAGAAGGGACGCTAAGGTCGGACGAATGGGAGAGGCAGGGTGAACTAGTTCTGTACCGGGGGAGGGTGTACGTCCCTAAAGACCCCCAACTCCGCCATGATCTTGTGCAGCTACACCACGATGCGCGGGCGACGGGACACCCAGGGCGATGGAAAACCCTGGAACTTGTCTCCCGCGACTACTGGTGGCCCCGGATGGCAGAGTATGTCGGGTGGTACGTACGCAGGTGCGACACCTGCAACCGCGTCAAATCTTTCCCCTCACGAAAAGTTGGGAAGCTCACCCCAAACAAGGTCCCCACCTGCCGCTGGCAAGTGATCTCAGTAGATATGGTGGGAGAGCTCCCAGAGTCCAAAGGCTATAATGCCATCTTGGTGGTAGTAGACCGCCTGTCCAAGCGTATCCATGCGGTCCCCACCGTGACGACCGTAGACTCGGAGGGTATCGCACGGCTCTTTCTAGAGCACGTCTGGAGGCACCACGGGCTCCCAGAGGAGATCCTCAGCGACAGAGGGAGCGCCTTCGTCTCCCGCTTCTCGAAAGAGCTCGCGGACCTCCTAGGCATCAAACTGACCCCTTCGATGCCCTACCACCCCCAGACGGACGGACAGACTGAGTGGGTCAACCAAGAGATCGAAGCTTATCTCCGGGTGTTCGTCAACCACCGACAAGACGACTGGGCCGATTGGCTTCCGCTGGCGGAATTCTCCTACAACAACCACATCCACTCATCCACCCACCGAACCCCTTTTGAACTCGACACCGGCCAACACCCCAGGATGGGGACAGAGCCCACACGCACGTCCGAGGTGGAAGCTGCTGACATGTTCTCATCGAGAATGATGAAAATGCAAGAGGAGGCGAAGGCCGCACTGGAACACGCAGCGGACGAGATGGCCCGTTACTACGACCGAGACTGCGAAACAGCCCCAAAGTACCAAGAAGGCGACCAAGTCTGGCTCAGCGTGCAAAACTACATGACTGACCGCCCAACCAAAAAGTTGGACCACAAATGGCTCGGCCCCTTCAAAATCGTCAAAGTCGTCTCCCCTGCTGCCGTCAAACTCCAACTTACCGCACGCCAGAAAGGAATCCACCCGGTTGTATCCGTAACGAACGTCAGACCACACCGCCCGGACGATATCCCAGAACGACCCACTGACCTCCGCCCAGGTCCGGAACTTGTAGACGGAGAAGAAGAGTACGAGGTGGAGAAGGTATTGGACTCTAAGTGGCTACGCCGGAAACTCTGGTATCTGGTAAAGTTCGTTGGTTGGCCAAGCTCAGAGAACCAATGGCTCCAACGGGACCACTTAGCCCATGCCCCCGACCGGATCGAGGAATTCCACAGGACGCACCCCCAAGCCCCAGGGAGAGAAAGAGAGAACCATCTGGCCGCTTCGAGGCGAAGCGGCTTAAGGAGGGGGTGATGTCAGGGCACACCCGCCTGACCCGGTTCCACCCAGGCCCACCTGGGCCCACCTCACCCGCTCCCCGCTACCCATCCTTCCTCCCTCTTCCCCTTTCCTCCCTCTTCCCCTTTCCTCCCTCTTCCCCTTTCCTCCCTCTTCCCCTTTCCTCCCTCTTCCCTCTTTTCTCTTCCTCCTTTATTTCACTCTCCCTTTCTGTTTATTCTTTCTATTTACACGGACCACCTTCCCTTGTATCATTGTACTGTTGACCCGTCCGGCTCGGACACCCCGGGCAACCTCCCGCTACGCCCAGCACGCGCGGACGCCCTCGGGATCCCCCGCGGGGATACCCGGATGGCTGCGGCCCTCTCCGCAGATGACATGGCACCCGTCACGTGACCCAAGCCGCATGTACATAAATGTACCTGAAGTGGGAACTGAAGAAGTAACCTTCTTCTCACGTTTTCCACTTCAGGTAAGTAGTGTAGTTCTTCCTTTTAATAACAATTCACGTTTTCCACTTCAGTCTAAGTGGCCAGGGACTATAGTCCCAGATCGGGCCCGTCAGTACGCACGCCCGCTTCGTCCCCCGAGAGGGTCCCTCTGCCGGGCACTACAGCCGGGCCCCCTCCACCCCGGACGCGTCCCTGACAATAATTTGAAGGATAGGGTACCCGCTGATGTTCTAGAGGCCGAGATTAAACGACTGGCTCGCGAACATGTTTATAAACACCTCGAAAAGATTGACAACTTACTCAAGACCATGGCGCCTGCAGTGAGTATACAGTTATAGTTGTGTAAACTACTCAGCGCTGCATTGTAGACGAGAGTCCTTGATTTTTATGGGCTACCCAGTCTGTTCGTGATCGACTGCGAGCAAGAAAACCATGGCGTGCGTATCCTTGCGTCGCAGGGCCTAAAGGACCAGTGTGAATGGGATGAGTTAAGGAGGGAAATAATACAGCAGCTCAAATCGCACCAATGTCCAACGCAGGCTCGACAACCTCACACCCTACTGCCCAGGAGCCCAGACACGCTCTATTCTCCCAATCCCCCCATTGGCAACCAAACTGAAGATCTTCCTCGATCACACTCCAGTTCCCAAGCCTGTCTGAACGCTTCCGTGGCCAGCTGGCGGTCTGGAGTTCAGCACAGTATGTCAGCATCTGGGGCACCTTCTGTCCAAACGCCAACCTACCGACAAGTGGTGGATGAGCCACCCATACAAAGTTCGTCTTACCCTTCTCATCACTCCCAGACTATTGAAGTGTCCTTAGTGACCAACTTCCGCATGCCCCGCTTGCCCGCCACCAATGGAGGAGTTACACTGCACCATCATACAGCAGCCACCAGTGAGGCCACCAGTACTGGTCGGCAGAGCAAAAAACGCACCATGGGCACTGGCTCGAGTTTGACTACTGATAAACCAAGCGTGAAAACCAGTAGCTGGACAGAAGTCAGTGATTCAATTGACGATGATGACGCAGCTGCTCTCAAGGAGTTGCAGCGGAGTTTGGCAGACAGTTCACTTCAAGCGCCAGTGGAACACAGAAGGTCTGCTGAAACTAACGCTGAGGTGGTATCAACCCCAGGCTCCTTCATCTCACGAACTCCCCTATCTCTCTCTTTGCCGGTTCTCAGCCCACCACGTGGGATACACACCCGTAGACGAGCTGGACATGCAAGCATTGCAACTGCCAGTACGACCAGCACAGACATCTCAATGCTTCTGCAGTCCATCAGCAACAGAAGCTCCACTCAACTTAGCGACGCTGATGTTCGGGCCATCAGTACCCTTTGGCTTAGTGATGCATTGAGTGCAGATGATATCTCCCAAGTTCTTAGGAGTCAGTTCCACATTAGCGAGGAATTTGTGCGCTGCTTGATTCACGTGCGCCAGGCCTGGATGGAGGATGGCCACTAGAATCACAAACCCCCTCTTCTCCATAAAAAATATGTAAATATGTAAATATGTCTATGCAACAATCCAGCACTTAAAATTAGTGGGGCCACAAGCTCAAAAATATAGTTTACTGACTGACCCAGAGCACGTGTTTCTGTGTGTGCTTACACTCTCCATGTCATACTGGCCATCCCAGTTTAGCGACTACGGCAGCATCAATGCCACCCAGAATCAACCAGAAAAGCAAGATCCTAAGGTGACAAAAGAGACATACAACCGCCGCATTCAGGAATTGAAGCGGAAGTTTGAGGAAGATGTAAATGTGATTGCGAACGAATTTTCAGGTCGGCACGTCCATCGTTCTGCTGCTCAAATTCGAGGCCAGATCCTCTATACGATGGCAGAGGACAAAAAAACCCGGAGCCCGCATATTAGCAATGCATGGGCCCACGCCACTGCAGATGTGGGTCGCCTGGACAGTAAGCCAAGGGTTGCTTGCCATCCATGCGTTGAACAAACCATTATTTTTCAGCGGAATCGTTCACGGACATGCCATACGATACTGCTTACATGGATTTGTTAAGGGATATCAAAGTGGGGGTTGTTACCCAGGAGGATGTGGGCGATCCTCAGACGCCTGAGGATGAATACAACCACAAGTTACTGCTGGACGCAGTCTTGGTCAGTCGCCAACATCGTACGGCCAAGAGGCACATAATATCGCCTGAGCTTAGCGCCCACCGACTAGCACTTCACGCAAAGGACCAGCTTCAAAAAATGGTGAGTAATCACTAATGCGCAATCAACGATTCAACGATAGTACTTACACTTGCATTAGGCTACCCGCATTCATGAGACGTGCGGCATTGAGGTCCTTATCATGATGACGAAGAGCTGGGTGGAGGACGTCTTCACCCCGTATGTGTGGGCAACACCACGTGCCAAGGAGTATTGGGTGGTTGGGGCGGCCCAAAACATGACTTCTTGTGCCCAGGAGATGGAAGGCTTCTGTATATCAAACATTAGAGGTAGGCATGGCAGCATAGCATCGAAATGGGCTCAAGCACATCGGACCGCCTAGGCATGGCCAAGGTCGCTGAAGAGACGATCAAGGAACTACGTACTAGACTAGCTGGCCTGACAACGGATAGGCTTCGTGAGTAACAATCTGTGCAGTTCAACTTGACACTTACTAGATTTACCAGGCAGCGCAGCGAAGGACAAATTCGTTGGAATGAAATGGGAAAAGGAAGGGTATCTTCAATTGGTATCTGGCTTGAAGCTCAAGATCGATTCATACCCGTTTGATGAGATAAAAGCGCCAAAGTGGCTTAGAAAGGCGGAGTTGATGAAACTAATCGAAGGGTGGGAGCATGGATCTATCAAGTGGGTAACAGCATCCAACGACGAAATCAAGAGTGCCCAACAAGAACTATCTCGACTTGCAAGGGAGAAAGTGGATCGTACGGTGAACCGTCGACAGAGGTGTGTTGGTTTTATCCCACTTTGGCTGCAAGGTTCATTACTGGCACGGCACAGTGCTACGAACAAGGCCAACAGCAGCACGTCCACACCAGATATGTAGGTCATTAAGCTGCATCAGGCACACAGATCTGAAACAGTACTTTTAAGCGTGGGCCATGGCCAATCCGGAGTGGCGCTTAACTCCTCCCCCGCACTGCCCTCAGGAAGGGCTGCCAGCACCACAAGAGGGTAAGGGGCACTTTTGCATCAAATGGACATGTGGCAAGTAACTTCCAAGTGCTCTGTGATTGTGATAGACGAAAGCGTACAGCTACTGACCTTCAAGATGCTCCTGAGTTCATTGATTGACCAAGTACCCTCTGAAGTGTGAGACAAGGACATTGACATGTCTAGCAAGCGCGCAGATAGATCATGGGGAGTAGTGTGCCACCAGTACTCCTTTACGTGGCACAAAAAACTCACTTCCATTTACTGAATACATGTATATATTGGTCATTGATATCATACTATTCATTCTCTGGAGAGGAAGACAATGAAACAAAAAAAGAGAAAAGAGAACTGATGTGTTGGAAGTTGAAGTCAGCGATGACGCTTGAGACTGCAAGAGCTGAGATTGTGCGCACAGACGTGATGTTGAAGTTGTGGGATGTAAGTGTGGGAGGTCGAAGGGTTCTCAGGGAAGGCCGTCCAACTTAGGAAATCAATTTATTGTCTCAAAACCCGTGATTTCACGTCTGAACTGTATGAAGTTGTCTATATATATACAAGGGATTCCGAGAGCATTCGGAGCATGCTCTGAAAACGTGATTTGATATCTAAGAAGGTATCAGAACCCCCCTGACTACGACACCTAGTTACATTGATTCCGTGATGAGTAATAGGTGTACCCCAGAGTTGAATGGTTCTCACGGGGATAAGAGGGCTCAATCGAGTCAATACGTAGTGGATACACGAAAGTGAGTGATCGCGAATGAATGGGCTGCCTTGCGTGTCATTGCTTCCGTGGAGCAAATTCCATAAAAGGGATCCTTGAGACGGCGGCGAGCCACGATCCATGTGCGATATGACGAGTGGAGCCTGCGGCATCGTATTACTATTCTTGGGTCCCTCGCATGCTTATGCACAACTCAACTGGTGCTAGTCATATACCTAGCTCGCTTAAGGTCTTTCCACACATCACGCTGGGATCCCTAACATCAGGCACTACGCCCAGCATCTCGGGCCGAAAAACTGCTCAATCGGAAACTTGTGTGGTCATGGAATCTAGCAATTCATCACCACCAGCTGTACTGCAAGGTCCCCCCCTCTGGAGTGCTCCACAGCATCTGAAGGTTTCTGGGACGCGAGTATGTTACGGTTACACCAAGGGGCCATATTTTAGCCCTCAGGTAATTTCAAATACAAGGAATCACTGTGCACATCCTGCATTTTTTTGGACTGGGCTATACAAAATGTCATGAATGATCCCATGAACACTCGCTATTTTTTCCTCAGTGAACTGAATTAAGTTACGTCAAGAACAGCGCTTCGGTGCGATCGACAGGTGTTCGATCACCATAAGACCAAATAATGGATCGCATGTATTAAGCGCAAGTCATGAAGGAACACAAGTTTTACTGTACAAGCACTCAAAGATTCCATGTGGCATAGAATCTCCAAACACTAAAGTCGATAGAAACACAGGCAAGGACGCACATAGAATCAGCTGGCCCACATCAACGATTTATGGACACGCTAGATCAAGCAGAGAGAAGAAAGACACCTACGCCCCCCAAAAAAAAGCCATGAAACGGAACTCCTACACTAGGGCCCCACCACTGGAAATGACAGCGCGGCGAGGGACGAGGTGATATCCCATACTCCAAGCCAATCCCCTAAGCCAGTCCACGGCATCCTGATCCCAATTCGCACCATTGCCCAAAGTTTCGGCACGAGTTTCATGCAAAGAGGCATCTAATTGTGGGTAGGGCACTGTAGAAAGTCCAGCGCTTCCATAGTTGACAGCGATATGTGAGTTGTCCGACATCTGAGGAAGATTCCGATTCTCGCCATAAGATACTGTCTCGTGGTTGGGAGTTGTTGGCTGGGGCGCCAAGTCAGAGCAGATGGCACCATTCAGTGGGATGGTTGCTTCAGGATTGGGGATGTGGGCAGGATACGGGAGGGAACCAACATGCAAGAGGTTCGCTTCATCGACGGTTCTGACATATCCAGATGAACCCAAGATAGAGGATGAGGCCTCTGAATTAATGGGTGGCATGTATCCAAGATCATTTATCGGCAGAACCGCGGCGGACACCCCAAAGGCTGAAACAGTATCTACTCGGTTTTCCCATTCATGAGTTGCGTTTGGCGGAACAGCCGTTGGGGAAAAGATTGAGGTCGTTGCAGGGATCCTCAGGTCAGCTAGAGGCAGAGTTGCTGTATCCCTGAGGTTCGATTGCAAATTTGAAAGAAATTGTCGCGTCTTTGGGAGCGGTGCTATTGAGTTCTGCACGGGACGACAACACACAGAAAATAGGGGCCGTCACGTACCTAGCTCAACACGCCCAGGGTCACCGGAAGCCAGAGCGTTGGCCTCCTCCAGACACTCCCGAGCCTCGGTCGATTCCTATGGGGTTTGGTCTCAACTTTCGTTCACCACACGAACGATCATTGCCGATCATTGCAATGGTGAGAACGCACTCTGACCGCATTGGGAATCTCGATTATGCAGGACATGCACTCAACGCGCAAGCGTTGACATGCAGTACAGGATAAGTGATTTGGGAGCTGGACACATCTCTGGAAAGTTGTGAAGATGAAGTTAGACGTTTAGACCCGTTTGCGCCACGGAGTTGGCCGAGTATGGATGCAAGAATAGCGTGACATCTAGGCAAAGCAGAATTATTTTGGCCAAGAATACGCCTTTAGCGTCTTCCACATCGAGCCCCCCATTCCGGCGAAGCCGTCGTGTGTTGCTCCAAGTTGAGCATGACCAAGGCTGAGTTAAGAAGGACTGTTGTCCCGGTGAAAGTGGAGAATTGTCCGTGCGATGGATTATCAAAGAACACACCTTTCTTTTCAATCGACAGACAAAACAGCGTGAAGGCATGGAGTCGAGGTGGTTCGGGGGGCTTGGAGAAGTGTGTGGCCAAAGGGATCCATCCTCTAAGGTTTTCTACTGATCCCCCACCCGGCACATCTCAATTCAAAACCCGGAATGGCACAATTCATGCTCAATTCATTCGAACCAGTCTCATGTACATGTCCTTCAACACGGGCGGAATCCAACCCATTTTCGAAATTGACATCCAAAAACGGTCAACCCAACATGACAACTCAAAAGTGGAGCAGCATTTTATCAGAGAAATTAAGGACACCCGAATCGGACTTATTTCTTAATTTTCTCTCCTTATTTTTGTGTATTTATCTCGACCCCTGCCCTTGGCGCTCTCACGAGCAGCCTACAGTCTGCAGGTTAAATATCCAGAACAACGCCTCGCAAGCTCGGCCAATAAACAACAACAACGCTCACCCTTCTGCGGGAATTTGACAGAGCCACCTTTATTCTACGCCACAAATTTCAACGGACTTTTCCTACAAGTAAGAAACCATACCCATACCTTGGTTCAGAGCAGTGCGTGAACTGGCTGCTGGCAGCAACCTGCCGACCCCATCTGGGTCCTAAATGTCGCGCACTGGAAGGGCTGTACCCTAGCTTGTCACATGGAGCATCTGCAGCTTGAGCGGCTCTTCAGGTGCAGTGAATCAGCAGTTTTGATGTTTTGAAAAAATGCGGCGACGACGACCCCAGCCCTCCAGCCTGTCAACTGAAACGACCAGTATGTCGGTGTCATGCTCCCCCTCAAGTTGCCAAAGTGTTACTATTAGCCAGGCAAACAAACCTGCCCGCTCACAGTTCCGTACATTTACATAGATACAGGCGAGAACTATCCTTTACGGAGCTCCGCTCCCTATGATTTCCGTTGTTTTCTCCCATCAGTCTTTGGTCCCCGCTGCTTCTCCCTCTCCAAATGACCTATCTATGATAATGGTGCCGCCTCACAGCCCCAGGCTCAACGCACGCACATGATATGCTCCCAGCTTTGAGAGCTGTCATGGAAATGTTGTCTCACATAGCCAGCTCATGTGCGAATCCATGGCAGTTCAGGCTGCTTACACTTGGACACTCCTTCCTATACCAGAGCGGAGATCATACTCGAGTAAAATGTGCTACTAGGCAAAGCAGAGCAATAGCGAGTGCTTTCATACATTTTCGATACCAGCTCCCGTGTCCACCACAGTTGACCGATTGCCAGCTGGATTTTAGAATACCAGATATCCTAGACCAGTCCCAAAGCTATCTACTATTCTACTATAGGGGCTGGGGTCCTAAGGCCATTTCTTACGTTGGATGGTTAGAATCCACGAGGGTTGGGGACTGGTGCACAGGGATGGACACTGACCCCCACGCGAGCGCCCGCATTATTTAGCACCTGGGATGAATAGAGCTGTGCTTGAACCGTATCAATTGTGCACATAGATATGGATATGGAAGTGTAATACAGTGCGGCCGGCTATGCCAGAAGGCCGCTAATTGACGGGCGCTTGCCTGTGCATGCAAGTCTCGAGATCGCCTCTTGAACTGTCTGAACGATAAGCGATATAACAATATAAATCGGACAACTCCCCTACAATACAGCCAAGGCCGAGATAACATATAGATTCTGTATGGGTAACAAGGAAAGAGCAGCCTGAGCGCTGCGCGCACGCGCGCGCGCGCGGATGAATACATTATTCAGCAGGCCCACCTGATAAGACGCCCATAGAGCATCCACCTGTAGCTCAGAATATTCACCATGTACGATGTTGCGAGACTTGCATAGATTCCGTGATCATGGAGGCGCGCATGGGCGACTGGGGTGAGTTGATCAGGTGAGATTACTTCTCAGGCGTAAAGCTCAAAGGCTGGGCAATCTGAATGCCGCGCATCATTGCCTAATCTATCTCGCACGATAATGTAATTCTGCTGAACAGCCTTACAATAAGTCCCTCTGACATATATGGCACCCCTGTGCTAGCCTACGACTAAACTAGGTGGACTGCATGCACATGCAAGCCAAGTTGCAACAGAGAGAATTCTTCGTGGGTAGTCGAAAATCTAGCGTCAGCAGGACAAGCCAACCTTGTACCCCCAACATCCTGTTAGTCATTCCACTCCTAGTGCACTTCTATTTTGCACATCTCATGCACTCACAGCGCGCATCGAATTATATGGGCCAAGATCCTTTATTAATTCCACTACCTCCAGTACTGAACGTGCATTCAATATCGTTGACATCACTTGCAAAGACGCTTTTTGTTAAAACTGCAGTATTTCGTCTACTCGTTAGAAGTCATTTACAGAGAATGGGAGGCACGCTTTGAAGGGGTAGAAGTGGAGGAAGTGGTGACGCATAGGACAAAGGAACAAGGGGTATATAAGTTGGGTGGCGGGCGCCTTCAACGGATGCGCTCCTTCAACGCTTGGGGCTCATGGTGCGCTGCGGACTTGGACACGATGTTAGACCACGTCCGACCCGCCGACGGTGCTGAGCCAAGGTGTCCGGACAGTGTTCTTACACGGAGACATGTCGCAAGGGGAGAGGGGCGCGCGAGCTGGCGTTGTTGGACATGCCTGAGCAATCCGGAGTACGTTGAGTTGACCCTGAAGTCTGGGGATCTCAACCAGGCTGACTTGCTTGGACCTAGATCAAGCAGACCTGAGTCAGCGACTACGTCTGAGCCTGAGCCTGAGCCTGGGCCTGAGTATGCCTGTCGTATCATCTCTAAATGTGTCCGCTGTATGAATCGCCCAGCGGCTTCACGTGAGCATCCTGAACACCATTAAATATGTTCATAGTTTTGTTCCCATTTACCAGGATCTGACCAACCACTTCCCACCGACCTAGGGGGCCTTGCGGAGCACGCCGGGTGTATCGAGTTCTACATCGTTAGCTTGGGAATATCCTCACCTGCGAGGCACTTCCAACGGAAGATCTCCTTGGGCTTAAGGGAATATGGTCTTATCGGCCTATTGGCGGTGAGCGGGATCCGGGGGTCTGCATTGCATCAGCAGCTGGGGCCGGCGAGGGGGGGGGGCTGGGTTCTGGTTTACTTTGCAAGTACTAGCAAAGCTCTTAGTAGCGCACTCGCGAAAAGTCCTGGTTCTCCAATTGCGCCAACGTGTGCAGGTTAGGGGTTATCTGATGAACTGCAAGATGAGTAATAGTTTACCAACAAGCGGAGCTTGGGATGTCTTCTAGAGGTGGAATCTTTTGTTACTTGAGACACGCGAGTAGTGACACCCACGGTCAAAACACAGGCTAATGCGGGGCCAAAGATATTGCTCACTTGGCTCGATTTGGTCATTATGGACGACGGAAAAAGCCGAACAAGAATCGGAAGCATAGAAGCACGAGGCAATATGTTTAATCGGTTAACTACTTGGATCATATTCGGTGCGTATCAGGACTCAAGAACAACCGCCTTTGGAGATCAGGGACAGTGCAATGCTAGCCAATAGGTAGGCAGGTGACGCCAATAGGTCCCTCGACCAAGTAATAAATCGGATGACTAACACAAGCACGAAAGCCAAAAGATTAGATTGGACGTAGCGTAGAATATCCAAACACTGAAGCCATTAACTTTGATAACACAGGATAGAATCGGCTGGCTTACAGCAATAATTCATCGTCACTAGATCATGCAGAAAATAGAAAGACACTTACGCTCAAACCACCAAATGGAACTCCGATGCAAGATTGCCGCCATCGGAGATGCAGGCTCCCCAAGGGATGAGGCAATATCCCATATCCCAAGCCAGATCTCTAAGCAAACTCACAGCACCTCCGTCCCAATTTGTACCATTTCCCGAGGTTCTATCGCGAGTTTCATGCGAAGCGACATTGAAGTGTGGATAGAGGGCAATAGGTCCCACATCTCCATAGTCAACGGCGCTATGTGAGCTGTGTGGCACCGGAGGATTCCAATTCTCGCTGTAGGATACCACTTCATGGTCGGGAGCCGCTGAATGGAAGGCGGGCGCTAAGTTAGGGAAAATGGTCCTGCCAATGGAGAAGCTTGTCCCAGAAGCGGGAATATGGGCGGGATATGGGGTGCCGACATGCAACAGGGGTGCTTCTTTAACAGTTCTGACAGATCCAGATGATCCCAGCATAGAGGGTGGGGCCGCAGGAGGCGCCTCATTAATAACTGGCAAGCCTCCGAGATTGTTTGTTGGCGGAACTTCAACGGACATCTCGTAAGCTAAAATAGCATTTACTTGATTTCCCCGTCCGTGAGTTGTATTTGGCAGGTCAGCCGCGGGGGGAATGATAGTGGCCATTGCCGGGATTTTCGGGTCAGCTTCAGGCTGAGTTGCTGCATCTCGGAGGCTCGATTGCTCCGATTGCAAATATGAAAGAAATTGTCGTGTCTTGGGAAGGAGTGCTATCGAACGAAGAGAAGAACAGGGTATGCACACAATGACAACACAACAGAAAATGAGGACCCATCACATACCGGTCTCAACACGCCGAGGATCGCTGGAAGCTAAGATCCTGATCTCCTCCAGACACTCCCGAGCTCTGGTTGATGTCTATAGGGATGTTATCCCTTCGTTCATCGTGCTGCCACGATGGCAAAAACGCACTCTGATCACATTGGGAATCTTCATTGTGCAAGGCATACACTCAATGTGCAAGGCATACACTCAATGTGCATGCGTTGACATGCATCACAGGAGTGAAGGCTTGGGGCCTGGACACATCCCTGGAGAGTTTTCAAGCAAAATTAGGTAGGGCTCTAGTAAACGGAGGCAGAAAGCAGGCATAACAATTTGGCCGCGCGGAATATGCCTTGAGCGCCTTCCAAGCCGAGCATCCTCAAGCTGTCGGGCGTTCCTTAAGGTGGGTAAGCACCGATGGGTGAAGAGGGGACCGGTGTACTGGTTAAGATGGAATGTAGAGAATTTATTCGCGCCATGCTACATCGAAGAGCGCACCTTTCGTCTCAGTCGACAGACAAAACACCGTGAAGGCATGGAATCGAAATGGTTGGGAAAATCAGGAGGAGTGCAAGGCCAAAGAGACCCATCTCTCAAAGTTAAGTCTATATATCTCCGGGAGGATGGTGCAAGACGAAACGGCCACTCTGATGATGGATGGATGGATGGATTCATTTTGAAGTACGTAACTGTGCCTATTGGCATATGCCGTACTATAGTGACTCGGGTGAAAAAAGTTTGGAGAACATAAGGATGTGAAGAAAGGAATTTGTTTGACCTAGGAAGTATGAGACATCAAGTAATCAATGGTGTGAAGGAGAATAAAGTGAGATGAAGCAATAACACATAAAGGGGCATGCGACCCCTGCACTGGGATTGAACAATGGGTGAGAGAGAATGGAGGTGGAAAGAGGTTGGATATGTTGGAATTTGCATGTGGTCTTTTAGTGAAACCTAAAAGTTGGACATACTGGGAATCGAACTCCAGTCCTCTGGATCGCGAACTCAGTGTGCACAGCCATTACACCATATGCCCCGTTAGGCTGAGGTGGTTATTTCTTTTTTTTTTTTGGTGGAACCCCATTAGCTTTCGCGATACATAACATGTATTTGGGGTTTGTGCAGGGAGGTAGAATCCCATGGAGTGTGGAGTGGTTTGAATGCCGGTTTGGTGCTGTGTGGGGCTCCCGGACTCGGTCATGGAGGGTCCGGTATACCCACTAAAACCCCAGTGCTATTCAGCCAGTTATCCGGCAGTCTCCCTTCCTCGTGAAGGTTTCTGCTCCAGGTATGCAGGACTAGTTTGGTCGGCAGGGCCTTTTGGCCGTACTTTTTCTGGTTTGTTAGGGCGATGTCTTGTTGGAGTTTATCGTTGAGGCCGGCATGGAGGGTGTTTTTTATTTCGGTTAGTGTGGTTTGTGGGTGGTCAGGGTTGATGACTCTCCAGCATCTGGCCTTCCAGATTTGCCACACACATTCTAGCATTACAATACGGTACAGTCTTGTTTCGCCTTTTCGAAGGTTACCATTAGTGTTCTTTATTTTAGTTATCGGGGCGGCCATCACGTGTGAGGTGTCTAAGGTTGGGGGCCATGTGATTTTCCTTCGGTTGCACATTGCCTTGGCTGTAGCCCATGCCCATTCTCCATGGTTGAGGGGGCACTCGAATAAGATATGAGCCATCGATTCTATTTGTTGGCATTGGTCACACTCTCCCTGGTGTTCAAAGCCTGGGATGTTCTTCCAGTATTTGCCGATTTTGAGACAGCTGTGGGTCAGCTTCCAGAGGAAGTTCCAGATCTCAGGTGAGGTTTCCTTGCGGTTCTTCGCTATGGTTTCCCATATTTTGTCTTGTGTGGGGGGGTCGTTACTTAGGCTTGCCAGAGTCGATTGGATTCTGGTGATGTTATTGGCTGTTGTTGTTCTTGATCGGGTATTTTGGCTAATCTGGATCTGCAGATTAGTTTGGTCGCTGTGGATTGGTTTAGGGCATGTAGGCGGGCTCTGCTTGGTATGTGGGGGGGGGAGGTTCTACAGGTGGGAGGTGTTCTGGGGCTAATTGTGCCCCTATTGCGGCGAGGTTATCCGCTTCTTCATTTCTGCGGATCCCAGCGTGGCCTTTAAGCCATTCGAATGAGGTGGGGGTGAGTCTACTTCTCAGGGCGCTTACAGTCGATTTAATAAAGTAGCTGTTCTTTGCGTAGGCGTAGTCTGAGTCTTCAAGGGTTTCAAGGTTATTGCAGAGGGAGTTGATGCACCATTTTGAGTCGGATTTGATATGGAGGTTGGATGATGGCGGTATGGAGGTGGTGGCGTGATGTATGGCGAGTATTTTGGCTATGTTATTGGATTGTGAGTAGAGGGGATTGACTCTTTTGCTGGTGTTCCGGGGATTGTTCGGGCCATACCATACACCGAAGCTGGCTGTGGCATATGTCTCACCATTTTGGGAGCAGGACCCGTCCATGAATGCCACTTCATTGTGAGGCTGTTGTGGTCGGGGAGTGGGATTATTTGGGGTAACCGGGGGGGTTCTGCCAAATATTCTGTAGTGGTGGTCAAGCGGGGTGTGGAGCGGGGATGGGGAGAAGATTTTGATGTCTTTTGGGTCCCCGATGGCATATTGTTTTGCGGTTTCTTCAGGGGGGCGGTCCGGTTGGGAGAGGAGGTGTGAGTTGCTGTAGGGGTTATAGTGGTAGTCAAGGTTGGTGGTTATCTTTATCGCTGTTTGGTAACAGGCTTCTGGGTTTCTGCACCCGGCTTGTCTGTAGGTTGCGCACGGGGGGCAGGAACACTTTTTTTTTGTGGGGTTGTGGATTGGGTTTTCTTGGTGGCCGACTTGGGTGATTAGGTCACCGATACGTGTACACCTGTGAGTCGCTCTTAGGCACGATCTAGTTTTCGAGCGGTCATTGATTCGAAGGTTGTCTCCTAGGCTGGGGTGGGCCCAGGCTGGTCGATTGAGCTTGGCGTCCAGGTCGATTGTTGGGTTTTCTAGTCTGAGGTTATACTTGGTTCCAACGTTTAGGGTGTTGCAGAGTTCAGCTGGGATTTTCCTGGAGTGGGACCAGGCGTTAAGGAAGGGTTTTTGGGTGAGGATGTCTGTGATGAAGGGGTATGCTGGGTCCTGGGGCAGTTGGTTTTTCGGGAGGGTGGCTATTAGGATTGCTTCGGTGGCGTCTGAGGCCAGGGGCCTATTGGGGGTTTTGTCGAGGATTTTTTGGAGTTTGATGAGGTGGATTGCCTCGTTCCTATCTTGTAAGTTCAAGACGTTTTTGCCGCCTTGGGTTTTTGGTTCGTTCAGTTGATTCATGCTGATTGGGGGGGGGGGGCTTTTGGAGTTCCATATAAACTCTCGTATTCTTTTGTTTAGGTGTTTTTCAACGTTTTTCGGCATTCCCTGGGCACGAGTATGGAATTGTGTCATTCCACCGATGGTCATTTGGATGATCAGGCGCCTGCCCTCAATGGATGGGTGGGTTTTATTCCATTGGGTGAGTGATTTTTCTACGTTCGTTATGATTGAGGGCCAGGGGTCATTATGGTCGGGTTTGTTCCTGCATTGGGCCCCTAGGTATCTCATTGTTTGACCATCTTTTAGAATGGTTATTGACTCATCTATGCTTTCGTTACCACAGGGGTTAAGGGTTCTTTCGTTATGGACTCTTTCGCGGAATTCTGGTGAGCCGACTGGGAGGATGACGGTTTTTTCTTGGTTGAACTTTGCACCGGATGCAATGCACCAGCGGTTTAGTGTTGAGAATAGGTCGTGTAGGTCATTGTCTTTGGAGAGGAAGACAGCAGCGTCATCGGCAAAGAGGGATACAATTACTCTTTGTGAGAGGGAGGGGGATTCTTTGAGGGTGATTGCTAGTGGTTCTATAGCGAAGTTAAAGAGGAGGCAGGATAGGGGGTCACCTTGGCGGACCCCTCTTGCTATCAGGAATTCTTTGCTGATTACGCCATTGAGGATCACTTTTGTTTTAGCTTTAGAGTAGAGATTGTTAATATAAGTTTGGGTGGGATTCCCATGGTTTCCATGACCTTCCAAAGATAGTCGTGTTGGATGTGGTCATACGCTTTCTCCTGGTCAAGGGCAATAATCGCTCCATCCTGGCCAGTCAGTTCACATAGGTCAGTCATGCGGTTGACGAGGTCGATCTGGTCAAAGATGCTGCAGTTTTTGATGAAGGCTGCTTGGCATTTATGGATAAGGAGGGGGGCTATGGGGGATAGTTTATTCATGATGGCTGTCGTGATTATTTTGTATTCTGCATTTAGTACGGTTATGGGTCTATAGTTCTCAATTTCTCTTTTATTTTTTTTCTTGTAGATGGGGCAAAGCCACCCCTCTGAGATGAGAGGGCATGTAGTGCTGTTCTTTTCAATGTCATTTGCTAGGTGAGTAAGGAGTTTTACCACATTAAAGCCTTGGTTTTCGTTTTTATGTTTCTTCCATCTGGTGTTTAGGTTCTTGTATAGCTCAGTGGGTATGCCGTTGAGGCCTGGGGCTTTGTCATTGGGTGACTGGTTTAGGGCCTTTTCTATATCCGCGAGGTTTAGTGGGGTGGCCAAATCAGTGTGGGCTTCCGGTGGAACTAGGTTCCGGATTGCATTGAGGGAGTCTCTGGTGTGGTTGTCTCTCTCTTCTTGGTGGGCAGATAGGTCTCGGTGTTGGACTGCGTTGTAGTGGTTGGCTGCTATGTCTGACATCTCTTCTGAGTTGGAGGTGTAGGCTGGCGGGTTTGAGTCTGGTAGTCTCAGTTCAGGTATAGTATTGCGTGGTTTGTTTTCTTTCCCCCATTTGCACCAGTATTTATTGGTTGTTTCGCTGAGGAGTCTTTTGTTTGCTCCGGCACGTGCTTTTGATTTGGCTTGTTTGAGTTTTTCTATTTCATTTATTCTTTTTGTTAAGTTCTGAATTTGAACCTGTGTCATTTCTGTGAGGGTCTCATCAGCCAAGGGTAGTCTTCGTATGGCTTTGTCGCATCTGTGAGTAAGTCGTTTTATTTCCGAGTTGAGTTTGCCAGCTTTTATTTTGGTGGTTTTTCTAGCTAAGCAGGTCACAGCAGACACAAAGTTTTGGAATATGTTCTGGGTCTCGCTGTTGTTTCTGGTTATGTTGTCAAGGGCTTCCTTGCCGATGGACTCAACCTCAGTAAGGAAAGTTTGGTCATTGGTTAGGTACAGGGGAATGGCCCATCGCCCTTTCCCAATCGTGGTGGCGTGGTTGTCTCTTAGCTCAACGGATATTAGTTGGTGATCTGCGGTTGATATGTCTGGGCTGGAGATTTCCCATTTATAGGCTTTTCCTCTGATGTCGTCAGTCGCATAAATTCTGTCTATTCTGGAGAGGGATGTTCCTGTAGTGTGGCCGAAGGTATAGTTCCTTTCTGGGGCCGGGTGTGATTCTCTCCATCCATCGGCTAGGCTGTTGAGGGAGGTAAGGTCTCGGAGAGCTGTTGTAGTTATGTCCAGGTCTGGGTGGGGGGGAAGTCTGTCAATAGCCTCTTCTACCATGTTGAAGTCCCCTAGCGTTATGTCAATGGGGGAGTCTAGGAGTTTTTGGCGTAGGTTCTCCCAGAATCGGGAGTTATCATTGTGGGAGTTGGGGGCATATACAGCTAAGATGTTTATGGAGTGGTTGGGTGGCCATTCTATTTCCGTGAGGAGAGCGCAGCCAGGTTCAATGACTCTGGTGGTTCTGGGGGGGGTCTTGATTATGCTCTTGTTGATTATGATTGCAACTCCGCCAGCACGGGTGTGTTCTTGGTTGATGGAGTGAGCGATTATGTACTCGGAGTTGTAGATG